GGAGAGTACATTGCTAAAGAATACACAGGAGGGGGGTACCGTGGGGTAGCAGAAGAGGACCCGCTATGCCGATTTTGAAGCACAAGGCGAGAGGACTCACAGCGACGCCGTGAGATATTCCGACTGAACCAACGCGACCGAAAGCTATCGATTTTCCGAGGCGGGCCGTGTTCCGACCACACCGCCAAGAATCTCCGAAAGAAGGGCAGCCAAGAGAAGGGAGAATGTGGTGATATAATGTTAAGAGAAGGGGTACAAGACTTTGGGAATATGCAGTCAAGAGGGGGAGAAAGCTACTTCCTATGGGATACACAACGGGGTTTTGGGAAGAGGGGCCGCAAGACACAAGTCAGAATTGTGGCGGAGGGCACAAGCTGGTGCCGACAACGTCAAACCGATAGTTAACATCCCTTGTAGGAGGAACGGACACACGCGAAACCTAGTCAGCCTCTCCCACAACCAAAGCCAAGGCGACACGGAGTCTAAACACACTGCCAGGATAGCGGTTCGCCCCTAGCTCTGTACTGTCATTCCGTCAAGGCGGCGAAGAATAAGACCAGTCAGATTCTAACTTTGGCCTTGGTGAGCGAGAGCATATAGGTAAGAAGAGAATACTACATTCAAGCATAGCCAAGGCGGTTGCTTGGATCCTGGAACAACCACTGGCAAGACAAATCCAAAAGCTGACTCGCTACAGTGAAGCAACGGGACGACAGAACTTCTCCAGGGGCCGAAACTACATCCCTGGCTAAACGGGGAGGAGCCTTTCACAGGGATTCAAAAGGACATGGACTACATGGCACTGGACTGCGCTCAAAGAGGACGGCATGTGGACCGGTGAGCACTCGGGACATCCACTCTGGACACCACACTGAAATTCTTGCCAGCTCCTTTCATCCTCGATGCCGCCAACACTACTTTCCACGCCACGGAACACGGCCTTGCACAGCTTGCGAGTGGTCTCGAGCATGTTTCCGGCCGGCTCAACCATGTTGGAGCCGTAGGTTGACTCACCTCGCCAACACGGCCTCGGGCGTCCCCATGACTGGACTGGTGAGCCCTCTTGAGGCTCGGCCCGGTCGCTGGAATCTTAAGCAGAAGTCCGCGCCTTGAGTAATGATCGGCGGCCGTGGTCAGGAAAACTGTCGTTAGGTGACTTGAACGGAAGGGAGACAAAGGCGAGACACTGGGAAAGAGGGTGGGGTCAGATCTCGTTACGTTTAGGAGACAGGAGGCCCTGCTACGCGTCTGCACCAGGTCGACACCGGAATTCAGGCTATTGCTTCATAGTAATGCTGATGTGAGGGAAAGGCAGACAGACGATTTCAACGTCTCAGGCACGGGTTTTGAAATTAAGGACCGAGAGCTAAAAGCGAGCTGTCTGAGGTGGCTTCACGGCAGCCAAGTCGCAGCTTTATTTGCCGTCGTTTATGCATTTCTCACTCGGATATTGTACAGACACGACTGACTCCTCCTCCTTTGTCAATAGTTGGACCCTTGAAACACGTGGATATGACAACTCCGTGTATTAACCTGCCAAATCTACCCCCGTCTCGTGCAAACTAACGCTCCTTGACAAACATGTGGTGTGGAAATGCTAGAATTGTACAATGAGAAAGGGAAAGTAAGAAGAAGAAATTGAAAGAGACATGAGGATATAAGAAGAGAAATAGGGGCAAAGTACAAGACTTGGCAACAACAAATATAGACATTAATATCCTGAGACCCGGACTTGGCTTATAGCCTCGAATTTGACCCGACACTTGGCGTTGATGTTGACAAAACCGCCATGCTTGCATTGATAGACGCTGTGAGCTCCGCAAGTCGATCGGCTGCCGGCTTCTGCATGGGCTGTAATAGCTTGTCTTGGACAGATGATGTGTCGTAGATGTATTTCGAGAGAGTGAACGACGGCTGGGGCACGCTGCTTGAGGATTAGCTGTTGTGTATCATGATGGAGCATATATAGGGAGTGTCGGACCTGGCGTCGGTTGAGGTGGCGACTCTGTCCATGGTTGGTGCTTTTTGCCTTTCTAACGGTGACGTAGCACGTCTGGATGTAGGACTGGCAGTTATTTGCTGCTGGTTGATACAGGACAAGCGCAGTTTGACCTTTTGTAGGGAGAAATGGAGGACGGGTAGTGGTGATGCAGCACTGAGGAGGAATGCAGAGGGGCGATGGGGATGATGTTCCGGCCGCGGGGGCAAAGAGCGATTTATACCGGCCATGACGACTAGAGGTAATCAGCGCGGCGAGTGAGGGTCAGGTTTCAAGATTCCGATCCTGAGACCCGGCTCCGGGTGGGCCCCAGCCCCGACCTCCGGGGAGCGGCCGGCTTCCGATTCCGGGCCCCGGAGCTCAGAAGAAGCAGCCGGATCTCGAATTCTGGGATCCAAGTCCCAAACCAATCATATTGGAACATTTCGGCTTGGGTGCCTTGGAAGCGACATGGCATGCCTGGGCGTTGTCGTTCAACCAACCAAATCCGCCTTCGGACAGGTTGATGCAGGGGTTCAGCTCCTCCCCTGCTTCCCCCCCCTGAGCGTGCCGCGAGCGTGCTTCCAGAGCCTCGCGAGGCCTCGTGAGCTTTGCGAACCATTGTCCCCATTCTTACTGACCTCCCCCCTTCCGCAATGTGACGTACGCTGGCGCTGTCCCTTTCGACTGTCCCTTTCCAGCTCTCCCCTCTCCTTTCCTGTCTTTCCTTCTGTTTGTTGACCGCGTCCAAGAGCACCCTCACACTCCTTACCTTTCTTCTGTCTCTTAATTAACGAATCGTTGCTTCAAGCAACACCCACACTCATTTTAATGGCTGCTATCGACCAGGTTACCGGGATCCGCCCCAGTCGGTCTTGTTCTCTCGGCTCCCGCTCACTGCAGTGGATTCCCGAACAAGGCGGACATGACGATGTCGAATCACAAAATGCTCGTTTCATGCAGGCTTCCGCTGGACGGTGTCATGCAGAAATAAGCATGAATGCATATAACGACCCAGTCCGGCCCTCTCTGTTGCGGTCAAAACCTCCACCCCTCAGCCCACGATGCTTCAGTCCCGTTCCCTCATCTGTCACTACCCCTACAGTCTCTTCCTTTGAAGCCCTCTCGGCCCGCAGCCTTCAGTCAACGGTGCAGACATCACCTGCCCCAACCGCAACTTTCTGCCACAGCAGAGGCCAGAGCAGAGGCCACAGCAGGGAATCAACACTGGACCTAGACGCTGGACCACCGACGCAAATGCACGAGATCAGGGCTCTCAGTGCCTTGCTAAAGCAGACCTCGATTTCCTCTCCTTCTGGTGGGCAACACCGGCGTGGGTCCGCCAGTCTCGACGCATCTAGGCTTCATCGCCACCGGCGTGTCTACTCGAACGACCTTTCTCGATGGCATCGCAATGCTTCATGGATTCGGGGGATATCCCAGACCTCAGACTTCGGCTCGATCGAAGAGGACGATGAAGACCTCCGTCAATACCGCCAGGAAGTCGACGACACGGTACCAAACCCCGACAAGGAAAAGACACCCGAGGTAGCGGCGCCGTCAACCGTGGCTAACGGGGAGGAAGAGGATGTTGCTACGCCTCTACCCGAAACCTATGACGCTCCTGAGCTCGATGTTGATGGGAGTAGCACTCCGCAAGCTGATAGAGTTGCCAAACAACTTCTCAACACGGAGTTTGATCTCTTCCTCGGGTCCTCGGAGCCTCCGCAGGAGGTGGTTGATGCTGTTTGTAAGTGTCTGGAGGATATATCGCTCTCGATCCGGTCCGCTCGCAGCATGGGGGTACTTCCACCGGTCACAACAGCGGCACAATCAGCCGAGTCGGCCAGCCCCGGGTCGTTTGGCTACTCCTCTCGGCAAAAGGGGAGAACATCGGGGGCCAATCAAAAGAAACGCCCCATGGGGTACCAAGAAGAAGATGATGAAGAGTTTCAAGACGACGAAGAAGATGGCTTCGGTGTAGCCGGCCGCAACGATACGGGCCATCGAAAGAGGCCGAAGGTTGAGCAATACCCATGCCCCTTTCGTAAAAGGAGTCCTTACCGATTCAACTGCCGCGAGTGGGAGTTCTGCGCGAAAGCTCCGTTCAAGACCATGTCGGAACTGAAGTGAGTCTGCCTCTCACCCAGGTTTCTTGCAGTACCGCTAACAGACTCCCAGAAAACATATCATCAAGTACCACCAGCAACAACACGAGCCCCTGGCCTATGTCTGCCCGAGGTGCCACGAGGGCTTCGTCAGAGCGGAAGAGTTGAAGTCTCATTTTATGGCCCCGCGTGATGAGGTTTGTGACGTGAAAGAGGGTCCGACGCCTCCCTCGGAAATCGTCGGAATCACTCCCAGGATGATGGAGAGGCTCCGCAGTCGGATGGAACATTTTGACTGGGACAAGCTGTGGCGGGCGTTGTTCCCTGACGACCTTGAGGTTCCGGACCCAGACTTTGAACCGATCGTGGAACTTCATGAAGTCAACCACGAGTACGGCCTGCTCTTACCCGAGTTCAGCAAAAGCCTTGCTTCCATCATCAGAACCTTGCTGCCGGGCACAGATGTGGCCCATCTTCATCTCCTCCAGCGCCTGAACGACAACCTGGACCGTCTCTTCAGCGAATTCTTCGCAACCACGTTCGACAGAGCACGAACAAACGCATCGGGCCCAACAAATCCACAAGTCCAACGCGCCGCAACGGACACCCCAAGCCCAGCACCGTCGCAAGCCTCCTCCATCCCCAACTCACAGCCGCCATCCCTGCCCACCAAGGCCGCCAACCTGCGACGCCCCATCCTCCCCAACATGAACCCAGCCCACCGCCTCAGCGGCTGGTCCTCCACCGACACCGCCTCCTCGTCGGCCCGCTACTCAACCAGCACCAGCAGCACCAGCCTGGGCCAATCCAACCGCGAGTCCATGGTGTCCGACGTATCCACCCTCAGCAGCAACATGCCGCCGCTTCCACCAACCCCCATCCACCACCACCACCGCCTCCAGCACACCTTTCCCATCCACCCCTCCTCCCAAACCCCCCTCCGGGAAGGCTCACCCTCCACCACCACCACCTTACCCTCCACCTTCCCCTCCACCCGCCTCCCCTCGCGCAACCCACCAGCACCGCTCCGCCAACGCCCCACCACCCAATCCCCCCTCCTCCATGAACTCACCATGTCAACACACACGACGCACAGGCGGCAAGGGGAGGCAAGGCAGGAGGAGGAGCCAACAACCATGACGGCAAGCTCCGGCACCAGCGCCAGCACTATTGCCAGCACCAGTGCCAGCGCGAGCGCGAGTCCCCGAGACCTGCACGACTCGGCGGTCAGTGGCCTGGGTGGCACAGGCTGCTGTTTCAAGTGCTTGGATGGGATGGGTGACGGGCTCTGTCGGTGTGGTGGCGGTGGCGGTGGTGTGGGTGGTGGTAGCCTGCCGTTTGTGGGGGGCGCTGCTGCTGCTGCTGCTGTTTATGGGCAGGAGGGCGGTCATGAGATGTATCGTGACCATCTGCAGGGGCAGGGTGGTGGTGGGGGGTATTTGTTTGAGTTGGAGGGGTTGGGGTCGGAGGGGTTTGACGATGTTATGATGGGGAGGTTTTGAAGGGTACATGTATACATCCGTGCCTGGATGGTCACGGTGGGAAGGAGTGACGATGGGGTGGCACATGATTGCGTGCCTGTGGACGGGTTTGGATGATGCCCGTCGTACGAAGTAATATTTTACGTCTTTGCTTCTGGTTGCTACTATCTGGCTCTTCCGGAAGAGCTGGTAGAGAGATACGGCTTTTGACGGGGCGCTGGCTCGCTTTGAAGGGGGCTTAATTACGGAATCATGTATGATACAAGCATCAGGTCGTGCTTGGGATACAGGCGTGTATTATATTACGGGGAACGAACGCTCGGTTTCACCTCCCGAGCCATGCCTAAAATGCCGATATTCTTGAGAAGGTCTATTTCCACTATAAGGCTTGGCTATTTCCACTATAATCTCTATACATAACCCTAACCCTGACAAAAAGGTACATCAGTGATTCTGCCACATCTGCAGGTCCCTATCTATTCTGCCACCCCACCTCAACTGCCTTTCTCTCCTTCACCAACTCACCACTTCCAAGTCAATCGCGCCACGGAGCGAGTAGGCTCAGAGACACATACCCACTGCATTTTGGGCGCCTTGGTGAGCTCTTGAGCTCTATCGAAACCTATCACTTTTAACTACTAACTATGAGCTTAGACAATGATTCTGACCAGCCAGAGGCCATAGAGCAGACTAGATAGACATAAAGAACCGACATTGTGAGCGAAAACGTCGTCGTTGGGCGATCCCAGCGATTCCAGCGATTGGGAGTAATTGAGAGTGACCGCAGGGCTGCGATGACGATGGGTCAGGCAGCGAAACTCTCTCACCGCTTGCCTATTCAGGGAGGCGGTGAAAAAGTGAGGGCAGACGCGATGTATTAGAGTGGAAATAGCCGACCCTTATAGTGGAAATAGACCTTCTCATATTCTTTTGTCTGTTCAGCCCTGGGCCCTGGGTGCTCGCTAATATTGGCTGGCCGGTTTGGCCATTCGCCAGTTGGGGTTTTTCTACATGTCGTTGACATGGAGTTGTCACTTCCAGATGTTCAACTCGTCTCGATTTTTTTACTCACATAACCCAACATTTTTACTCAACGTGGCTTTTCTTAACTCAACCCGAGGCGGCATAAGGCGAACGCATCTCTCCTTCAACTAGACCTCAAAGGGGCCTTCGATAGGGTACACCACGGATGGCTCACAAGGACCCTTAGAGAACTGGGGGTCCCGCTGTGGACCCTTAGATGGGTCGATTCGTTCACCGCTGGGAGGTCGGCAAAACTCTGGTTCGATGGGACGATGTCCGAAAGGTACGAGGTGGCCGCAGGAGTCCCGCAGGGGTCCCCCCTCTCCCCAATCCTCTTCCTTCTGTTTATCTCAACACTCTACAAGAGGCTCGAGGTAGTAAGGGGGGCAATCGTGGTAGGGTTCGCAGACGACACCAATATCCTGGCCGTAGCGGAGACGACGGAGGGTACCTGCGGCATCCTAGCGGAGGCCTGGGGACACTGTGCAGGTTGGGCAGCAGAGAGGGGTATGGAATTCGAGCCAGCGAAGAGCGAACTAATCCACTTTTCGAGAGCAAGGGCCCCGATCGAGAAGACCCTAAGGATCGGGGGGGTAGAGCTGAAACCAGTTGAGGATGCTAGATTCCTTGGGGTTTGGCTCGATAGGAAGCTGAGGTACCGCGCACACCTCGCGGCGGTGAGGAAGAAGATGAAGACCCAAACCTGTGCCCTAACAAGGCTCGCCGCAAAGACGTGGGGGTGTACCTTCGCGAGGGCGAGGGAGATCTACTTGAAAGTGATCCGCAGTGCGATCGCGTATGGAGCCTCAGCCTTCCACACCCCTACAGAGGTAGGGGTGTGGAAGGCGGGGCCGCAAAGGAACTCGCAAAGATCCAATCGGAGTGCCTCAGGGTGGTCGCTGGGGCCTACAAGGCTACCCCAATACGGAGCTTGGAGACAGAAACCTGTTGCCCACCCATCGACCTGTACCTCAACAGGAGGCTCCTTGCCTTCGAGGATCGGGTTAGGATATCAGAGGAGGCGAGGCTAATCCGCCAGACCCCTGCCACAATCGCTGCGATCCTGCGGCGGAAGCGCAGAAGGGGGAGAGGAAGACCTCGGCGGGAGGTAGCCGATATAGCAACGGCACCAGCGGAAAAGGGCTCAGGCGAATGGAAGAAGAGGTGGGCACAGGAGTGGGACCCCCTCGAGTCAAGGCCGGAAAAGGAGGAGCTAGAGCCAGGGTCGACCGGCCCAGTACCAAACCACAAGAAACAGCTCGAGAGGTGGATGGAGGAGGCAATGAGAAGGGAGTGGATTGGAAGATGGGAGAGTGAGGTAGCTAGGGTGGTCGCTAGGAACCCGGGGCGGGCCCTCGAACCGGCCGATGCGACCGCGCGGTTCGACGCCTCTATCATGAACCGACACCGGTCGAGGGACCCAGCCTGGGAGCTATCGAAGGCGAAGAGTACTCTCCTAGTGCAAGCGAGGACTGGGAAGATTGGGCTTCGAGGGTTCGTCTTTACTAGGAGGGTCCCCGGGGTAGTAACGCCGGTATGCCGCTGCGGTATGGCGCGCGAGACATTCGAACACCTCGTACTCGAATGCAACGGAGCCGCAGATAAACCTCATCCCTGGCCAGACGACGGCGCAGAGCTACTGGAGTGGCTAGATGACGTGGAGAAGGCTGCCATAGTGGTGGGGTGGGTGCTTGGGCTGGGGAGGCTGAACGAGTTCCGGCTGGCGGTAGAGCTGGAAAATGAGAACAACGAAGAGGCCCGCGGCGGGGCCGAAGCGGAGTAGCAGAAGGGAATCGATGGAACAGAGGTTACGACTCATTTTATCTATTTCGTTACTTTGACCTCGGAAGGTGGGTGAGCCCTTTCGAGGAGATGGATCCACGGGGTAGCGGCAAGGCCGCAGCGGAGGTGCGGAGGTTTTCATCCAGCTTAGGCATGGTTTTTCCTACCGAGTTAATCGCTGAGGGACCGCATGTACTTAGTACCTAGCGTGATAAGAGAAATAATAATAATTAACTCAACCCGACTTTTTTTGTTTCAGCTCTCCTAGACTCCGCCAATCCTCCCTTGGATCACACCACATCACAGCTCACCAGCCATCAAGGCTCACACCGCGGTGGTCGGGTTAAACAACCCATTCGAAGGTTAGCTATCCAGTTACTCTGTCCCAAAAACCACACCCCACCTTGTAAAGAATGTCCGGTACAGAACGTGGTGACGAAACTAAGCCCGAACGAACCGCCCGCCCTAAGCCCGAAGGAAAGACTGCCACACACTAAAAGAAACCAAAATAGGTACCATCCCAGAGAACAAACAATAGAGCTTGGCGCCGTCGAGGACCACAACTTAAACCCGCCGACTCTCAAAGACCTTGTAGAACGCGGCACTAACATCTTGCCGGCAAACAAGCCAATAGACCTATCCATCGAAACACACACGACCGCCCCATGACCAAGCATTCCTGCTACACCACCAAGTAACGCTTCCCAGCCCGCTCACCCGCTTGCGCGAACAAAGCAGGGTACTCGGGAAGACCCCAACCACACCACAGAACTGAAGGCAAGAAACAGCACGTGAGATATACCCAGTAAGGAGAAGCAACGGAAGCCCCGGTAGGCGCCGCAGGGAGCAAGCAACCAAGGAAGTTGACGAGTGACACGAGGCAAAGCAAAGAGGAGCGAGCAGGCATCGGTGCACAAACATGCGCATCCACAAGACAAAACAGAGCACGCAGTAACTTAATGAATGATGTGAATTGCATCGCGCCAGAAGTAATAGGCGTCCCCCAAATACTGACCATAAATGAAGCCGCCGCGGGAGCAACCAACCAGGACCAAAGGACCGCCCAAGGGAGGAAAGGACCAACCAAGCATGTCCCAGCCAGAGAATTCCGAGCTAAACGGGCCCAAGACGTCGAGATGTCTTCACCCATCAGCTTCTCTGATATCCCAGACTTGACCCCGGCACGGCAAACTCAGTGAAGTAGACCGCGGGGGACGAACGAAAAGAACGTGAGGCCTGCTGCTGCGAGAACGCAGCGGCCAGAAGAAAAAAGAAACGCAATGAAAACGAGAAACGATCTGCTTAGCCAGCCATCATCCTATCCGTTCCTCGTGACTCGTCATGAGAGAGTATGCCGCCGAGAGAAAGCCAAGCACACGAACAGCGGAACCGGAAAACGCCTAGCAATGCCCCAGAAAGACAAAGCAAGATATGGTGAAAACCAGACGAGGTCCAGAACGGGGAAGAAGGGCAGCCAAGTTCAAACTGTCAACCCCTTGATGCTTTTCCGAGACCGTTACACCTTTCCCCAAACTCCAGCACATAACGAGTAATATGAGCTCACAACGAAAGTTACTGTGGATGATCGTTAGCACTGGACTTCGGAGGCGAGGCTGAGCGGGGAAAGCGCAAACTTACGGCCATGGGGCCAGGAGGGGGACCCTGGGTCGGGTTGCCGCTGAAAGGAGGGCCACCGTAGGGGCCACCAGGGCCGGGAGGACCGCCATGGGGAGGCATGCCACCGCCCATGTAATGGGGAGGGGGCGGGGCCGGGCGGTAAGGGGTGCCGACACCCGAGTTGTTCTGCGAACGGCCCCAAGAGAGGCGGACACGCGAGTTTCCGATCGGATACCCTTGCATTTGGTTGATCGCCATCTCGGCGGCATGGCGATGAACGAACTGCACGAAACCGCAGCCTTTGCCGGGAGGGATCTTGACGTAGGTAATCTCGCCAAATCCCTGGAAGAACGAGCGAAGCTCATCCTCGGTGACGTAGCCAGACAGACCACCAACGAAGACGGTGGTGTTGTTGGGATCGGTGAATTGGTTCATGGGTTGCAGCGGGTTAAAGGGAGTGGCTTGACCGTAAAAGGCGGGAGTTCCCCACATAGGGCCAGGATGTCCCGGGACGGCCGACATCATCTGGTTGCCACCTTGGGCCTGGGCTTGGCCGTGACCGCCATACTGGTGAGAGCTGTGGGGGATTAGTTTTCATCTTGAAGCTAATAGTGGTCGACATACCGAGTCTTCGGGGTTGCCGTGGAGATGCGCATCGGGCGGTTGCCGCAGTATACGCCTTGCATCTCGACCAACGCACGCTGCTGGTCTGACTCATCGCTGAACCGGACGAAGCCATAACCGCGGGATTGGCCAGTCATGGCATCGGTCATGATCTTCGCTGATTTGCAAGATGGGAACCGAGATTGAAACAATGAGACGAGGACGAACTCGTTGACCTCCGGGCCGAGGTCGCCCACAAAGATGCTATATTCGGGGCCCCGGTCATCCCTGTAACTTGGTTAGGAGGAGTTTATGACGATAGTGGGCCTGGAGGTTATACCGTCTGTCGACGAGACCACCGCCGGACGCCCAGTTAAGTTTGAAAACCCGGGTAGAATTCGGCACCGGTGTGCCATTAAGGCTTAGAGCCTTCTGGGCGGCCTCAGGGGTCGAAAATTCGACGAAGCAATAACCAGCATTGCTAGAAGAGCTTCGGATTAGCACATACAGGCAATGTCTAGGGAAAAAGAAGAGTGACATACCCGGAGTTGCGGTCACGGATGACCTTGACCTGGACATCTTCACCAAGGACAGTGCGACAGATGTTCTTAATAAAAGTTTCGTCCATCCAACCCTCCATTTCGCCCATCCTAGCACGATTGTTAGCCGATAGATTTGAGAAACGCGATAATGACGCCAACGTACCACAAAGTTTTGGCAGCTTCGTTGGAGCTGGGCATAGGGGCGGGGGGGGCGAAGTTGGCATCGCCGTTGCCGTTGATGTTCGAGCCGTTAGTGGCAGCGCCCGGGGGGCCGGTAGCGGTATATTCAGCCATGATTCTATCAACAATATTAGCTGAGTCCAAGAATCATACTTGGGCAAGAGTAAAAACGGAGGATAACCCGAGGGATTACAAGGTCGAACTGAGCGTGATGTTCGCTTAATGTAACAGGAAGCTCGAGGGCAGAGAAAATCGACTCTTAGGAACCGATGATCCAAGGCGGCCAACTCGCTCGGGAGACAGAAGAAAAAAGTAATAACTTACTTGTGTTCGACGTAGAAACGATGATATCGCCGATGAAATGATGATTCAGAGCTGTAGAGTTGGTGGTTAATGATCGTACGAACGCACGAAGCTGGGCGAAAGAAGTGGTCAAGTCGCCGAACGCGCTAAAGGTGGCGGTGGTTGGTAGAGAAAGATGGTGGAGGGAAGTAGAACGCGAGGGGAAAGGAAAATGGGAAGGTCCAGTTTATATGGAGGGGCTGGAACTTAGATGACAGAGAAAGAGGGTGGAAAGAGGGTGGAGGGAGGAGGGTAGAAAGAGAGGTGAGAGAGGTGAAAAAGGAAGCGGGACGGGGTAGTTTATATGGCCCCAAGCGGAGGGTCCCAAGGGAGAGGATACTCCAGATGGGTACGGGGTATGGTATCACGTGAACTTCCACACAACCCCAACCCAACCACCCATCTGATGTCTCGCTCGAGACTTTCAGGTCGATCAACGATGAAATCGAGATCCTGCCCGGAGATCGTATCTAGGGTGGGTACTCCGCAGGCTGCCACGTAACCTTCATCCCATGTTTGCACCTGATATCTCGCCTCCCACATCGCCCCCGAAGAACGAGAAGGTGAGGTGAGTGGGTTAGTTGTTTACATGAACCCCCGTGTAAACAAAAAACAACAGGCATCTGCATAACCCCCCATTGTGAATCAAATCCCTGACTCGTGCGAGAAGGAGAATGCCAAATGAAGTCGGAATCGGGCAACAAGCACTGACCCTCGCCCCAGTTGTTCAGGCAGTAAGGCTGGTGGAGTTGTAGTTAGGATCGTAGCACAGGCTTTATAATGGCGAGCCTCGCAACGAGTGTTCAAATTTGGAAGAAAAGAGAGGATCTCGAGTCGCGCCCAAGACTTCGAGAATGTCTACTCGGAATAGTGTAGTGAGACCGACTTCATCCCAGGATATTTTATGTGTTTTCTCGAGGGTACGGAGATGAGAGAGGAGTTTGTGTGCGTGGATAACACCAGAAAACCCGTTACTTACCTAGCAACGTTCTACAAGGAAGAGACCAACGCCGAAGAATATGCCTGTCGAAGTCAGCATTCACATAAGCAACAAGGGGTGGATGGAAAAAGGCGCGGTGTGTGGGGAACCAGGCTTTGGGATTTGGGCGGCCACCCTCTGGGATGTTGAAGGCAGGGCCACCTTTGTGCTCGGCCCACAGCCCTGGTGCGCGCCTCCATCTCCCCAAAAGGCAAGGGGTCTGGTAAAGTGGGCGGGAAAGCACCTTGCCATCCCGAGAGGTGAAATGAAAGGGGCGGTCAGGCAGAATGAGGCAGTAACAGGGTCACCCACAGCGAATTTGACGAGGACTCGTGGGGTAAGGACGCAAGGAGTAGAATGGTGATCCGTTGCAATGTTTTCCGCAGACCTAGGATACCCGTGCCCGTTAGCCACCGTGTCTATGGAGAAGCAAAATGAGATCACAGCTTGCGTCAGATGACGGACGTGGGCAAGCGATCGGGTTGTTGTTGCTTCAGGCGTCTCGCGCGATGTGCCAAGCGTTAGATGAGAACTCCGGCGGACGGCCTGGGCCATCCGCAGTGACGCCGAGCTTGATCTTGACGCCGAGCTTGATCTTGACGCCAAGGGATCCCTGCTAACCACGCCTGCGTGCGGCCGCTTTCCTGGGAGGCCCGGCTGGCAGAACCAAAGAGACAGCAGGCCGACCGAAGCCGCAGGAATCGAAACCCGTGGCGCCGCTTACGATAAATAGAGAGTCAAAGACATACCGATCAAGTTGAGGCAAGGGCAGTGTAAATTTGCCTAGTGGAATCTGAAACGCTCACGGGCAAACCGCTGTAATGAAGTTGAGCCAAATCGAAGACGGTATCCAGGATCCGAAGAACAACTCTTGTGATTGACGCCTTGACGCCGTGAAACTCAGACCCCGAAGAGCAGCGTTCGAAGATACGAAGAGATCGCGGAAGCCTTGGGCAAGTCCCGATAAGACAAAACGGGTAAGGGCAGAAGATTCGGAATGAATACGGAAGAGTAAAGCTGGCCCCTCGAAGCGAAGTCGGATACTGGATCCTGGCGAGGGTTCAACGGTATCCGAAATACGCTCGAACCAAACCAAATGCAGCCTGTTGAGGATATCGTTAGCATCCGAAGAAAGCAGGAGTGATTGCTGCAGAGCACGAGTAAGAAATAGCAGTCCGGGTGGCGATGGCTCAGGGCGAAGGGTTCGTAAACTGGAACATTGCCAGCACCAATAATGCTCGAGATTTGGTTTGTCGTGTAAGCCCGTACTCGTACAACGCTTCGGAGAGGCTGGGGAGAAGTGATCGGGCGAGCGGCGTGCGAAACCGGACCTTGCTTGGGACTCAGGGACCGAGTAGAACGGTGGAACCAGCAAAGGAACCAAGACCGGGAAGGGCACCGTCAAGTTGCAAGATCGCCGTTGCATGGACGAAATCGCATGGCGAATACAGGAACCTCTTCAAGGCGAGAGGAAAACCAACAGCTTCGGAGCTCTGTGCATCACCGCAGAATGAAGCCTCAAGGAAGTAATCCGGCCGCTGGCACCACTGAGCCTCCGTAATGGTCTTGAAATGTGGCCGGTGTGAGCCGCGTAGGAAGCGCAAATTCGTAGACAGGCTTCGAGACGAGTTGGAGATCGCATGGTGTCTGCGTTGGCGGGCGGCTGGGCAGCTCTCTGGAAAGACCTGTCTTGCGCCGCTGGAGCGAGCCCTCGAGGACAGACAAGGGCACCTCACCAAGTCCGATCGCGGGACATGATGCAGGACGCAAGAGTTGGTTGAGCCAGGCCATATCCTGAGTTTGACTGAATCCTCATTTTCGCTCTCGACGTCATACCCCTCCGTGGCTAGGAATTGCCCTAGTAGAATTGCTGACCTCGAGCCTCATATCCACAACCATGGTGGAGCACGGGTACGGTCGTCCGGAGTGTGAACCCCAACACCGCTGCCATTCGGTCTCCCCCAGAACGTGTCGAAGGTACCCCAGTAGCCCTGAGACCTCGGAATACCAAAACGGCCACTCGAGGGGACATCTTCGGTGATTGTTGCGGCAAGGACCAGAAAACACCGTGCTCGTTGAAACCCATGTGTTTCGTGAGAGTCTATGAGTTTCCATCCCCAAGAAGGGATGCGAAATGACTGCTACCCTTGGCTGGTCCCTTGGGCGTCCGTCCACAACCAAAGCGGGTGCTATGAGCACAGAGGAAACCTGAAACGAATTTCTACCGTCAAGCTGAAGACACCAAGCGATGGTGATTTGTAACGGCGGACGCGCTTGTATCAACGCTCGTATCAAAGCGCCAGGAGGAATTCGTTGTGGAGAAATCTCCTGATGTCCAAAGACTAACACCAGGGCCAGGGGACCGCAACTTCCGAGTTTCGTTCGGAAGATTGGCCGCAAGGCTGAAGGTATTCAACGCAGGATCGACTGATTTCCATCCAAGGTCTGCTCCCACAGGTCCCAACTGCTCGACAGGGGTACGGCATAATTGACGGCATAGGGAAGCCTCCTCGATTGGCTGTAGCGAATGTTGGGAATCGGTAAAGTTTATGTACCGTCGCACTCCGATGGAACCTCGCACGCAAAGTCTCCCCCCTCCCCTCCCAGTAGTTCGATCCAATCTCCCAAGACCAACGGCGGTGCACTCCGGCGAGAAGTTTCGGCACATCGAGTATCACGAACGATTATACGGCGATTCGCGGATGGTGAGGGTTTAAGGTCCGAGGAGGCTACTGGAGTTCTCGCAGTTCGACGGCGGCGGAGGTGGATTCGAAGGGGCGCATCGCGAACGGAAGTCGAGGGATTACCCAAGGAGTGTCGTAGACAAATCCAGTATCCGGAACCAGCAGTCACCGCTTAGACGTCCAAGCCCACCCGCGCGCCACGACCAAAGTTCCGTCCCATATCCGACCACAGCATCCAGCTCCACTTGATCCGAGGTACAATATCCAGAGGCCTGACAAACACGATTCACTGGCAGGGGTAATGGAACTTACTGTTACAGAAAGCTGGTGGCTAGAAAATCTCCTATCCTTATGCCACGAAGCGGTTGACAGGCGATTACGGGGAAGACGAGACGTGGTCTTGTCTCGACTGCCGAAAAAGACTGCCGGAAGCAATGACGCCAAGTGCGACACAATGGCCGCAACGGACACAGCAAAACGATGCTTTTCGAAATCGCAAGCAGTACTGGGCGCAAGGAGAAAAAAAACAGCAGAGGAGCACGCGGGGAGCGGGTGGTAGAGGGGCAGAAACGAAAAGGAAAAAACAGAGCAGAGACTGAAGGGGCGCTGTGGAGAGAATGCAGTGTGGGAGATAGAAAACTGGGAAGGCGCCGAGTGTCGAGAGGAGAATTTGCCTGTCGAGTGGATTGGTAGGGTGGGGAAAGCCCAGCCCAAAGCGGCCGACCCAAGCGCAACGATCTCGTCGGCAGCCCCTGCTGTTACTGAGTGCCATGCACCCGGCTGCGCAAAACACACCCCCAGGCTACCACAATACAACGTTGGGGTGCACGCTCGCCGGCCGTTTTCTCCGGCGACTCCGTATCACGGACGGCGGGGTGAAGAAGTCAAAACCCGCGAAAAACACAACGACAATGCAATGTATCATCCCGAACAGCCTAGGTAATTGATTGCTACGTGTCCCAAACTAGAACCTACCAAAATACAATAAACACCCCCAAAATATACCGACTTGGGTTTTGCTGATACACTCCCGGCTTCTGCAGCAATGGGGATGCCCCTCAAGCCTCCCCGTGCTCGTTCAGTGTGTTTGTTACACGACGCAGGCAAGCGCATACCTGTATGTAGGTATCTTGTACATGGAGCGATGGCCACTTCCGCCACCCGATCAAAAAGCTCAAGGTCGGGCGAGTTGCCAGCGATCCCTCAGCGTCCAGACATTTTGCTGCTTCGACCGCTCAGTCTCCACTGCTGCAGCTTCCGACAGATCACAAGATTTTACGGCAATGGTTGCTGCTTCCCGCCCAGCGGAGTGCGCCCCAGGACCCTCATGGAGATGATGCGCAAGCCATTGGAAGAGCGAACAAATTTTGATGGACCTAGGGACACACCCTTCCGTGCCCCCATTGCATCGCCGCCCGTTAAGCTTCAACTCGCCAAACGTCCAGCTGGAGGTAGCATTGATAGTCAGGTCACATGCAGTGCTCAAGTGACAATCCAAACAACGTCATTTGTTTCGTTTCAGGTACGTGTACGAATTATGTACATCCATACAAATCGCGTCTTGCTTGGCTTCAAGGTTGCGGTTCATGGCGGAATGTGACAATGAACGGAGCCCTCACGCATGCGACAATGGATCTTATCTTCGACCCTCGACTCCCCGGGGCGACCATTCTTTGTTGTTAGTTTGGCGCCTCGACAGCGCAAGCAAGACGGATATGAGCAGCCAATGTCTCGGACCGGCCGCCAAAACCCAGCTGCGGTTGCGTTGTGTTGTCGTGTTGTTTCTTGAAGCGCTGGGAGGCTAGCCTGGCTGGGCAGAAACACCCTTCCCCACTATGTTTAGGGCTCAGCAGGGGTAGGCGTTTGAAGCTGGAGAGGCGCACAGACTGGAAGCTGTTGAAAGATCCCGTCCCAGCTTTCCTACTGGCTGACGTCGCCAGTCTCGCCTTGAAGCCGGCCCAGTCGGACGTCATGGCAGTGTGGAGCGAATCGAAATTCCATTCGGGTGTCGGCATCGCCACGGGGATTTTTATCCCCTCAGCCCCTTCACCCTCTCACCAGCATTCGCGCTTCCTCTGCAGCCGATGTAGCGCATCGCTCCGCCGTCATATGAGCCGGCGACTTTTCACGATCCGATGCTGGGACATTGCCCTTCCAACTCCTCCGTACACAGGACTCAAGGGCAGACGGTGATGATTCGGCCCCGGGGTCTGCATGGAAAGGCATGTGCAGATGTGCAGATTATGTACATGCAAGTCAACTGCACCCTTCCGATCACCTGCATGAAATTGATCAACGAATCAACCGGCTTAATCAGATCGTACCACTGATACGCACTCACCGATTGTCAAGCCTAGACCGAGGCCAGCTGATTCCCCCTCAACGACATTGACCAGTCTTGAGCCGGTCTGCTGCTCCCGCTGGAGGAAGGTCGCTGTCGGGTGGATTCTCTCACCCCTTGCGTATCTGGGCCGCGACACGTGGTGGTACCATCCCGCCGCCTTAATGCCGTGCAGATCACCAAGATCTCGTTTACCATTGACCCGGAAGCCACCCAAAAACAGGAGTTATTATCGACGTCAATTTTGCCCGTTTTGTGATTGCTGTAGATTACATTTTTCAATCGAGACTGTACGGCTAAGGTGTGCGAGAAAATCCCCCGTCGTGTTCACGTCAGAATTTAACGAGTCAGTCAAGGCAACCCGCGTTCCCTTATGAATTAAACCCCGCGCCCCCTTAAAATCCTAAGTCGGGTGTGTCTCTATCAATCACCTTATCCGCGTGTTTGCTCTGTGGCTGTCTTCTCGCCCGTCATTCGCTGCGATGCTGAGGGCGCGAATGTCGTCTCCATCATGTACCAGGTCCCGCACGTAAGGCGAAGCGGTCTTACCGCACATACCGTGCAGGTGTCGTGCTCCATAGAAGGCTCTCGTCGACAACGTCAGCTCACGGGATCAGCCAGATCTGGTCTGCTAAACTTTGATCAATGCCGTCTCTATCCGCTTTGTAGCTACGACTCTTCATGTGAATCGACATCGCCAGTGTCAAGGACAAGGGCAAGGCAGCCTGAGGACCCCGTCAACCCTCGTCATCTGCGCGATATCGACGATTTCCTGGCCAAGTAACCGGGCAGTGCACCGCCCCGCGAGAGGTCGCTGAGTCAACCAGGTAACCGTAACACCTTTCACCGTTAGGCTCTGCATCAAACAAAGCACACACCTGGCATCGTGGCAACCATTTCTTGTGCGGTGCCCCAGCTGCAACGGTCCGATTTGGCCAAACAGCCGGAGCCGCACAACAGCGGTTAGGCTGCAGGGGCGCATTGGCACCCCAACCACTGACGGGCATGGCAGTCCTCCACAACGACCAAGAAGTTCGTGGTCACCCATTGCCCATCTTGGCCTCAGTAAGGGCGGGGTTGTCCAAACTCAAAGGCACTATCAACGTACATACATGCAGCCCGGCTTCCTGCGACTCTGTCAGACCTCCGAGAAGACGGTAAAGACTGACTCTGGGCCAAGAACCGAGAACAGCCCACGGGGTGTTGCAAACGACAGCTTTCCAATCTGCCCGCGCTGATCACACTGATTCGCCGACGGCGTCTGAGACAACTAGTGCCGTCACTGTCGTCAACAGACGGCGCTCTGACCTCGAGGGCCCGAGCACCAGTTTCTAGTGTGCGGGGAAGCGATCTGACAAGACTTCACTTAGACACCATCGTCGTCACCAGAGATGGGAGAGTGGGGTATTGCATCATCGTGAATCGTTGCTATTAGCTGAGGTGATTCAATCAAAAGCTTAGACCTGCCACCACCGTCTTGAGATCGCCATCTCCACCCGGAGTCTCCCGAGGCGCCGTTGCCTGGTTGCCTAGGTGGCGGAGAAGTGGCCAAAGATTCAGATGTCACTCCCGTTGGCATTCTCACTCCAAACGCATGGCCCGCATTGCTCTTCCAGTGACGTCGTCGGTGAAGCAGCGAGGACCAGTGCTCTCACCAGTCACCTGAGAGGTGGCGTGTTCCATATTTTACTTCTCAGTCGTCGAAAAAGAGAAGACGACAACGCCACCCATGTGGCCAAAGGCTTCGCCGGCCGCGAGTGCCGTGTGTTAGTTGTTCGGAGTATGTGATCGAGGAAAAAAAGGTTAACCCGATGGTTGCGAGGGACAACCAACCACAGCCACATGATATTGTTGTGACTTGTTACCTGGGATCACGAGAAATACGATTACCTATAGTAGCAACTTCGTAAAGAAAGACAACCCAAAGGCACTTTAGCATCTAATCAGAGATGGCTAGGTGACTTCATAGTATTATTGTTCAGTCTTAGACACTGCGTTATCCTGTATAATGTTCGCCATCTTTCGATCTCGTGACTCGGATAAGCAACGAATGAACCTCCGGTAGTTATCAGTTATAGAAGTTAAAGCTTTCGGATGGAACGCATGTTTGGGAGTGGTAAATGTTGAATTCATGAATGATACGAAGTGCCGGATGGAGGTGAGTTTATAGGCTCCTCTCATAAAAAAGGCGATACAAGGTAGGCCCGACAATTCGGTGTCCGCCGCCTCACTCATTGTAATCCAAAAGCGCCTGGGTCATTGAAGTCAATGCCCGAGTTATAGTTATGCGGTGACTGTGTGAATGCGCAAACTACGGACTGGGAATGTATGAGAGATGTGGGCAGAATCCACTACAAACCCGCACTCTGTCTGAAAGGGTGCCCATCCTCTGAGATTGAAGATAGGCGATTATGAACCGGTGAGGCAGAAACGAAGGAAGCAGACACGAAGCGGAGCAGATGCGAGAGTTCATCATAAACATCAAGTAAAGCAAATTGGGTAGCTATTCGTAGTGAGGGCCACCCTCACACTGAACTACCTACCTGTCTACTTGAGCAGCACCAGACACTCCCGCCATGCCTTCTGCACCTCAAGCGACCTCTCCCTACCCACAGCGGTATCAACCGCCGTCTTCACCCCCGACACCCACTCCGTATCCGCCTCGAGCCCGATGCCCTTGCCCAGCTGCATCGTAGCCTTGACTGCTTTGGCCCTCGCAAGACGCTGGTCTTCAGTCCCAGAATCATCCGTCTCCATATCCAGGGTGTTGAAAAACCACGTGAGGAGCTCACGTTTACCTTCCAACCCAGCACCCTCACCATCAGGGACAGCACCCTCGTTGAGCGCCTCCTCCAGGACCTCCCGCACGCAGTCATACCAAAACGCCCGGCGGACGGCCGCAAACTCCGGCTTCGCAACACACGGCGACCGGGCGTTGAGGGCCTTCCCCTTGCCACCACCAGCTGCGGTCTCAAGCGCGAGGACAATCTCCCGAAGAATAGCCACAGGGCGTTTCTTCATTTCGATCCGGTTGTACCCCTTCACAACGGCTTCCGTAGCAGCCCAAACCGTCTGGGCCTTGAGATCCATCCCCCCCCTCGCCCCCTTCCCACCCTTAGGCGGGTCAACATCCATCGCATCGCCATCTTCCTCCTCCTCCTCCACCGCAAGATACGGCTCCACAATCCCCACAATCTCCCCCAGCATGTCCAGGTCCTCCCTCTCCGCAGCAACCTTCCACAAACACGCAAACGCATGCGGCCGGTACACCTCATTATTACGCTTGGCCTCCCTCACCACCACCTTATTCAACTGCGCCGCCAAACCCGCATCCGCCTCCCACAGCGCTCTCGCCGCCTTGACAAACTCGGGCAGCGGCTCCAGCAAACTTCTCCTTCTCTTCAAACGTCTTTCAGCGCCAGCGCCCTATCATAAACGGGCCACACCGCCGCCAACGCATCAACATTCGCTCTGCCGGACGCCTCGCCCGCGCCCACCACCCCCTCCACGGCCGCCGCGACCGCCAACGCGCCCGCATGCTTCAGCGCCCACTGGGCGGTGCCCAGACAGGCCTCCACCAGCGCGACGACCTCGCGCAGGTAGCGCACGACGGTGAGGGCGGTGCTCCCCGCCTGGGCGTCCCAGACGTCGCGGGCGGCCTTGCGCACGTAGTCGTCGGTGTCGTGGCGGGCGAGGAAGGCGAAGGGCAGGAGATGGGTCTCGAGGGCGGCGAAGTGGTCCGGGGAGATCTTGGCAACGGCGAGCACGGCGTCGGCGACCTTTTGGCGGCGGGTTTCGTCCGTCGAGGTGAGGTAGAGGGTGACGAGGTGGTCGGCGAAGCGGGTTTTGGCGTCCGGGGTGGGGATGATGCGCAGGAGGTAGGCGGCGGCGCGGGCGTAGTTTTGGCTGACTTCGTCGTTGCGGTCGAGGGTTTGCTTCTCGAGGAGGGTGAGGAAGGTGGGGGAGTGGGGGGCGAAGGTGAGGGTGTGCCGGGTGGCGAGGGTCGAGATGACGCGGGCGCAGCCGATCTTGGTGGGCATGCCGAGGGCGGTTTTGACGGAGTCTTGGAGCTTGGGCGCAAAGTCTTTCATGACGGAGACGTCGACGCTGCGGAGGCAGTTGTCGATGGCTTCGGCGATGGGGCTGCGCGAGACCATGGCGCTGCGGAGCTTGTCGATCTTCTCGCGGTTGTCTTCGCCCGCGCGTTGGTAGTGGTAGTTGATGGCTTCGGGCTCGATGGTGCTCAAGAGATCGAGGAGGTGCGGGACCATGGTGGGAATGTAGGGCTTGAGGGCATCGCCGCCGCTCTTGGCGATCTTCATGACGGTGATGGTGGCGAATACTTTCACATCTTCGGCACCGCTCTCTATGCCCTTGTCGGAGAGTAGGAATGGGAGAGCTTCGTTCATCATGGCATTGGCCGTTGAGGTAGAGCCGGATTCCTCGAGTTGGCGGACAAGCGTCGTGGAGAGTGCAATGCAGAGATGTAGCGCCGCGTTACGCACCGTGGCCTTGACGTCGTCAAGTACTTTGAGTGCCGCGGTCCAGATATCCTTGTAGTATGGCTCGTACATGGGGAAAGGCCGGCCAGACACCAGGTCAGAGATGGCAGCGCAGCTGGCCTCACGGACACGCCATTCTTTGCCGAGGATGCTCTTTAGCAAATCCTTCATGATGCTGTCAAAATGTGTCTCCATGACGGTCTTTTGGTCTTTCACCAATGCCTTCCAAATATCGTTCATCGAGCGCTGGACGTTCTGGTTAGGGTCGAAGCGGTAACGGTAGAGCTTTGGGTAAAGCTTGGGGTCGATCTCGGACTCAGAGAGGATGTTGCTGATCCCGAAGCGCCCAAAGGCGGATCGAGTGGACCAGGTCGCGGCATTGGTCGCGAGCGACATGAACTTGTAAACTAAACTCGGATCGCCAACCTCGTTTGCCAGGCTGACGATGTCCTTGTACGAAGTGACGGACTTTCCATCGCCGGTGGGGAGGGCGCCAGCGTCGAAGAGCTCCGTCTCCTGATCGACTTTGAGCTGTGGCCCGGAACCCGTGAATGAGGAAACGAGATCTCGAACGAGTTCGCCCTTGAGGTCCGCGTCACCCTTTTCGTACACCAACGCGAGCCCTCGGGAGGCGGTCTCCTGGACAAGCTCGTCTCTTGCGCTGAGAAGACGCATGAACGCAACCTGGCACTCTCGAAGTCTCGACTGGATCTCCTCCAAGTGAGAGCAGTGTTGAATGACGCAAAACAACCAGATACCCGAAGCCTTGAGCAAAGATGGCTTAGTGGTCTTGCAGTCTGTTAGGAGCTTCTCCAGGACTTTGGTAAGACGCGCACCGCGCTTGGGGACTTCGTAGTTAGCTGTTTCGGCTTGCACATCGACAGTGAGCCGCACGACGTCGGCGTTCCAGCATGCAACTGCCGCTGCGATGGCTTCACCGACAGCAAAGTGCACCTCGGCCTGCCTGATTTCGTACAAGGAGTACAACTTCTCGAGGATCAAACCGAGTGTGTCATCGGTTGCGTTGCCGTCTGCCGCTCCGGATACTGGAGCCGAGATTGCAAGCCGTCCGAGGGCGGTGATGGCCTTCTCGTTGCTCTTCTTCGCATGGATCACGAGTGGATCGATGAACTCCTTGGACAAGACAGAATGGAGACTCTCTCCGGCGTTGCTATTTTCCGGTACCGCCTGGATGCCCGCGGTCCAAAGTTGGGAGTACGCCTCGAATAGCGCCTCCTGAGTAGACGTTGTTTTGGAAGAAACCGCCTGAAGTGTTGGTAATATCTCGCCAAGGTTGGTAGCTGTACTGTCAGCCCCATCTGCGGCGTAGTAGATCCGCCTCGAGACCAAATGACCAAGAGCCACGAACGCGCCCTCGACAGCATTCAGCTCCGATCCCACCGCCGTGGTGAGGTTTCCTGCGATGCTGGACAGTGATTCCTTGAAGCTAGCGACCGCCTCGGCTGTGTTTGAAGGATGAGCCGCAAGAATTCCAAAGGCCCGTGATCCAAACACCCGGAGCTCCTTCTTATTGGACCTGATCAAAGGCAGGAGCTCGATCGACCGGGGGGCTAGGTGTGCTAAGATGGCCCGTGGCGACAGCGACGCGATGTCGACAAACGCTCGGGCACACGGCTCAGCGATCCTCGCGTCTTCCATGATCATTCCCTCAAATGCAGCTCGCAAGAGGCGGGAGAGAGCGTGCTCCTGGCGGGTGAACGGGGACAGGTATTGCCGAATCGTCAGCCGGCTGGACAAGTCGGTTTGCAAAAGCGTCCCAAGCCGCCGCTCCCATCCAGGCTCAACCTGAAAGTCCTTGAGCGCTGTCAGGAATAAGATCCGCTTGCAATAATCGACAGCGACGGGAAAAGCTAGGAGTGATGGGGCAGAAAAGTTGACAAAGACGCCTGTATCGTCTACGTCCATTCCTTGGTTGCCCCATAGTGAAGTAGCGTTGAGCGGCACGATAGAGTCCTTGAAGAACATCTGAACCATCTCTTTCCAGTCGGGCAAAGCCCGCGACTTGTCGTCGTTGGCGTAATACGTCCATGGGTCTAACCCCTTCTGGCCCTCCTCGACCACGTCGCTGCGCTCGTCTGGTCGTCCAGCGATCGCGAGAACATCGATCCAGCGCGCGTACACGTCAGAGAAGAGCAGACAATTGTTGGCCCACTTGGTGACAGCGTGACGGGAGCTCCGGACGGCATCTCCATCGTCGTCCTTTAGCGTCATATACGTCAGGAGGATTGACTGGAGTTGCGTGTTGATGGAAAACCCGTGTGGGGGCTTGAACAGACTTGTGAGACTGGACAAGGCGCCGTCAATGTTGACGACAACGTCAGGGGTCGGATCCTCAGAGAGGGAGCGAAACAGCCACCCGGTCAAAGAGAGTCGTTCGCTGTCTGACATGACCGCCCCTTTGGCAAGGATACCGATGGTCTCGTACGCCCTTGAGCGCAGAGTGCTCTCGTCAATCGACTGGCGTACGGGCTTAGGCCAGCCTTGGTCCCTGACAAAGTCTCGGAGTAGACCAACTAGGGGTGGGCCGATCTTGCCGTAGTCAGTTTTGCCGGAACCGATGCGCGCCACCCAGTTGATGAACTCAAATAGTGCTCGATGGAGCTTGTTGCGTTCCAAACCCGAGGACTTTACGGCGGATGGTTGGCCGTCGATTTGCATGGCGTCACCCGACTCAGTTTGAAGGGTGACGTTCAAGCGGAATGCAGCAAGGATTTCAGCGGTAAAAGTGGTAGCTGCTTCTGACTTGCTTAGAATCCCAAGAATGCGAATGCGGTACGGAGCTGGCAACCGAGAGTGTGCTTCAAACAGTTTTCGAACCAGGATTTGATCTTCGAGCGAGACAGAGCTCCTTTTCAGCATGTCATCCCCAACGCCGGATACGCGGTAGTCTGAGCTAGCCGCGGCGTAAATGGCGGGGATAAACTTCTCTTCGTCGGTAAAGGCGCCGCTAGCCAGCAAGTTGACGACTTGGATTCGGGTTTCCGCAAGGTTTAACCCGCCGGCCGCAGGGTTCCAAGCATCCGGCTTGCCAGATGTGAGGAAGTTGATGTCTGCCTCGATCAAACCCGGTGACTGAGTTGGGCCTGTCGCATTTGTCCGCAGCAACAGCAGCTTCCCAAGCCACTCTGCGACGAACTTGGCATCCTCTGGGTCTGCTAGGCCCATGGTTTCTCGGAAGTCAACATCTTCCTTGCTTCCTCGTGAAGGAATCTTGACTGCGGGAAGCATTCGCAGGGCGATACTGAAGAGTTGGCTGAGTGAGCTCGGCGATCCCCTGCTGATGCCATGGAGAGCTTTAGGGGCGAGGGCCCGGTGCTCATCAGCGTCCAGCTTCGCTACGCTGTGTTGTACGTAGATCAGGTCGAAGTGACGGACAAGGGCCTGTTCCGTCGCCTTGTACTGGTCCAGCAGGGCACCAACCGGGAGCACGATGCTATTCCAAGGTGTCAATGTCAATGTCAGTCGCCCCGCCTGGGCTTGATCAAGGACGCCTGGACCACATACCCTGGTACTTTGATCAGTTTATTGATGGTCTGGCATGTGGCTATGACCTATGACTAGCGCGGTTAGTGTCGTATTCCTGGCCCAAGAAAGGCGCCGGTGAATGTGTTACCTTGTTCCGAACCGACGCATGCTCGCTCCCAGCCTTCAACAGCAACGGGGCAAGGTACACCTTCAAGAGCCCCTGAAGCTTCGTTTCATCAGAGGATGCAGAGAGGATTCGCCATTCCACCTTTTCTATGAGATCTAGTTCTCTCTTTGCATCAACTTGGGCTGCCATACTCAGGGTCTCCCGCTGTTTGCTTCCGAGTGACTTCCAATGCGGGAATGGAGGAGGTTGAAGGGAAGTGGAGTTGGGCACTCGAGGTCGTGCTCATGAAATGATGGAAGTTCTCATGGGCTATTCGGATATGTGGTGTTACAAAAGCCAAAATAATTCTTGAAGTAATCGGGTCAGCTACAATGGAATCAAGCCCGGATGCAGCTCGGAACTTCTTTAAAGCACTGGAAGTCTTTGGCTGAGGTTAGGTGTTGGGGTTCGACGTGGGGTTGGACGCCAGAGGCTGCAGCAGTGCCGCATCAGCTGTGCCCTGATTCCTGACAGGCTGCCCCAGCACACGCAAGACAGGCCTGGAAAGCTCAAAGGAGCCCCAGCTTCGCCGCTAACCTTTCATGTTACTAAGCAGGGGAGCGAAGCATCCATGGAAGATTGCTAATCTTCAAAGACCGCCTTGCATTGTTATGTTATCCTCAAAAGGTCTACAATATGCTTACCAGGTATAGCAGGAGTTACTTTCATCCGTTCTTTTACTTGTGCATATTGATTGTGTACCGCTGTATTAGCTCACTTAGGGAGGGAGTTCCATGTCGAGTCTACGAAGTCTTAGTACAACCCTAACCCCAGTAATCCGCCACTGTTGGTTTGGCGGGGTCGGATCTGAATGATCCGGCTTCGGGCTGTTAGGTCCTTGCGTCACAGGTTGGCCGCCTTCAACGCAAGCCGAGGAGAGCCTGTCAACTGTGCCTTGCACAACAGTTTCATTTTCCAGTATCCGGGCCCGAACCCAACCTTTCACCATTCCACACACCGACTCCCAGCTTCAGTTTTACTTGCAGCAAGGAGGAGCAAAGGGCTCGTTTTCCCAGTTACTATTTACCTCTCGCACGATCAAAATCGCGGGGTACCATACGCCCTCCCCCCGCTTCAACTTTCGAGCCTGAAGGTTCGCGATTCCCCTCGCCCAACCTATCTTGCCCCGACAAACGTTCTAAACCGGCAACCATTAGCCATCGGCCACGATAATACCGATTATTGCAAGACTCAACGGGGCCTCCGTAGGCAACTAGGATCACCGACGCGACCCTTCGCATCTTCCGATAACCGATCCCGGTGTGCGCCCAACCCTCGTCCGCGAGTATGGCGAGCGAGGAAGACATCGAGTCCTTCGTGGGCATCACGGGAGCCAACCGCACAGCCGCTGAGCGCGTGCTAGAACTTTGTGGCTCGGAGCTCGAGCAGGCAATCCAGCTTTGGTTTACAGACGAAGATCTGCAACGATCATTGAGCAATGTCGGCTCGTCGGCAGCCGCTGCTACCACAGCACCTGCAAGCCGTCTCAGCCGACCCAACCGTCCGCAAATCGGCCGCGAGGATGCTCAAGGCGTCATCCATATCGATTCGGACGACGACGACGTACCTATGACTGAGGACGAGGCCGATGATGGGGAGGAGGTTGCTAGCGTTGCCCGGCGGGCTCAGGAGGAAGAAGACGCGGCGATGGCGAAAAGGTTGCAAGATGAGCTGTTCTCCGGTCCGGCGGGGGCAGATGAATCTAGCGATGCTGTACGAGCCCCCATGGCCCGCACAACTGAGACTCTGATCGGACCAAGTTTTGGCGGCGAGGGTGACGACGACGACGCGCACGCCGCCGTGCTCGAGCAGATGCGCAGGAGACAGCAAGCGCGCGGTGAGTTGGATCTTGACGTGATGTGTGAGGATTTTCGCTGATATATGTTCCACAGCTCGGCCTACTAACAACCCATTCGCCCAATCTGTCTGGGAGGACAACTCCGGGGCGCCAGGTTCCGCATCGTCAGGATCTGGCCGAGCCTCCCACCTCGCGAACTTGTTCCGTCCGCCATACGACTTGATGGCACAAGTGAGCTGGGACGAAGCCCGGGACGAAGGCAAGGACAGTAAGAAGTGGATCCTGGTGAATCTCCAGGACACATCCATCTTCAGCTGCCAAGCACTGAACCGTGATATCTGGAAAGACGAAGCCATCAAGTCCCTCGTCCGGGAGAATTTTATCTTCCTCCAGTACGACAAGAACAATATGGCGGCCGAGCAGTACCTCACGTTTTACTTTCCCAACGAAAGCCACCAGAATCCAGACAACTACCCACATGTCTCTATCATTGACCCACGGACCGGCGAGCAGGTCAAGGTGTTCAGCGGTAGTCCCTTCCCTAACGCGCTCGAGTTCCACGCGCAACTCGCCGAGTTTCTTGACCGGTACAGCCTGTCAGAAAATAGCAAGAACCCCGTCTCTAAGGCGAAACGGCCGGAGCGCGTAGTCGATGTCGATCGGATGACCGAGGACGAAATGCTCGAGATGGCGTTACAGAACAGCCTCAATGCAAACGGCGGAACAAAACAACCCAACATCCAGGATCCCGACGAGCTCACCAAGTCAATAGGCGCACTGGCAGAGAATGGCCAGCCCTCGACAGGATCAGCAGGGTTGGCGGCTGGAGAACCGGCAGCCTCCACGCCACAAGAGTCCGCGTTTGCCCGGATACCCTCGGACCGGCCTCATGTCGAGCCCCCGGCGGACCCGAAGACAACGACCAGGTTGCAGGTCAGAAACCCGCCCGGGCGCATGATTCGCCGGTTCCGTCTGGACGAGCCCGTCTCGCGGATCTACGAGTGGCTCAAGGCCGAGCCGCTCCCCGGCAAGGAGGGCGTGGAGTTTGAACTCAAGTCCATGCCGCCCAACAGCGCTGATTTGATCGAGCATCTCGACGAGACAATCCAAAAAGCCGGCCTGGCGAACGCTGTGGTTATGCTGGAATTTATTGAGTGAGAAGTCGGAAAGGCGGAAAGGGGGGAATGGATGGTGGAGAGGACTCCGTGGATTTTAGTTTTTTTTGGTGTGGCATCGTCTCCTCGGTTCAAGCTTGGCATGGTATGGCAAGGGTGGGTTGCACTAGATGGGCGCCAGGAGAGGTGGGCTTGGGAGGTAGACTGCGCTCTTATCAAAGGTGCGATGGGTTTTCACATGGGCTTGCAGATTTCACGGCGCATTTTCCAGCTTCCAGGTGGAACTGGCGCGATGACCCTGGTCTCGAAGCTCCGGCATGGCGTATATGTGTTCTTTGGCGCAGAGAACAGCACCAGCAACAGAACTAGGAGATAGAGGCATTGCCGGAACATTGGCCCTTTTTACTCCGCTTGCTGCTTCCAGTGGATTTTGGCCAACTTGGTGATCTTGCGGGAGATCGACAACCACAGCGAAGAAGTTGAGACTCAGGTCCGCCAGCCGTTGCCCAATCAAAGATGCTCGCCCCATGGGAGGCCGAAGCTGAGTCCCTCCCTTGGGCCAACCGAGCCCACCAATCAACCAACCAGCTTGTCAACTTGGTTGAGTGATGCGTCACCACACTTAGCTAACCCGGGGATATTGAATCGCAAGTGATGAGCGATTAGTAGCCACCACCTGAGAGACGTTGTGCGAGGTGATTCTAACTGGGAGCTAAGCACTGGTTGAGACATTCGCAAGCACAGCACTTGTGTCTGTCGCAGCTGGACCCCTGCCATGGCTTATTTTCTGTTTTCTTGGTGATTGATGGTTCGCTCGTGTACATGAAGATCTTATTCCCTGGGCAAACATTCCGCTTGTGTAGGTAAGAGAAATAATCTTGACCAAGAATTCCACATCTATGAAGGGATGATCTTGCTAGATTATTACTGTCTCGAATCGACATTTGTTTCTGGATAAAGCTTCCAGCCAGTTGGAGAATTCCGTGCCACGGTGAAGCGCCGAGCTACCCCAGCCAAGCACCTCGACCCCTGACAGGTGGAGAGGCGGGGAGCGGGGATCATGGCAACGTGGGCTGCGGGACAGTAAACAATCCCTCTTGGCTTTTGTTTCCTCGACCCCACATGTTCTGTCTCTGGCAACCAAACACGCCATTAACACTGCTACTTCTCCCAGTGAAAGGAGCTTCCGGGACAACCGCAGGGAGGCCGTTCCGTTCCCCTCCGGAGGATTTCTCAACAGCCTCACACCACGTTGAGCAATCCCGTCCTGAACCCCCCGAATCCGGTTCCTGCCTAAATCCGAGATCTTCACTTCCTTTCGAAGGCCCCGAGGCTGTGTTAGTTTCCCTGGCTATTGACGATCAAGGTACGAGCTACACCTAGAAGCACTCTCCTATCTCAGTAGGCATCTACTACCTCCATACCTCCATACACAACTACCTACGGCCAAGGAAAGTTTGGATTGCCCTCGCTTTTCCTAGTTGCAAGGGTATTCCCATCGACCCATCACTGGCAATGTTGCTTGCTACATCAAACAACACTTTGACTTCTGCCATTGGCTAACAGTCGAGCTAGTAGCAATAGCATTCCTCCCTTCCATCTCAACTTCTCCCAATTAGATCGATCGGGCCAACATACAGCACCCACATAGGATTCGGTTCAGCCTGTACCTCCCGGTCGTTCTTGCCCCAGCTAGATTGCTAGTCGAATTTCTACTCGAGCCCTCGTCCCCCACCGATATCGATTCTACCTATCCCGCGATCGTTTTTCGACCCACCCCCGACTTTTTACAGCCTTCGATAACAAACAGAATCCCAACTGGGTTCGTAGGGCACGAGGAGGAACCCAGACGTATGTGACGACGGACATAAAGCCTTTTTGTGGCTTCGAAGCAGTTCCATCCCTAGAACGTCTCTCCGTTATCAAGTCACCATGGTGGACCGAGAACCCCGAGAATACGACGAGAACGAGGGGTCGCTTGATCCGGAGGTGCTTTATACGAAGGAATACTGCATTGGTTGGGCCTCCTACCTGTGCGCCAACAAGAACACTTGAACTGACTGGGCCAACAGGTGGTGGTAGCTTCGGCAAGGTCTACAAAGGGTATGCACCTGTTATTGCCCAGGCACCCACGCCACAGGATTCTATTTTTCTTTAGGACTAACACTCTAACAGGGTAGACAAGCGAACCGGCCAGTCCGTCGCAATCAAGGTCATCGACATCGAAAGTGCCGAGGACGAAGTGGAGGACATCATTCAGGAGATCGCTATTCTGTCAGAGCTGCAGTCGCCCTATGTCACCAAGTACTATGGATCCTATGCCAAGGGTGCTGAGCTATGGATCGTCATGGAGTTTTGCTCGGGCGGCAGCTGTGCCGACCTCATGAAGCCGGGACTTATTGGGGAAGACTACATCGCTATTATCGTTCGCGAGTTACTCCTGGGGCTCGACTACCTGCACTCGGACAAGAAACTGCACCGAGACATTAAGGGTAGGTTCCCCAGGCGTGTTTCACGTTCCGAGTGATATACTTACTAGACAATAATAGCGGCGAATATCTTGCTTTCTGCTAACGGCCAAGTCAAGCTCGCCGACTTCGGAGTCTCCGGCCAGCTCTCGGCCACCATGACCAAGAAGAACACCTTCGTGGGGACGCCATTTTGGATGGCCCCTGAGGTAATCAAGCAGAGCGGCTATGACCACAAGGCCGATGTTTGGTCGCTAGGAATCACAGCACTGGAGCTTGCCAACGGCGAGCCTCCTTACGCAGACATCCACCCCATGAAGGTGCTTTTCTTGATCCCCAAAAACTCGCCGCCGAGGTTAGAAGGCAACTTCACCAAAGCTTTCAAGGACTTCGTCGAGCTCTGTCTACAGCGGGATCCTAAGGACCGCCCGTCCGCAAGAGAGATGCTGAAGCACCCGTTCGTTAGAAGAGCCAAGAAGACAACCTACTTGACAGAGCTCATCGAGCGGCACAGCCGATGGGCGGTGACCCACAAGCAGGACGACGACGACTTTGATGGTGACGACGGTGACCAAGTCGAAAATCGAGGGCCTGTGAACGAGGACATGTGGGACTTTGGAACCGTCCGTCTGGTCAGCGAAAGAGGCAACCTCGTTCACAGACCGGGCTTGCTCAACCCTATGGGAGATTCGGCCACGAATGCGAGGTCTTCTTCTAGGGCGTTCGATGCGTCTGATGATCACGACGAGAGAAGACGGGAAACCAGCCCCACCAAGCTTCCTGCTGACCCGAGGGATACTACTCTCAAAGCAGCGAGTGGGACGGGCACCTCCAGGCAATCATCTCCTCAAAGAAAACCAGTGTCGGGTCCAACTGTCGCCCCCTTGTCACCGGCCAAGGTGCCGCTCCCACCCTCCCCTGAGAAACTCTTCACAGGGATCGAAACCCCGCGTGCATCCCTCGTATCGAAGCCCATGCCACCTATCCCAACGACTGAATCGCCAGACTACGACCGCGTCTTACAAGAACAGCTCCAGCGCGAGATGGGCGTTATGAACCTCGGCTCGGCTATACAGCAACAAAGCCCCTCGCTCCAGTCAACAGCATCATCCTCGAGGCCTGGTGGGATGAGGATTCCGGAGATCCCGCCCTTCCGTGGAGCGCCACAACAACACCAGCCGGCATACACCAGGCCTCCGCCTGGCTTTCCACCGCATCCCCCCCAGACGCAGCCCCTTCACCCGCAACCCCTTCACCCCCAGCCGCTCCAAACCAAAAGCAACGTCCACCCTGCCGTGTACCAGTTCTACCCGCAGCAACAGACGCAGCTCCAATACCAACAACAACAACCCCAGAAGCCCTCCTACTCCAGCCAGCACATCCAACCGCTCATTTCCAAGGAGCTCCCGCGGCCGCTGCCCAACCACCTCGACAGCAGCGGCGCGCCGCTCTCCTTCCCCACGCCCTCTCCGTCCAACCCAGACAGCGACCTGGACGCCCTCAACGACGTCATCTTCCCGGCGCTCGAGGAGGCCCTCAAGCGCCGCCAGATCCACCTGCAGCAGGCCTACCGCGCCGAGCCGGGCATGCCGCCACCCCCCGTCACCCCCAAACAGCAGCGCGCCGAGGCCGCCCACGAAAAGGTCCGCAAGCTCGTCTACAAGCTGGCCCATGTTTGCAAGGAGATCGATCACTTTGATAAGGCGGAGCCCGTGGGGATGGGGAAGGAGGTCGGGACGTTCTTGGAGGGGCTGCTGGAGGAGATTTTGGTCAGGGTCGAGCCGCTGGATGAGGAGGAGGGTGGTGCTTGATCTTGATCGAGGGGATGTGGAATGGAGAGGTGGTGAATTGCTACCGTGGAAGTGGGGAAACTTTGGGTCCCTGGCATGTTGTGCAACATGGCCAGAGGACAGGGCGAGAGAGATGAGGTATGAGGACCCGGAAGTTGCTCGTGTTGCTAGTTGAGGGCAGGCGTTGGGCGAGATGGACCGAGAGAGTTGACATGATGTCTATGTGGGATGTGGGAGGCGTTGGCTGATACCATGGGAGCTTAAGCGAACCGGACCGTTGGGTCAGGGAGCGCGCTTTATATTTCGCTTTCTTTTTCATGATTGTTGTTAGAGTCGAAAGAACAGGTAGCTGGTGCTGGTGTCCTGGCGTCAAGGGAATATACATGTCAATGGCTTCACTTTACTTTTGTTTTCGAGGTGTCCTTTCCTAAAGTCAGTTCGAACCGGCGAGCGTGGACTTTTGTCTAGCCTAGGACTCTTGGTTGGGGTTGCATGGCATTTCACCCACTCGAGCGGTGGCATCATGTTCTGGGCGTTGGTCATGGCCCAATTGCTGGATTCTACACTTAGAGACTCCAGATCCTCGCAGACGCCCTCGATCAGAGCTTATCCATGAGCTTCGCCGCCGCATCATTGACGTTCGTGCCAAAATACCCCGGCGTGCACTGCAGATACAGCACCCCCTCCTCAATCTCCACCTCGCAGTACGTCTCATTCTTGAGCTTGTCCACCACGCGGAAGGCGTACTCGTTCGAGCTGACCGCCTCCAATACCCCCTCCTGCACCATCTCGTCCTCCCCCACCTTGATGTCCTTCATCTGGTACGCCAGCCCCTCAAAATACTGCAGCGTGAACGACCCCAAATTCCCCTCCCAGTCTTCCCGCACCGAACTGTCCCCCGCCTTGCGCGCGGCGTCCAGCGCCGCGAAGTTGGCGTCGAAGTTCGCGTTCAGCTTCACGTCCTCGGCGCGCTGGCCCAGCAGCGTGGCAATCTGCTCGCGCACCTCGCCAATCTTGGGATCGTAGTCTGCGCGGATGGATGTGCGCGCGACGAAGGAGAGCGGCGCGTCGCTGGGGGCTGCGTTGAGCGCCGCGGTGAGCTTGTCCTCGGACAGGCAGTCGTCGATGTTGGTGCCGAGGCTGCCCTCCACGAAGAGGATGCGCAGTTGTCCGTCGTGGACGTCGCATCCGCCGTAGGAGAAGCGCGCGGGGCTGGTCTCTTCCAGGTCGAGGGTTAGGAGGTGCGCCGAGCAGATGGTGTTGATCTCGGTTTTGTACTCGTCGCCGTGCTTGGAGCTTTGGTACTTGAGTTGGTAGATGGCGCCTTCGACGTAGCTGGTAGGTGGGGGGGTGGAGGGTTAGTTTGAGGTGGACGCGTGAAAAAGGAGGAGGGGAGAGCCTACGCCTTGATGCAGGAGCCGAGTGACTCCTTGGCGTAGCCGTCGTTGTGGTAGGGCCAGATGGCAAGGGGATTCACTTCGATGGTCCAGGCGGTCCCGAGGACTTCGGAGAGCTGGCTCTCGAGGTCGGCCTTGTTGTTCTCCCACTCGTCCCGGACTGGGTGGCGGGTGTCAGTATTTCGGCTATCTACTAGAGGGGGGCGTCAAGATCTTACCGTTCTTGCGCAGAGCAAGGGGAAGCTTCTCGGCAGCAGGGAGACGGGCCATTATGACAGATTGGTAGTCGAGGGAGTTCGGAGTGTGGAAGGGTTTGAGTAACCGGCGTTTGATGATGATGATGAGGTCGAACAACAGATCACGGTGGGAAGAACTCCCTCTTTATAACCATCTGCACGGATAGCTCCACCATCACTAACAGCTGTCTGTGATTTCCGATCACGGCGCCAACCTCTCCCGACGCAAGGCTCGTGGATTCCCTGCCAGGGACGGGAAGCCCATCCCTTGTGAAGCACTGCTATCGCCCGTTGCTTGGAACGTGGAACTTGGCGCACATCTGGAGCACCCCTGAACCTGCGCAAGACTGGCCGTGTTAGGAAAGTTCAAGCGGATGCTGGGGTATCGAACGAGTCACAGAACGGCACCTCAGCCTCGTGTCGCCAACAAATTCACCGCTGTGGAAAGGACTAATGTGAAGGTGCCTTACGTGCCCGGTTCCTGCGCGGGGCTGTCGCGGCTAACCGGTGATAGCGCGATGTGGGAGGGGCCTTCATGCAAGGGAAGTGCCGGTACGGAGTGGTCTCCGCCGGCTGCGCAGAGCTGAGCCACCGACGGACTCTGGAGGCCCCCTTTGCCAAGGATCTCCTATGCTCTTGGGATAGATTAGTCCATACTCTCTACATGTGTGGACGTAGGTAGAATAGTTATTCCGAGTCATTAAGGTCAGTGCAACAAACTCAGACTGACTTGGGAAAGGCTGGTGAACTGTCTGGGCGAATCCGCCTCGCGGATTGCCCTCCCCTGCCAAGAGACATCCCCGCGTTCAGCTGAACGGCTGATGATTTATCTGGACTAGTGTAAACTGGCATGGGGTTCCACACCCCTTTAGCTATGATGCTTTGCTCGCCTAAACGCTGGGACAAGATTGTTAAAAGGAAGGCTTGCTTGAGGCTTCCCCAAAACTGTGCTCTCCACATCAAAATTCAAGAATACGACCTCAACCATGTCACTGTAGGCAGCAACCACCGTCATCCGGCTCGTCGCCGCTCAAACAGGGAGCTAATGACAGCCACAGACCACTCAAAGCCCAAGTCGCTATCCGTGACCACTGGACCAAGGCGGACAGCCCCGTCCAAACCTCGCTCCGCGAGTTACAGGAGCTGCTCGGTCGGACGATCGTGGTGGAGCCGGAATGGCGGATTCTCGTCGCCGAACTGGACACCTTCTACGATGACAAGACCAACCTCGTTACCTCGGTTGCGGGTTGTGTCAGGGCGTGGGCCAGAAGCATGACGGAGCTCCTCGATGACGAGGCACACGCCGACTGGACCGAAGAGGTTCTTGTGAAGACGAGTGGGGAGATGTGGGTATTTGTAGAGGTGGCCACCTCGGCGAAGGCGGCGACGACGTGGTCTGAGCAGCGCGGCGGCTTTGTCGTGAGCCTACCTAAAAAGCAGGTGTACCAACCAGCGGAACTGTTTCCCACCTTTCGACAGGACCTGTTGGCGTGTTTTGCCAAAAAGGACGAGCCTCATCCGCCGCAGATCAGGGAGGCCGGGGGGGCAGATGACTGGGAAGGTGTCGAGGTCAATACATCCACCGGCACGCCGGAGGTGGTAGAAGCTCCAACAAGGACTGTCACATTAAGACCTCAGGCCGAGTTCATGCCTGATGTGGCCTCCCTGCCACGGCCCGACCAACTCTTTCTCCAGCCGCCCTACCATCTTACTCTGTTCCAGAGCAGCCTGCTGATCGAGCTGCACGGCAGCCACAGCCCAAGCCTAAAGTTCCTTGCGGAGTACCTGAAGCGCTGGTGCCGGGTTAACCACGCCGACACAAGAAATGTAGGTGCCCGGGTTGTTCATCCACTGTCGAGTCTGGCGCCCCGCTAACAGAAACGATGCAGCCACCCGGCGTCCAGATAAACCTGCATCAGTCCGCCTTTGGGCTGGGTGAAGTGTTTGACCGCCTGACACTCAGCACCGAGGAGACAAAGTACACCAACCAGTTTACTGTGACGGCCCCGATGGTTGTCTCCCTCATCGAGGGAATACTGGGGTACAAGTTGATTTCGACGGACGGCAGGTGGAATTTCCGAAGAGATACAGCATTCAAGACACTGTAGCCTTGCGGGGCATTTCCTTTTCCCTTTCGAGGGTTGTTCGACTTGACAGAACGGACGTACCTAGTGCCGCCACCGAGTTCCGTCGTAACTGTTCCCGCGATCTCACGTCCACGCCCGTTCAGCCGCTGTCATGGCTGTGTGCCCCCCAATTAGGCCGTATGCAGCAGTTACCAAAGTCGAAGCAACTGTAGGGGATCGCGCTCGAAAGCCATGGCCTCGTCGGGGGGCATCCGTTGGGGTGACAGGGAGGGGTCCTGCCTGGTGAGTCTAGGAGTCAGAGCCATCTGCGGACACAATTACAAGGGCAAACCCCGGTATTAAAATGGTTCAGTCGCAGAACATGAGTCCTCTCCCATCCTCCGGGTCGTCCACTGGTCAGTGCAGTGCGTTTCGATGGTGGGGGGGAGAGCAACGAGTCAAAATAACCATCGGCTAAGGGACATGCCTAGTGTTTCAAGAAGGGCAAGACCAGCACGAAGTAGATATACTGAGACGTTGATGGGAATCTCGAGTTCGGATAAGGAGACCGAAGGTTTATTCGTTGGTGTTGGTTGATGTGGGGTCAGGCTCGGCTTCCATCAGAATGTTTCAGCGAGTAGTGGCAGAATTGGAATGAAGGCCGGCTTGGCGCAGCTCACAAACCGCGGCTTTCCGTGCCTGCCGACAACGTTACAGACGTCACAGCCTGCGGGAATTTGCGCTAGCCTTTTACTAGACTAGTGCGGGCAGGCTTCTCAGCAACGACCCACATGTCCGGGAACATGGAGACGAAAAGAGCTCGAACCGACCCAACAAGGCAGGCGCAGGCAATTGCACTTGTTTTCAGTTTTGCGGCATTTGACCTGTAACAACCTTTTCTGGGCTTCGTCTTTTTCCCGCCTGCACCACCTCGACAACCTCGTAGAGTACTCTAAGCCCCCCTCATCTCTGCTCAATTGCCCAAGATGCTATCCCGTAACTCTACCCGCACTGCCCAGGTATGTTTTACGCCATGTGCTGATCCCTTGTTGCTCCCAACCACCAAAAGGTTCCCCACCATCGCCAACTCGCAAATCTCACTGTACACTACCTACCGAGCGAACAAACCTGCTAACCCGCACCCTTCTCTTCAGCGCCTTCTTAGGGTCGCTGCCCAACCCCAGGCACGCCTCAATGTTGCGCGCACGTTTGCGAGCGTCAGCGATGCCCCCACCCAGTCCGTCCAGTCCGACCTCTTCAAGCCCACCAAGTACGGTGGCAAGTACACCGTCAGCCTCATTCCCGGAGACGGTATTGGAGCTGAGGTTGCCGAGAGCGTGAAGACCATCTTTAAGGCGGACAATGTGCCCATCACATGGGAGCAGATCGAGGTGTCGGGTCTGCAAGACGCCACACCCACGGGCCGCACAGAGGAGAAGTTCGAGGAGGCCGTTGCCTCGCTCAGGCGAAACAAGCTCGGTCTGAAGGGTATTCTGCACACCCCCATCACCCGGTCCGGCCACCAGAGCTTCAACGTGGCCCTGCGCCAGGAGCTCGACATCTACGCCTCGGTCGCGCTGGTCAAGAACATTCCCGGGCTAAAGACCCGCCACGACAACATCGACCTCTGCATCATCCGTGAGAACACCGAGGGCGAGTACAGCGGTCTCGAGCACCAGAGCGTGCCTGGCGTCGTCGAGTCGCTCAAGATCATTACTCGGGCCAAGTCGGAGCGCATCGCCAAGTTTGCGTTCAGCTTCGCCCTTGCCAACAACCGCAAGAAGGTCACTTGCATCCACAAGGCCAACATCATGAAGCTGGCCGACGGTCTCTTCCGGGGCACCTTCAACAAGCTGGCTAAGGACTACCCGCAACTGGAGTGCACCGACATGATCGTCGACAACGCGTCCATGCAGTGCGTCGGCCGGCCCCAGCAGTTTGACGTTATGGTCATGCCTAACCTGTACGGTGGCATCCTGTCCAACATCGCCGCGGCGCTCGTTGGTGGCCCCGGCGTTGTCCCCGGGCTGCAACATGGGCCGTGACGTCGCCGTCTTCGAGCCCGGCTGCAGACACGTCGGTCTCGACATCAAGGGCAAGGACCAGGCCAACCCTACCGCCCTTCTTCTCAGTGGCACCATGCTGCTGCGCCACCTCGGCCTCGACGACCACGCTAACCGCATCTCCAACGCCGTCTACGACGTCATTGCTCAGGGGTAAGTCATGCCTCCATTGGTATTGTGGCCTGTATTCTAACATTTACAACAGCAAAGTCCGGACCCCCGACATGGGTGGCCAGGCCACCAACCAGGAGTTCACCCGCGCCATTCTCAGCTCGATGGAGAAGGCTCTTTAAACAAACCGATATCCTCAGAAAAAACATGATTCGTACAGCAGGTGTATATACCCGATTGCGCTGTGCCCTCGCAACTTCGACCTCATCCTAAACCCGGACTAGAGTGCCCGGTAGGCACCTCCTTGGACTACAGCGCGGGGCAGGAAGGTAGAGAGGGTAACTGGCATCATAGACTGGACAAGAAGGAGGCGGGGCGAGGGACGGTAGGAGAGGGGGGGCGAAAGCATGCGATGGACAACATGTACTGTATGTGTATGTGAGAATGGTGGCCGTGGGACAGGCACCTGACTTTCATATGTGCTGCCACGATAATGATGTGAATGTTATTTTGTTAAAAGTCAACCATACAAATATGCAACGTGCCTCAAGTCTCCCCCCCTTACCCTCCCCGTCGACAGTCTCTGCTGCACCAAAACCAACACAAAACACCCTCAGAATTGGATCTTCGGCTCATCAAGCTCCTCCGCCCCACTGACTTCGGGCCTTCCCGACTTATTTGTTCAGGAGCGGACCCCTTGCGCCCCGGTTTGGCGTTGCCTCCGAGCTACAGAACGGAGAACCGCCGGAGCTATCGGCCTCAAAGTGGGTCTCGGTCGACCTGAACCGAGCCGACGCTGCAGCCAAGCTGCCACGGAGCTTGGCGCGAGAGCGATGGCGACAGGGGTTGTGGAGGTGAAGGAGCGGCGGGGCTCTTGCGGCGGAAGGTGAGGCTCTCGGGGCGGAAGAACGAGCGTGGTGCTCGGCCCGGTCCACGTCCGGCCGGGATGAGCTCTTCGATGAGCCGATAGGCGCAGAGCCTCGACGGGGATGTCAAAACGTCTAGCCTACCTAGAGACGGTCGGGTCGAGTGGCGGTCGGTCCCTCGACCGGGTGCGCCGTTACTGAACGGCTGGTATCATTGTTGTCCATCGCTTCATTATTAGACCCGGACATCATCATCACATCAATGGATCCCAGAGCAGGACGCCATCCCCTAAGCATGTAACGACAGGAAGTTTAATCGGGTAGACGACGAAGAACCGGGCTTCGACTAAAACAACCCATCTAGTCCAGCAACTCTAGTTGCCGGGGTGCAGAATTGAGTAGATAGGTAGGTGTTTATGTGACAAGTCTCAGCAACGATGGTACATGTATTCCACATAGATCGATGTTGTTTACGGCGCTGGTGTATCGTTGACAATAGCACTCGCATTATAACTTTGTTGCTATTAACAGCGAGACCATGAATGCGGGAACCTTGACCTCGTTATGCCCGGGACGAAGGTCGTTCTGTATGCCGAAGAGCCCTAGCTGGCTCATCACCTAGTGGAGGATATATACTTGCAGTAGGTAGTTTAGCCACTCCTGGGTTGCCACTAGCAGTTAAAATGACTACCCTGGTGGAGGAGCACCCCGTAGTTCTCGCATGAATAACATCGGTAACCGGTTGCAACGGCACAAACATTTCCGAGTGCCCTAACCTCGCCCAAGGCACAAGTGGTTGACGTTGGCGGCAAGACGAAATTGGTCAATAACCCCCTATGTCGGTACAGCTTCCACCAGGTGAACCCGGCTCCTGGGGACTTCTCCCGGCGGGTAGGTTGACCTCTGATCCGGGCTTCACCGCACCTAATCCACGAACTAACTTCGCATCCGGTGGAGCCGCTATAAAACGACAGTCCGGTATGCCGACAAGTTGACAGGCAGGTCACAAGACTGTTGCGTATCGCCCACCTTAGCCAACGAACTGGCATCGGTCCGCAGCAACGTCAGCCTGTTGCTGCAGTCGTACACCGACTTCGACGCCTTCAGCTTCAACGGGTGGGACCCATACACCAAGGCTAGCCAATTCGGCCGTTTCAAGGATGTCCAGAACGAGACCCACGACCGAATCGGCGGGAATGGGCATATGTCTTCTCTTGGGGGTTCGGCCTTCGATCCGTTCTTCTGGTAGCATCACTTGGAGGCATTTACCACCAGTGTAAGTGGACGCTTCGCTGATTGTTTTGCCTAGCAACATCGACCGCCTCTGGGCCATATGGTAGGAGCTAAACCCCGACAGCTTCATGGCACTGCACCCTGTGCCATACGCCACCTTCAACGCCCCGGATGGCGAGTCCCAGACCAGAGACACGCCCCTTGGCGGATCCTTCCGCATCCTTATCTTCCTCGCCAACACCCCGCCACCACCATCACCACCCATGATAGCAGTAGCGGCTTCCAAACTGCGTTGGCCCGTGCTCGGACGAGCAGGTGGGCGGGCCGCACATAATAGTAGTAGTGGTGATGGTGGCGGCGAAGCGACGCGGTGCGGGCGGTGCAGGACACACGCGGCGCGGGCGCTGATGGTGTCGGGGACGGTGCCGTTGACGGCGGCGTTGTTGGGACGGGGGGTTGGTGGTGATGGCGATGGGGGTGGGAGTGGGGTGGTGGGTTGGAGGCGGCGGGGGTGGTGCCGTATTTGAGGGAGAGGTTGATGTGGTGGGTGATGTTGCTTGATGGCGGGGAGAGGAGGGGCGGATGAGGTGCCTGAGTTGAAGGTCAGTGTAGTGTCGACGCGGATGGTGGTTGGGGAGGATGGGCTGCCAAGTTATAGCGGTGAGTATCGGGTTTGGCCGGAAAGTTACGGAGGGGAAGCTGGGTGGGTTGGGGGTGGGCGAGCATATCAAGGTGATAAGAGTTGAGAGGGGGTTGTGTGATGATGCCAAGTGCATGGCGCTGGTGGAAGTAACCTCGTCTGTTGTCCCCGAGGGATGCCAGGAGAAATGGGTATCAGATTGTGTCAAGAAATCAGGAATATAACAGGCAGTGTATGTCCTTTGCCACCAGACCCGGAACGCCCCTTCAGATGCACCCGAGGAAATTGCAGAAAAGAAAGGGGGGCAGGGCTAAAACTGGATCCGCCTCTTCCGCCCGGTGAACTTGGACGTGGACTTGACGATCTTGCCCTTGCGCTCCATCTGTTCCTTCTTCTTGATAATCCACGCCTTGCTGCCCTTCTTGATATCCCCCTTGCCAGTTTTGGCCTTCTTCCGGTGGTCCATCACATCTACGTTGTCCATTCCTTCCACGACGCCAGTGATGTCGCCGCCCTTGTTGGCAACCGCGCTACTTCCAACCGTCAACACGAGGTAGACTTTGACGTTCTTCGTATCCGGGTCATCCTCGAGGAGACCAGCGCCGAAGCCGGCCTTGACGGCGGCTGATGTGATCATTTGCTTCTGGATGTCGTTCTTGGGGTAGAACTGGCAGACAGCCATGCCGCCCCTTTTCAGTGATGCATAGAGACCGTTGAAGAATCGCGACAGCCGGCCGGCGGGCGATGTCTCGCTGTTTTCGGCATTGCAAAGCCACTGGATAGCGCTGATGCTAATGGCTGCGTCGAATGTGCCAGCCCGAAATGGTACGCCTTGCCCGATGTCGGCAAGAAACAGGTCACCCTCCACATCACGCTGGAGAGCCACGTCCAACATGGAAGCGCTGACATCCATACCTACCCACACATGCGGCCCCCCCTCATCTTCCAGAACCCCCGACAGAATCTCGCCTGACAGCCCGCTTCCACACCCAACATCGAGGATCAAGCTCGGTGATTTGAGGTCGAGTAGCTCGAGAGCCCGCCTCGTCATGGAGGCTTGGATATTTTGGATACGGGAGCTGGTGGTGTACTTGCGTGCTTCGACATCGTCGTAGTGGATATCGGCCGCGCTGTCGCCGTGTCAGTCACGGTGAGAGCGAGCAGGGTGAATGGAACGACTCACAGCGTGTCTTCCGGGCGTGACATATTGACGGCTGGTTTGGTGACAGCAGGGCAGGATTGATGTCTTACGGGGTTCTGAAATGGGTCACCGAAGTAAAGGGGAGTCTATCCGACGCTGTCGCAATCCGCAGCGCAGGTCCAAGAATTTTGAAGCGTGGTGGGGCACAGGGTGCTCGAGCAAGCAGCACCTCGGGGCAGCTACAACAGCAAGCGCTGCAAGATCTGACCTTCGCAGTGGCGCGGATGGAACAGCCGAAACTAGGTAGGCAATCAACGGCGGTCCAGCGTCTAAGCAGGCTCCTTGGTAGGTTCTTGCGCTTGGGTTGGCTTCTTTCCCGCTAGAATTCTGTTGTGCGCGATAAGACGATTAAAATCTAATCTTATCGATAACTAGCATTGGCGTGGAAGCACGGAATCAACGATCAACCGAATCCGTCGGTCTTGGCGCCCAGCTCTGGACACGGTTTTGGAGGGCGTCATGAACCTTGCTGGGAAGCGGCATTGGCATTCGCGGGAGCTCAGCCTTCCATCCAATGGGTTGCCAAGACGCGGCTGCCGATCCCCTGAATGCATCAATTGGCCACGAAGCCAGCTTGACCTTGACTTAAACCCATTCTCTCCTTAACATCCCACTATCATGACAAGGCCTTTTCTAGTTTGAATCAACGCAATTCGTCAAAATGTGGATTCTACCGTTGGTTGGCTATCTCGGCTCCGTCGTGGGCTTCTGCTTCATGACGTTGGCCATAGGTGCGTTCCCAACTTCGGTCCCAGGCCAACGGGCCCAGGCAAACGGGTAGAGGTTCTGTTGATGCGATATGTGATGCTGACCGTGTTGCGCCCCCTGATAGCCTCTGGCCTCTATTACCTTTCCGAAATCGTCGAAGAACATACCGTGATCGCGAAGCGCCTCCTGACGAAGCTCATCTACTCCATCATGGTTTTACAGCTGATCCTCTGCGTCGTCGACCGTTTCCCTTTCCTCCCCACGGCTCTGGGCATCTTCTCCCATTTCATCTACCTCGGGAACATGCGGCGATTCCCCTTTGTTAAGTTGACGGACCCGCTGTTCTTGGCTTCATGTGGTGGGTAGCCTCTAGTGTTGCGCAATGGTTTGAGACAGAAGCTGATAGGGGTTTTAGTTCTCGTTCTCGTCGACCACTACGTCTGGTTCAAGCATTTCTCTCACCATCAAGAGCGCGCTTACCAGAACATGGCCTCGTACTACGACACCCCTGACGATGTTCCCACGTTTACCGAAATCGCCTCCTACTTCGGATTGTGTGTTTGGCTTGTCCCGTTTGCGCTGTTTGTCAGCCTCTCGGCGAGCGACAATATCCTCCCCACCATGGGTAGCGAACCGTCATCTTCGTCCGCGGGCATGAACACCGGGGGGGCAGGGAGGCGCGGGCAGGGAATGGCGAAGGCGTTGGTTGACAGCATCCGCGGTGCGATCGCAGAGGGGAGTGCTTTGGTTGGGTGGAAGAAACCAGAAGACCGACTTTAAGGGGCAATGCACTTTCATTTTTGTGACCTTGTAAACGATTGTGTTTTGGCTGGCGTGATAGGACTCAGTAAGCTTTCCCTACCCACCTTCCCCTTCCTAGAAAACAGCTGACACCTCCAACTACAGAAACATCATGCCATTGTACAGGGACATGGCTGATAACCCACGGATAGAACCAAACCGCTACATTCTCACTTGCCCCACATCGCAATGCCATCATAACCCCTATCTCCGCCCACCACTCAATTTGCTGCCCGCCTCCTCCAGCGTCGCCAGAAGCGAAGCCCTTCTCCCGGACGACTCCCCGCGCTCGCCCGCATTGTCCCTCCTCATGTCCTCAAAGTATCTGGCCGTACGCTTCACGTTCTCCTCCGTCAAGCTCATGCCCACGGAACCAACCCTGCCTGAAGACGACGAACCCGAGCCCGAGCCCGAGCCAGAGCCCAAGCCCCGGCCCGTAGTCGATCTGCGGTCCTCGGCTTTCCCGGCCATTTTATTCGCATCCGACGATTCTTGCCCCGCGTAGGCACCTCGGCTCCGCCGCTTTCCGGCCGCCGCCTCGTGCCGGCCCTCCCGTTGCGTTTCGGACGGTCGGGGGGCGGCTCCCGCGCGCCGGGAGGAGGAGCCGCCACTGTGGTTGGTCAGGGAGACTGCTAGGTCGGAGGGCGCTCCGGATCGGAAGGGCTGGGCTTCGTTCAGGCCCGTGGTGCCTCGGGGATTGCGGCGGTGGTTCCTGGTGCGCGACATGGTGTGATGCGGGCTGTTTGGTATTCTGGTGGTCGGACAATGCTGGGGTTGGGTTGACAAGGGAGGGATGGTGCTGTGTGAATTGTGTGTTGCTGTAGGCCCGGGCCCACTACCTGTTCGGCGTGCTGTTGATTCTTCGGTACGTGGTTGTTTTCTCACGAAAGACAATGGTCCCAAAGAGTTGTTACGCTGCCAAACCACCCACTTATATCCTTTTCTCCTGGCATCACCATCCGGCGACCGAACCACGGCTCTCCGCCTTGGCATGGCCGGTCCGTGTTTGCCCGTGGCACATGCTCCCCGCAGCGCTCGTTGGCGTGTTCCGCGAGCGGAAAGCTGCAGCCTTCGTGTGGCCATGGTCGGTGCCAACCGTGCCAGCATACTGAGGAGCTACCGGCGGGCCTGGGCCGTCTGCCCCGGCTACGGTTGCTCCCGCGATCCCTCCCCCCTTTTGCGTCTGCCCCCCACCGGAAGCTCGGAGAATACACCCAGTGCCGGCATTGGGCGGAAAGTGTACCCTGTGAAACCGACCGGGTGTTTTGCCCTGTCGTGGCTGTTGGTTTGAGCATGATAATCGCCGCGCTCTCCACCTTGGCAGTCTGCAAGCTTGCGTGGTCCCCTTCCCATTGGCCTCACGTGCGGCACCGTGTTGTGGTTTCCGGAGGTTGTGACCGGCGGGTTACCTCTCTTGTTCGCCTCACTTTTCTCATGCTTCCATGGCGCAGCATGTCGATGTTTGCTTGTTCCAGGCAGCCCCACGTTTCGCAGTGAGGGCATAGGGCTGGCGTCGGTTGAAGTCCTGATCATAAACAATCACTCTGTTGATAGCTTCCTCTTGGCCGTATCTAACTCCGGGACAGTTATATGTTAGTTGTATGCCCACTATCGGTTCGTTTAATGGCAAAGCACCCATCACATATCAGCGCGTACTCCCCGAGCACACCATGTTCAGGGTTAGAGCCTACTTCCAGGCATGGAAGGGCATATCCCTACCATTCATGGCTTACAGTACTCAGTCCATAGCCTCTTTTTAGGTTGTGCTTCCGCTTTACAGTCCCGAAACGGCCAACTGGCGTCGGAAGTCCCCAAGGGCGCGGCGGCCTCCTCTCTCTTGTCCCGCGTGACACTACAGCGACGCCATGCAATTCTCCACTCTTCTCGCCGAATAAGACGTGGGGGGCCTGCGAGTAACCCTCTCATGTATCCTTGGGTTGGTGGGATGAGGCTTAGTGCCTTTGTTGATCAAGATCCGGCACAAGGCCTTTTGTGCTAGGACTCATACCCGGGAACCCGGAAGCTGGGGCGCCTTGTGAGCCTCGCGATCGAAACAGACTCTGACTCAGTCGGCGGCGGTCGCTGTTCCCCTTGGAGTGACAGAAGAAGAGGCCTCTCGCCTTGGACATTAGCACCCCCGCTCACCTCGTCTGGACGTATGGTCCAATGACCTGTCCAAAACACACCCAAGTGTGATAACCGTGACCGCTATCACTTCTCTGCCTCATGCAGTATTACCTTGCCTTGGATCTGGGCAAGCCCTATCTACCGTCTAATGGTTACTACGAGCGTCACTCCCAACGACATTTGAAGGCTCCGATGTCGTCCGACCAAGCTGCCCATCGGTGAAGCCTCCACATGCCGTCATATAGATCACAAATGATCATGGAATTCCGGAATCTATCCCGTTAAATTGAACATCTCTGACCGAGCAATGCTACATGAAACTTGACCTGTGAACCCCAAACGAGTTCTGATTTTCTGAGAATGACTCAAGTCCTCCACAGCTACTGATGATCGTGATTACCAATATGAATAATCCGTTACCAAAAAGGCTAAGGTTATCCCATCGCTCCCATGACGCATATCGCGCATTTGGAACATACCAACTTGATCAAGCGTTGTAGCCTGGGTCTTGTCATCCCAGCTTCCTACTTTACCATTGATGCCAGGTAGGTCGTGGAAAATTATTTCATCATCGACCTTTTCTTGTAATGTCAAGGACTGGAGGAGGTTGAAAAGACACCAAGTTAAGTAAGACATCACCATAACTTGAAGCCGACCCAGCAAAAAGAACCCTCATCAGTAAAAGAAAATAGATTGGCGGTGTGATACCGTCCAAAAAGCAATGCTTGATGGTTTTGCCCACAACCAGAATCGAACTAGTGACCTTGTCATAGATAATCTCTCATTGAGATACTAGTGACACGCTCTACCACTGAGCCATGCGGGCTTTGATTGGTTGTTATGGACATTAGCCCTGTCTTTATCCGAGACTCCGCACACCGCAGGCCGCCCCGGAGCACCACCGCCGGCGCCGAAATTTTCCTCACTCATTATCAACGAATCAACGACTATGTATTATCAACGACAACGAATCAACGACTTTGTACCAGATTCAACCCCAGAATTTACCTTTGAAGAACGGCATCTCCTCTTCTGCCTGCCCGTGTAAGCGTTCACGGTTCCACCCGAGACCCCAACCGCCCAACAACCAAGGTTGAGCCACAACTCCGCCCCGTGTGTCCGTTCTCGCGTGGCCCAAAGTCCCCTGCATGTGTAAGTCTGCTGATGTTTCAGTGTATGCGTAACATGCCCGTTTGTCTCTCCATCAACCTACCCCGCTCAAAAGCCGTGGCAGAGAGCTCGGGGCTCTCCCAGCTTCTTCTTGTGCCTTGCGCTCTCTCGCCACCGGACCCTCGGTGTCACGAATATGTCAACAAGTGGGACCACAGGGGTGCGGGACGTCCCGAGCCAGTCGCTTAAGGAACCAATCACGGGGCGCTCTAAGAAGCACCTGAGAGCCAGGAAGGACAACCAGTCAGGGACTGCTCTCACATGCTCTTAAGAGCCACCAAGAGCAGTGGACTCTAGCATGCTCTTGAGAGCTGGTTAGAGCTCAGAAATTAGATAGTATATAGTCACTCGTTCTGGAGAGCTCTGGGAGTTCTCCAGTTAGCAATCACAACTACAGTTCGCTACGATCTCGAAAGCCTACTGTTGAGACAAGTCTTTGTTGTGCACCCTTTGGCTGCACCGAACCTAAGCACCCTTGCAAGATTACCTTCGACCGAAGCTGAACCCTAACAGGACGGCGTCCTGGAGTAGGTTCGTCACACTCGGGGAGTTGGGGATGCCGCGGCGGCGACGGTGGGCGAAGACTTTTTCGGGTATCGTGGGCGTGTCACGAATGATGACTGGTGTGGTCAGTGTGCTTCTTGGGGTTAAACGGAGAGACGGGTTGGGAAAGGTCAGGATGTGAACAGTGAGGGAAGGTTTAGGCTATTTTGATTCAATGCTCATCGCTGATACAGACACCAGGTTGATGGTGCAAGAAAGGGTTAGATAATCATGAGCATTCACTTGAGATTCCCAGCTTAGAATGGACACAAGGCTTCAGGATAGAGAGCCTAGGGTCAAGCAACATCACGAGACAGCTCTTCACGGACGGATAACTGGATAGAAACGAAATCAATATTACTGTGTTCAACTTCAAAGCGTCTATTCTGATATATGTTATTCGCTGAGAACGGGATGGGGAAGAGTTGCCAGATGATCTCAGTCCTCCGGCCCTCATACAAGCCACAGCCGTTAGCACAAGTCTGCTATCCAAATCAGAATGCCATCCGAGTTGGAAGAGATCATGCTCCGGGCTGGATAGCTTTATAGAAAGTACGAAGGCCGCCGTAAACAACCTGGTTTGTTTCAATAAATAAAACAGTTCAGGGGCTCTTCTACTGCCAAGCATCCCGAGAAGTGCACTGTACCCCAGTGTTTGAATGGAGGAGTCGATGATCCAGTCGTCATATTTTGGTTACTTTATCGAAGAAGCAAACATTCTTCAACGGAGTAATGTGGTGATTTATAAGCCCCAATAACAGGGAAAAGCTCGCATTACTTCTCATCGTCTGATATCCTCCACATCAGTGTCCCAGCAAATAGCAAGACGTCATAAAGCTTTATAATACATCAAGTGCTCCTTTTCTCTGAGCACCACCCAGTTAGTGGGAATCTCACCGGCGGACCTGCCAACGTAGTAATAAATAAAAAGAAAAAACATCAACGACATTGAAAAGCACCGAGCAGCTGATCATCCATCTCCTGGGTATACGGGCCCTCGCGGGGCAGAATCCACCTCCTCCTTTTCCGACCCTGTAAACTTAAAGCAAGAGCAAACAAACCAGGGCGAGCCAAGCTCGAGAAAGAAATGTAAAAGAAAAGAAAACAGAGAGCAACAAACCCTAAAACGCCGAAGCACCTCCCCGTTTTCCCATCTCATGACACCACGCGCCGGCCGGAGCCGAGCCGAGGTTAGGTAGCTACCACCCATCCCCAACAGGAAGTTTCAAAGAGAGCCCCCCCGAATAACCCGCACATTCGCCACGCGCGGCATAGTCGTCAACTCCCTCCCCTCCGGCAGACCGCCATCACGACTCCGGAACCCCTGCCCCGACAACGACAGCGCAACCTGCCCGCCACGCTCCTCATACCCACCCCCACCAACACCACCACCACCCCCCCCAAGACCACCAACATGCCCCCCCGCACCACTACTCAACCTCCTCGCGCCGCCCCTCACACCCGCACACCAAAACCCGCCACAGCCCCTCCCCCTTCTCCTCGCCTCCAGCCACTCCTCCCTCAAAATATGCCAACTGGCCGCCGCAAAGATGGTCGCATTCCACAGCCCCTGCAGCGGCAGGACCACGGCGCTGGCCAAGTTCAGGCCGTAGCTGGTGCGGGTCGGGTAGGCGAGCGAGTAGACGCGGTTGATGCTGGACGGGGTCCAGGTGACGAGGATGGAGAGGGCGAAGACGAACGAGGTGCGCAGGTAGGCGAGCTTGATGGGGTCGAGGGTGGCGAGCTTGCGCTGGAATTTGCGCCAGGTGCGGGCGAGGCGGGTGGGGAGGCTGGTGTGTGGGCGTTTGGGCGGTTTTGGGGGGTGGGAGGAGCTGATGGTCAGGGTGGTGGTGAATGGGGTGGGGTGGTGCGGGTTGATGCCGGCGTGGGTGGTGGTGCTGTGCGTGTGCCCGCGGCTGCTCCCTCGCCCGCGGGTTGTGAAGGCGGTGGGGTGGGCGTTGACGTCGTAGTTATCGTCGTCGTGCGGTTGGCCCCAGGGAGCGTTGGCGGCGGCGGTTGAGGGCCGGTTGAGGACGGGGGCGATGGAGCCGGCGGGTGTGGACGGCGGGGTTGGACTGCCCGAGGATTCGGCTGTGACGCGGACCTCGGTTGTTACGGTGCCGTAGCTTTGTTGTTCCTAGTGTTGTCAAGGTTTTGAGTTAGCATGGGTTCAGGGGGTTGGGGCGGAAGCGAAGTCTGTGAGAATAGCATGATGGGTTTGGTATGAATGAGGCAGCGCGCACCTTCTCTGATTCCTTGCGTTCCGCACAGTATGCGTCCCTTGCCTGATTGCTAAGAGTCAAGTTGCGCAGTTGGTTGCGGTGGTGAAACACGTGGTACCCGACGGCCACGTAGATGACGCTGGAGAGCACAATGCACGTCCAAATGGGCAGGTAGTAGGTAAAGATTCGCAGTTGGTTGTACGCGTCGTTGATCCAGCACCATAGCTAAGCAGAGCTGTTAGCGCAGGGAGCCTTGGGCCTCGTCTGGGTAACGTACCGTGGCATTGCCGTAAATTCGCTCTCCATTCGGGGCATACACGAGGCAGATGAGGGCTGGCACGAGGGGTATCCCGAAGCAGATGAGGCAATAAAGCCAGAGATGCTTATGAAACCGGTTGGGAGGGTAACTCATAAAAAAGACCATGTAGACGTTGACTGCCATTGCGAACGACCACCAGGGATCGGACTGCATGAACCTGAAGCCAGTGTCAGCGAAGGCATCTTCATACATGAGTGGCAAGATATATCACTTACATCTCGAGAAGGAATGCCTGACCCTGGCACAAGGCTGACGAGTCGCCGGCCAAGATGCCACTGTAGCCGATAAGGCATGCGATGCTGGCTCCGACGTTCGCAATAGAGGCGAAGAAAATGAAGGTATTCGGAACGGTACGGACCCGGGGGAAGAAGCCGTAGGTGATGAAGATGAGGCAGACACCGACCAAGCTGAGGGCAGCACCCAACCTCTCCACATGCTGGAGGGTGGCACGCTCCTCGTCGGTGAGATTCATGCTGCTTTCCCTGGGAACGGTTCTCAAACCATCCATAGCGGATGAGAGGGAGAGGAAAAGCGGACTAAAAGCCGGGAGTGGGTCTCGAGATGATATACTACCTCGACCGAGACTCTTTGGCAAGTCTGTCGGGACTGGAAACCTCGGCCAACGGGGTTCCTTGGGGCGGCGGCAATGACATCGGCATCGACATCCGATGGCCCATAAGGTTTGAAACACTGGTTGTTACCGCCAATCTCGACGGGCGATTGTTGATTTCTGCCCGGGGCGTCCGCTGCAACTTGCGCCTCGAAAAGGGTGTACACCTGATGTTAGGTGCTGCTGCAGGAAGTGAACTTCTCTTCCAAATTGAAGGGTTGTGGATGATTCTTCGATGTTTGTTACCTTGTCTGCAACACCGGTGGCGCTGAAGCCTGATCTGACCGACGTCAATGAAGTCGAATAATTCAGTATGGGCGTTAACGAATAACGAGGGTAGGGTGGGGTGTTTGGTTTGGAAGTTTGCTTTGGGTGTGGAAGTTCTTTTTTTGCGTAATCGGTTGGTGCTGCTGCGGGCGCCAGGCATCAGGCGCTATGGGCTGGCAATCTTCCCAGAGCAGGAAGGAATTAGATAAAGAATTTCCAACTATATCTTGCAGCGAATGCTCGCCAAACACGAGAATGGAGAATGGGACTGGTAAAACTGGATTGGTTTCTGCATGAGAGTGTCTGGTAGCAGCTGCACGCCACTTGGAAGCAAACCGGGCCAACGCAGGGAGAAAGTCATGTGGCTCCCTTCAGACGTCGATGGGACGGAAAGGGCACTGGGTTATCATGCCAGATCAGTGACTGCGGGGGTTGGGTAGATCTGATACCGCAGGGTGCAGCAGGCAAGACAGCTCACACAATCAGGAGTGAGACTTTGGGTGCAGTCTCAGTTCAGTAACATCGGCATGGTGTCGGGAGACGTCGCTTGTTAGTTTCCCAAATCGGCTTGTCAGTCACGTCTCTCTCCATCAGGTGCCGGCCTGTCATTCCCGAGGCATACCATGGGCCCACATCCTCCTCTCCTTTCTGTTTCCGGGTAGACAGAGGGACAGTTCGATATTGCGTGTGCTACTCGAGGACATTACTGAGACTTCATTGATTGGGTACTTGCAGCATCACCGCAGGGTCGTCCTTCCTCACAGCTGCAGCTCGATTTCGGGATGATCCAACAAGAAACTGGGGTAGATGGGTATGCCAGATCGCCGGGACATGCAGCGGACGGGGTTGTTGTTGGTTAAGCAGTCGAAATGTCAGAGATGCAGAGGGGGCGGACGGCCATGCCATGTTACAGTATGTATTAGTTGCAGTGTTAGACTTAAAAATAATCCCACCGATCCAACACACCCACCAGGGGAGCACGATGGAAAGGCCGTTTGCTTGCGGCGTTCTTGGCCGCATGGCCCACAACGGAGAAACGGTTGTGTGGGACGGGACTGGCTGGGGACAAACATTTCATTCTTCAGCCATCTGGCAGCTAGCCATTAATAACCCTTGTAATGGACGGATCTGATAGGTTGGCATGTAAATGCAGCAGGGCCTCGGCCGTGAACACCATCTCCGACAAGCCATGGTGGAGGGATCGGGCCGAGCGATTGGTTCACATTTTCCAGGCTTCGGTTTGTGGGTTGAGGAACGGCATGGCACTCCTTCCGACGGGAGTCTCCAGCTTGGTACATGGGGCCTGAGGTTAGGTAGGCTCCAGGCGCAGCTTCCCTTCGTTTCTTTTACCTGGCACCTTCCAGCACACAATGGGTAACAGTGGTGCTTCCTCGTTCGAGTTTTCTCTCGACTTCCTTGGAACATGGCAAGACTGCATGATCAGCCGGCTTAATCCAAAGCCGATCGGAGTAAGGGCAAGGCCAAGAAGAACGACACCTCTATCCTCAAGTCCAAAACCACTGCACTGCTGTTCCTAAACTTGGGACACGGTCATCGAATTAAACCCATCTTCTGGCACACTATGGCCGGCCGGGAGCTCTGAGTCGAACTTTCAGGCGCTGTATCGACAACACCCGATTTTCGGTTGCTTGTACTTTGTCAGCGGCTACCTGCCTCTGTGGCTGCAGATGTGACGATCTGGAGGTTCCGCCATTGGATGATCTTAACCAAGGCGTGGCACGACGTACAGCCCAGCTGAATGTCATGCAGAACACTTGGCTGATACCCAGCGCCCTTTTCGCAATCTATTGAAATTTTGCAAGCGACTAACCGTCTTCGACCCCTCCATGATAGTTTCGGGCACCGGGTCAGAACCTCGACGCAAAGTGCGGAGTATCCGAGTCGAGGTTTCGACAAAGGAACCGGGCGAGGGCATAATACAGCCCAACCTCCATCCCGTCAACAATGCAGACATGCGAAGCGGTGCGACATTGTCCGCCCTTACTGGTCACCACCGGCGGTCCGCGTATGTTGTGATCCTGTCTTTTTGACGGCGCACCCCTGATTCTCCAGGCAGGCATCGAAAGCGCAGAGTGGCTGCTCAGGGTGGCTATCGTATGTATGTATGTACATCCAGCAGTTGTGGGAGAAGGAATGCGTCTCGTGTTTGACAAACCTTGGCTGAAATCTCGACAATCTCGTACCTGCATTAGACACATTCATCGACGATTTGCCTGTCGTTTGGGCGGCGATCTTGCGGATACTGCACACACAACCCCGTGTAACTGGTTTTGGCCACGACGGCAAGCATTGACTTGCCAAGTTGCTCGTCCTACGATGATGGCACACCTGCTCGGGCGGACCTCGGCGCGCTTTCAGAGCTCATCTTCCACGACCACGCGTGCACACATGACGCTGAAGTCTTCCGGGCGCTTGAATAACCGGGAAATGGAAGGATGTAATTGTCTAGCCATCGGGGCGGGCCTGCCTTTGAATCCTGGCCTTACGGGGTACGGAGGTTCCTACCATCATAAGTTCCTTTAGAAGTCCCGTGTGTCCGGGGAACAGACACCGGGTCGAACGGCCCCTGTGACGTCAAAAACTGGTCCTACTTCTCCCACTATTACAACTACAACTGGGAACAGCATCCGGAAATCATGTCATGGTGGCAATGTTAATAATGTATCGGTCTATAGCTGATCGAATGTCCTACGATGCGAGTACCTGAGCGACGAGGATGCGGTTATGATAACGGGAGATACAGTCCGTGCATCGTGAGCCCAGGAGTTGGTAACAGGCCTGTAAATTTGAGCCATGGTGCGCTATCGAGTATACACGCCATCGATGGTATAATCCTTCTTCGGGCCTTTGACCGTGTATGACAGCCGCCAGTCCACCAGGTTGACGGCGTTGAACTTGAAATTGTACTTGACGTTGTAAAAGTCGTCAATGCACAAGTGGCCCGCCTTGGCCTCCCACCCCTTGCCATCATCCTCACCCTCCCCATTCCCCTTCGGCGGGACAAACTCCACCTCATGAAACAGGTAATCCGCGCGCTTCTGATCATCCGTCTTCGCAAACCACACACTCAACCGATCCCTCCCCTCATCATAGCGCCACACATACCGGCGCGTGGCGCGGAAGGTCAAGCCATTGGCGGCTTTGAAGTCGCCCTCCTCGATGTAGAGGTACTCTAGGCCCGGGTGGTCGCCATGGTCGCCCAGGGCGTCGAACGCCGCCTCGCGGCCGTCCCGCGTGCCCTCGCGGAGCAGGAACTTGGCCGTCCCGCTGAAGTGCCCGCTCGGATGGCTGGGCAGCTTGCTGGTCAGCGCGCGCTCGAGCTTCCACTCCCCCAGCAGGGAGCGGAAGACGGCTCGCGCGACGAACTTGGTGGAGCTGAGCCCGGCCCAGGCGGTGGCTTCGGTGTGCTTGAGGGAGTTGGTGACTTCGGCTTGCTGGGATTCGGTTAAGGAGGCGGATGGGTACCGTGCGGGGGTTAGGATGTCCATCTCCTTGTCTGCTGGTGGTAGTCGGGGCATCCTGCCCGTGGGGGGTGATTTCTTGAGCCCGAGAGCGGCCGCAAACTCTTGCATGAGCCACGGATAATCGCCCATCGGGAACTGTGACGCCCGGGGATCAGTCCGGAGGTTGAGGGTCCACTCGATCGAGGTGTCCTTGCTCAAGGCTTCCTTCAGTTGCGGCGGTAGAGAGGATGAGGATGGCCCACCAGCGGCCCACAAGGCTGTGAGGAAGCGAGCTTGCATCTCCATGACGCCCCAATAAGGTGACCTGTAGAAACCAACGAAGCCAAGGTTCGGGACGTCCGGGTGGTAGGTACCATGGAATGCTAGCGCAACTGTGTTGTTGAGGTCGGAGGGGCTGAGGGACAATGCCTCTTTCACCGCTTGGGGGAGAAAGGATATCGAAGAGGATGCCTCAAAGCCAGTTGCGAACACCACGGCAGCAACATCCTCAATCTTCTCGTTCGATGGCGATATTGTTGCTTCGGAGCCTGTAAGGCCACCGAGCTTGCCGTGGGACACAGAGATGAGACCAGAACGGACAAAGTCCATGTAGTGATCGCTAACGGTAAGGTATGGCGGGCCACTGGTGTTGGCGGCTGTAACTGCAACCTCCGGGGAGAATATCGACTGGTCGGTTCCCAGAGCGGTTTGGTAGATCGAATGAACAATCTTGGCAGCTTCTTGGGGGATGTGACCCTGTGAGTTGGTCAGGGGATGGACCCTATTGGCAGTGTTGTAAGACCCCAGGTCAAGTGGTAGAAATGGAGGAGCGGATGCGGTTGGCTGTCAGTCGTTAGCGTGATAACTGTGGTGGCCAGGGAACGACAGCTCATCCTCACCTTTGGGGAGGTGTGCAACGGAAACACCCACACGGGCTGCTGGATGATGTGGTGGATGGAATACTTCTCCGCGTTAGGTACCGGGCTTGCCCCCGGGGAGTGAACAGCGGATGAAAGGTGCGAGGCGATTGTGCCAGCAACTTCGACCCCTGACATTTGACCTCCCACAACCAGGATCTTTCCCCCTGAGCCACCCGTCTTCCCAAGGAGAGTTTGCAGGTCGCGATACTGGCTACTATGAATGGTGGGGATCTCGGGACCTCCACGGCTTATGGAAGGTAGTGCGGGTTGGCCAAAGAAGCCGGACGCCACGAGTAGGTAGTCGAACGAATCTTCTTTCACTTCCCCTTGATCGGAACGAGTCTGAACCCTCCAGCCATGCTGTGAGCCATCCTTGGAAGCTGCCAGTGGCACGGCCTTTTCGACACGGGTTCCAAGACTGAGCTTTGCCTCGGAGCAGTACCTTTTCAGGTACTCGGAGAGGTATTGGCCGACTTGCCAAGCGCGGGGGAGGTTGGGGGCGTCTTCGGACCAGGCCAGGTCACTGAAGTGGACGGTGTGTTTGCTCTGGTTGGCAACCATGCGGGGATGAACAAGTCCTGTGCGGTCATCCTTGTGCGAAGGCCAGAGACCACCAATTCGAGTCTGGGAGTCGAACAAGGTCACATCAAAAGTGCCCCTTGGCGTATCCCAAAGCAACGACTTGGCAGCCACGAGGCCGGAAGGCCCGGCACCTGTGTCCTGTTAACTGGCGGACAGGTGAATCGGTGAATAAGGGGATGGAAGCTGGGAACGGGGGACTATGGGGGCTGAGATATGACAATCTACCTACTCACCAACAATACAGACTCTCTTTGGCATAGCGGCGGGCATGTTCCGTGTCGGTAGCATCGGGTCGAAGACAAAGCCTGATCCGGCGTGGCTTCTCGGGGGCCGGAGCCGGGATCGGATGAGAAAGTGGGACGGCAGAATAATTGGGCCGGAAGCCACCGTATCTGGTAATTGACGGGATGAGAGTTGCTTTGTTCGGTTCCACTCGTAAAAAGTAACTAAAAACACAAGATGCAAAGCGGAGAGAGATTTGGCCCCTACCAAGCGAGCTGTATGGCTCTATGAAGTAGAGCGGGCGTAACCTGTCAGCGCCAACTCACCACGCGAGACTCGATGGGAGGATACTCGAGGGAACGCAAAGTGCGTACCAGAGGTATTTCTCGGTTGTTTCCGGGGCTCAGTCATCAACGAATGGTCTCGCTGTGGGATAATTAACTCCGATCCGCTGGCGTCATTTTAGTGGGCCGGACGATCTTATCGCTTTTGGTACCTTATCGATTTGGCCCACAGCCAGCTCCAGGGCCCTTTTTCAACGTCCACAACTCCTTCGTAACGCACTTCCATTGTTTCCTTCTTGCCTCGTGTGAGTCTCGCTAGAGCCAGTTTGCTATGCGTAGTTCGATGCGCCTCACCACGAATTGGTAAATAGGGCGCACAACACGTGGAACAAGTCGCAGTTGCAACTTTGCAGCCATCCAGTGCACGTGGTCATCGTTATGTTTTTAGGTACCTTCTCTTCCCGAGTTCCCATTTAGAAGTGGACGATGCTACTCATCCCACTCGGCCTCAACCCTGGAATCTGAGAGGACGGAGTCATTGGCCACCCTCGAATCTTGGACTCGGGTTGCCGAGCAGCCAATTTCAGGTACTGAAGACAACCTAACCACAGGGCGAGCAGTTCCTAATCCTCTAAGCACACAACACGCAAACACATTCCGGTTTGACCGAGTTTGTGTTCCATTAACCTCGTGTCTTGGTTTGGCAGGGGGACATTCATGTTGGTTGTTGGCCCCTGATTTCGCACCTAATGCGCCACCGGACCACAGCAGGCTTTGCCGGCCGCAGAGGACCGCTCAAAACCACCCGCAAACGGCTGGCGGTGTCTTTGCCGAGTATGCGGTTCCCCTCACTGAGCGGTGAAGTTTTGGACTGGCCCTAAAGTAACCCTCTGAGAGAATGCCCGCCAAAGCAACTAATGTGACTTCCCAGAGGCTACTAATGTACCTAGCCAGATGCATGACATACAGATGTACCTAGGTAATTGCGTCCTCATACTTATTTTCCGGAATCCTGCAGGTCGTCAGCCGCCGACGCGAAATTCCCCGAATCAATACCTACCTTACTTGCTCTCTGCGCCAGGTTATCAGGAGAGTTCAGGAGAGCTGAATCCAGCCAATGTCCGGACATGACACCGCCATGGTTCTTTCCGCATGGGTATTCTCAGCCTCGGCACAAATCACCCGCGCCAAGATGGGCTTCTTTGGCTTGGCTCGAACTTAGAACCAGACAATCTGGGGCGAAGCCTCCACAGAAGCGGCCCTCGAAAGTCTTCCCGTCTTGGCGGGCCACTCCCAAGCGATGGCCAAGAGATAGCTTCGATCTTCCAATCTACTAAACTATTAGATGAATGGCCAAGTGGTCAGTCGGGAAATATGGACTAATATACTAGGTTTTTCCATCGACTACCCCTGTTTTTGTCGGCGCATCAGCCCGCAACCTCTCCGAGCTTGACGAATCTTCACAGGCGCCATCTCGAATCTCGACCCCTAACCTTGTAGACACCACAACACCGGGGGCTCAAACGGGATCAGTGCTAGAGGCCTGAACTGTTGTCCTGTCACGAAGAGACCAAGAGTGCAAATCCCCGGTTGTTGAAAAGCCGGCACGCAAAGATCGAAACGACTCCGCGGAGGGGAGGGGATAGCCAAGAGTCCCTTGTGCGAGACATGGACGGATACCTGCATGACAATATGTTACCAGCCGCGATGCCGATCTGGCCGGCCCTCAGGGCTCGAGATGACAGTTGTCCAGGGTTTCCCTGCCCGCATGGCCGAGTAGAGATCAGGTCTGCCGTCGCAAATTCAACACCACATGGGCTTGATCCCCTTTCTCGGACACACTCCGCGACCTGGCACTCAATGTCACCCCGTTGGTCGGCCTTTGACGCTACTATTGACGCCGTACCACAACTAAGGCTTGGCGCCCGCGGCTTTGAGACACCATTCGGAGGAGTGGCCATGTTGTCGTGTACCGCAGGGAACTCGGTGGAGTGACAGTCATCCCGAATGCGAGATGGAATGCCGGCCTTCTGTCGCGGTACCTCGAGGCGGCTGAAGTTTGTTCGGGGTCGCCGTGAGTGGCGTGTCTATTGAAACTGTTTGTGCAACAAGCGTGCTTGCTTTTTGGTACCAGACTTGCTCAGACGCAAAGCGCCCTGGACGAGGACAAGAAGCAAGCTGGCCCGACGGCATCCCCACTATCGACGCCCGACATCGATCGCACAGACATCCCAATGTATGCTTATGCGGCCTCCCAAACCTTAAGCCAGGGGTTTCTGTCATCCTGTGGTATCCTCGCTGAACCTGTTCCAGCGAGCTGGTGTACCACTCTGTTTGTTATGAATTCAAAGCACCGTCTGGTTTCTTCTGCCGCCACTCTAACTCGGACTGGAGACTAGCACATGTCTAGTGCTCCACGGTGTAAGGCCGTAGTACCTGGAGACGTTGGTTTTTTGGGTTCGTTGGGGAGGCCATTGTTCAGTGGCACGGTTCGCGAGGGGGGCCCGAGACACAATGACGCCAAAAAGGCGGGGAAAAAAACAAAGGCAAGCTACCTGTGTTCTGGAATGTCCATCATTTCTCTGCCCCTGGCGACTTGCATGATTCGGATGCCCTGCGGCAGGTTTGTAGAGGGCACCGGGGCGGCGGCACCGCGTGGGAGCAAGATATACTCGTCCACTCAAGGGGCCAGGGGTCAGCAAGCACCGTACAACCTTGCTCGCACCCCCTGTCCGTCGCCGCTATGACGCAGCCTCAGCTCCTGGGTGCTGAACAGGCAAACTAACTACAGTTTCTATTTCCGACTTGATGGTTTGTATCTTGTTATCAGGGGTGAGGCAACTTTCAATAATCTCGCCGCCGTTATCCGACGTCTGCGTCTTGCCTTTAATCCGAGCTGGCAGAGAGGTGAGGGGCAGAGCTGCTGTCAATGCAGTTACATTGCTGTCACATCGAACAATGTAATCAAGTGATAAGCCACGGCTCGTCTCCAAATCGGCCCTGACCAGCCTGCACCCAGGATGCTTGTCCGGGGCAGATCGGGAAAGCTGCAGCAGTCTGCATGGAGTAATTCCGCACGGCCGTGGCCAATGTTTGCGGGATCCCTGCGGTGGCGCTCGCAGGCGAGACACGAGCGGGAAGTGGTGAGAGGGTAATACGATCCGTCCGGGGGCCATGCGGGTTGCAGCATGCTGCCTTATAACCTGCCCCAGAAGGACTAGCTTCCTCCGCGTTCTGCCTCCCCCGCGCTTCAATTGCTTGTTTTTCAAGACGCCGCCGAGCCCAGGGGTCCTTCACAACCGTCTTCTCACCCAATTGCGTGGGGGCGATCTTCAAGCTCAACACCACGCAGTCACGCGCCCCGCCGACGCAGCTACGCTTGGGATTGGTGCTGTTCGGTCATCGTTGCAGCGAGTTCTCCCGAGTACATTTCCGGATTTGACTTGCTTGATAATCACCCCCCTTCAAGCACACCTGTGGCGTTTCCCCCATTCAGCACGCCTGCTTGCTGTGTGTGCCCCCTGTACCGAACAGGGGACAAACTTGTTCAGACAGGACAGGCGACGTTGTAACGTGCATCGTCAGCAGCACGGCCCTCGGGCTTGGGAGCTGGCCTGGATTGAATGCCACGCATGGGCAGCAATGGGTATGTTCACAACCCGGAAATCCCGTTAAACACCGAACATAAGCATATCCCCTCTTTTCCATTGCACCCTGCCCGGTGACCCTGCACATAATACCAGGCACCCGCCAGTTTGGTTTCGTCTGATCCCTCTGATCCCGCATCTTTGTCAAACTGTTCTTCTCACTTTTCTATTTCTTTTTTCCCACATTCCTAATCAAGCAATCACCCCAGCAATCCCATTAGTTCGGCAGATGCGGACGTGGCGATAACATTCCAATCATCTACTGATATAAATTGCACCCCAACTTAGCTTTCCCTTTTCTTAAATTTAAATCTGGGGCACGCTTTGACATCGACGTAATCGACGACATGACGGGTGACACAGAAAAGGCATCTACCGATGCCAACCGGAGCCAAGATGAGGACGTGGGAGACATGCCCAAAGACCCCGACGCTCACCTCTCGCCAGAAGAGCGGGCACAGGTGGTAAGTTGAAATCCTGCACAATGCTCGGGCTGGTCGACACCGATCGATGATTGCTCACATCTCGATTTTTAGGAACGACGACTTCTTTGGAAGCTGGACTGGATTCTCATGCCATGGGTACGCGCCGTCACCTTCAGGCAACGCCATATTGAGAGGGCACCCCTCCAAGGCTAACACGGTGACAGCTCTGCTTCCTCTACCTATTAGCCTTCCTGGACCGGACCAACATCGGCAATGCCAAAATCGCCGGTCTCTCCGACGACCTGGGCCTCACCGTCCCCTCCTACAATGCAACTCTTACCATCTTCTTCGTGTCGTACGCCCTTTTCGAGCCGCTCACCAATATCCTCCTCAAAAAGCTCCGCCCCTCCATCTTCATTCCCATCATCATGTAAGCAAAATCGTCATCGCCACATGCTCCCCCTCCCAAACGTGCGTGCCACATGGCAAACACAACATACCTACCCACCCTTCCCCAACCTCCATCACGACTCCTATCTAACAAACCTCCCCCTCAAAAAACAGGATTCTCTGGGGCGCGAGCATGCTCGGCATGGGCTTCGTGCGCAACTGGTCCGGGCTGATGGCGGCACGCTGGTTCCTGGGACTCACCGAGGCCGGGCTGTTCCCGGGAGTCAACTACTACCTGTCGTGCTGGTATAAGCGGTCCGAGTTTGGGGTGCGCGCGGCCATCTTCTTCTCGGCGGCGGCCATCTCGGGCTCCTTCGGCGGGCTGCTGGCCGCGGCCATCGAGCAGATGGACGGGCTGGGCGGGATTGACGGGTGGGCGTGGATTTTCATCATCGAGGGGTTGTTGACCGTTGTGGTGGGCGTGGCGTCGTTCTGGATGGTGCACGACTTCCCGGACGAGGCGCGCTTCCTGTCGGATGATGACCGCGCGCGCGTAGTGCTGCGGCTGCGCATGGATCAGCAGGCGTCGGCGAACCATGAGACGTTTCAGATGAGTTATCTGTGGCAGGCGCTGCGGGATTGGAAGATGTGGCTGGGCATGGTCATCTACATGGGCTGCGACATGCCGCTGTACGCCTTCTCGCTGTTCCTACCCACCATCATCTCCAACCTGGGCTGGAACACCAGCGTGGTGCGCTCCCAGCTGATGTCGGTGCCGCCCTACGTCACGGCGGCTATACTGACGGTGGCGATCGGCTTCATCGCGGACCGGACGCGCGCGCGGGGTCTGTGCAACATCCTGGTGTCGGTCATGGCCGTGGCCGGGTTCGCCATGCTGCTGGGGACGGACGACCCGGCGGTGCAGTACGCGGGCACCTTCCTGGCGGCGCTGGGCATCTACCCGTGCATCTCCAACACCATCAGCTGGGTGGCCAACAACGTTGAGGGCGTGTACAAGCGCGGCGTGGTGCTGGGGTTCGTCATCGGCTGGGGCAACCTCAACGGCATCGTCAGCAGCAACGTCTACTTCAACGGCCCGCGCTACCCGGAGGGCCACGCCGTCATGATCGCGTACCTGGCCCTCTTCTTGTTTGGCGGGTCGGTTCTGATGTCGGTACTGCTGCGCCGCGAGAATGCGAAGCGCCGGAGGGGTGAGCGCGATCATTGGGTGCAGGGCTTGACGGAGAAGGAGGTTGAGAAGTTGGGGGACCAGAGGCCGGATTTTATATATACGGTCTGAGTTGGCCGCATGTCTCGTCACTTGGGCACTGGGCTTTGGCGTGGCGTTGGTAAAAAATGGGGGCAGTGGTCTGCGGGTTGGTGGGTGGCTGGCGCCATGTTTTGGCTCGGATCCCTCGAGTTCATCACAATGCTTTACGTGTGCCTTCATTCGGCAATGGGAAAAAGCGCGAGGGTATCAACTTCCGGAGCGTTTTAACATCACTTCGTGTTTATTTAGTTGCGCTTTATGGGAACGGCCAGTTTCTCACGATATATTACAGTGCCCTCGGGCTCACAAGGCAGTTGTAAAGACAGTTGTTTGAGAACACATGCACCCACTCAAAGTCACCATGCCATCTTCTACTCTTGGCTCTAATGCACGCTGACAAGACCGCAGACCGAAAACGTGGGCATCATCACATGCTGGAGCAAGCCCGAGGCGATGGCCCCCAAATATGGCTCCAAAACTTCTCGTGTTGCCATCTCCTCGACCAGTTCTGCGGGGGACGTTAGGCAGTTTGCTCAAAATGTCCCTCTTCAAGTTGTTCCTCCCACCTCCCGTTCCTTTTCTTTCGCCCTGTCCTGTCCATGCTCGCTATTCCCGGAGCCAACGGAGCCAACTCGCGGCACCTGGCCTTGTTCACACAAGTGTTGCACCCAACGTGCGAGGGCGCGACGATGAGACCATGGGTAACGTTCCCAAGATCGTGTGCTCCCAGAGAAGTCATGTGCCACGCTGGCCATGCGGGCAGGGTTCAACCGTCTGAATCACAACCACGGCAATGTCGGCCCGCCGCTGAGGGATGCCGGCAGTCCTGTGTCTAGGACCGAACCGATCGGACGATGCGGTCTCCCGTCCCGATCGATCACGACCTGTGTCGTTAGGAGCCGGCGTCTCAGATTTTGTGGGGCGGCCTGGTCTTGAAAGGGGGCAAACTCGGCCGAGCAGTCGGGAAGATGGGGCCGCGGAAATCTGGTCCTGATGTCAGTGATGCTGGGACCCGGTCCATGGGCGATGATGGGTGATGGTTGCCGTAGTCGCTCATCTTGGGCCGGGGACAACGCCGGGTACATGTAGTAACCACAGCTGCTAGGACTTGCCAAAACAATTTTGTGGCAAAAATGTTTGGGAGTTCTGTCGGTTCGAAAACGAGCTAGCGTATACGTTCAATGATGGCACGGAAGATGACGTGACAGAGCTGTTTGCTGGGTTTTATCTTGGCTCAGTCGTGGGGATAACAGCCCCGTCCTTTCTCTCTGCGGTGACGCTGCAACCTGCTGATACCCTGGCACAACCTATTGTACGTCAAAGGATCTACTGGGTGTCGGTCCAACTTTGTAACTGAGGTGATTAGTTGGTGATCCGTCTCTTCACTGGCTCTTTGCCGGCACGATGGCCCCCTGGCCGTTAGGAGACCGCCACTCGGTGGATACAGTGATGCGCCGACAAAATAGGAATGACGAGCACAACATGTTGTCTTCTCTTGGCAGGTGATGCTGTACTACTATTCGGACAGGATCGTAATCGGGTGTGTGGCAGCAGTCAGTCAATGGGATGGGGCGGTTGCAGGGCGATGCGGCAGATTGACGGGAGCTGTGTCCCTTGCAACGCGCGATGGGTCGCCTGTGTCCCCTCTCTTGTGTTTCTGGTCCGCCGCACGATTTGTACTGTGATATGCTGCACCGCGATGGTGTCCGCCTCGTTTTGCGTCGTGTCACCGTGATCTTCAGCGGTCTTCCTTGAAGACAACACAGCCCAACACACGGCGGCGTCAGGCTGTCAACGTCTGCACCTATCAGAGCCGTTAGGCCTTGACACGGCGCGGTGGAGATTTTGGTTGGGCTCTGCTCACCTGCCCGGTCAGCCACAAATGTGACGAGTCGACAAGAGGAGTGATGGGAACTGTGAAGGACGCGGATGTTGTGTCACCACCGTGGCAACAAGGAGAGACTTCACCAGAGACATCGCCGCAGATGCAGGTATGTATGTAGAAGAGGCCGCAGCCAAATCGGCCGGGGCCACTGCGCGGCCGCTTTTCGTTTCTCTTTTCTGTAGGTGGATAATTTGGGGTCTGGTCTGACTGGGATCAACTGCAAAGGAGGCCTTTGCGACTCCGTTCGGTTGGATCCAGGCGAGGCAGGGATAGTTATTTGAAACCGGGATTTTTGTCGTGTCTGAGTTCAAGGTTGACAACAACTGAACAGGCCACAGTGACTGACCACAGTCCCTGACCGGCCGAGATGGCTGGCTTCTGGCCGGCTTCTTGGCGCTGCAAGCCATACGGCATGCTGCAGCGTTCCAGCGAGATGAGGCGAGCAGCCTACGATGGCTACTCGCCCAACTGATATGCAGGGGCTCCGGCAGCTGCAGGTGGACAGGTTGCCTTCACCGAAAAACAAAAACGTGGAAGGCGGTCGGTCCACTTGACCACTTCACCCTCCCGCATCCCCCATTCGTGAAAACGGCTCGGCATGGCGGTAATCATTATTGTTTTGATTTCGGCCCGTCCCTGGTCGTTCCTAGATGGCCAGGTAAGGCAATCGGGTAGCTCGGCAAACAAACGGGCTGTTTACCGGGATGGACATTGCCGGCCTGGGGTTCGGGACTCGGCTGCCCGGACAGGGGGAATCTGCGGTGACAGTGTGTGTTGGCAAATGGCAAGGCCCTTGTGGCTGGCCTGTTTGATAATATGCAATTGGTGGCTAAGTTGGGCCGTTGTGCCGTCAGTGTAGTGTCGTGCTTGTTTGTCCGTGAAAGAAAGCCACCATAAGGACTTTCACACTTAACTTGCACGCAACATTTGCTCTCGGTGAGTCATTTACCACCCCGGTTGCAGGAAAGAGACCAAGTCTGCGGCCAGGAGAGGGAAAATAAGGCAACCGTAACCGGGAGTATGCCCTGTTCACCGCCCCGTGCCGTGTCTTTTTGACCCCTGTCTACAGGTACCAAGCTGAGGCTATAAGGCTGTATCATAAACGAAATTCCAAATCCGTCCACAATTCGATATCACGTGCTCACAATCTGTCATTGTGCCTTTCCAAAAGAGTTAACTGGTCAAGATATGGTTCGAGGGGCTCGAGTGGTTCGAGTTTTGGTCAAGATTCAATTCCTAAATTCAAATTATCAGAGCCCTTGCCCTAACTACCTACTTTACCTACCACCATATTATCTTCCATGGCCAGAGCCTGCACTTAAGTTGTTGAATCTTTCTTCTTCCAGCCCACAACCAAACACACTTCTCCCACCACAACACAAAAATCACCAGCTCTCTTCACGACTCCCGGACAAACATTTCCCACCAAGTCACCAGAGACATCGAACTCACAACATGGCGAAGACTGTCAACAACGTCACCCCGCCGACCAAGGAGTCTGAGCAACCCCGAGCCACCACCGTCACTGCGGCGGCCGCGGTGGATGTGGGCTCCAACACGACCACGGGGGTCACCTCCCGCCGCCAGGTGTGCGAAGGTGCCTACTTTTGCGACTGCTGCCTCTGGTACGTTTTTTAAGTATTTTGTGTCTGGCGCCGCTTTCCTCCGCCGCCGTTGTACAAATTTCATTCCCACACTGGCGTTACCTGTTCTGCTGTTGGTGTTCTGAGCGTTTTGTGACGAGGGAGAACGAAGGCAACAGCTCAATTTCTTACGTGTCTTTGCATTGTCAAACCTTGCTCTTGCGTTTGCTAACACCGTCTTGATCAGCATTTGTGGCGCGTCGGTTGAGTACCCCGGCGACGTCTGCTGCGTCTGCAGCAAGTACCATTAAGCACACCTCGCACATCTCCTTGGTTTTGGTCTGGTTTAAGCATGGTTATGGATTTCGCGAAGAGGCATTGCGTGGGACGGGACACATGGGGGTCGGAGTGGTAAAAGGATCGGGAATCATTGCACCCAGTACACAGCCGACGAGTTGAAGGCGTGAGTCTTCCAATATACCAGCGCCCCAATCATTGCGACACCTCGTGACATTGTTCGCTGTTTCAAGGCGTGATCTTGCAATGGGAAATGCTACCTATGTCATTGTCTTTGGCGCCCTTCTTCATCAGCAGATTATGAAGTTTGCCTCCGGAGAACATCATAACATGCCACCATCCCATATCCCCATCCAACTATTGATTTGTTACGCTAAACACTAGCCAATTGTGGCATTGATCGCCATGATCCGAAGTAGAGGTCAGGCGGCGGGCTTTGCTTTACTCTGTACCCTGGTCTATGCCAATAATCCTTTTCGACTATTTGTGGCCGCAGAGACTCGGACACCCCGGATGTCGAGATGCTTGCCGGGATCTAGGAGCACCGAGCCCTCGAGGACGAAGTACGCACTTGGCTCACTACCACAATGACTTTATCGGGAGTCTCATTGTATCTAGCCAGGCATTCCTATCAGCTCTGGGAAGTGGTAGCATAGATGCTAGTGATTGTGGATACCTAGTTTGTTCTACTCACGGGCGTGGGTGATGTGTCTGTCGTGCATCTCAACAAGCCCCATCAAAGCGAAAGATGCCCCTTTTAGTGTCATTCGATAATTCGATAGAGGCTTTGAGAGAAAGCGAGTAGGTCCCTAACGAGGAAGTCGTCCACACACATCTCATTATCAGGGATCAATCACGGCCATGTACTTATGGCGGCCTTGCTAGTGCTGGGTAAATGTCGTCAACTTGATGATGATACAAGTCGGATGAGACTGACGTGTGTGGTGATCCATGACTTCAACTTGACAGGCATGGTTCTAAATCTTGACTGAGCTGGCCCCCCCGATCTGGCCCGATCGTCTGAGGACAGAAGCCATATTTGAAGTAATGGTATCTGCCTTCTGGTTTGTCAACTTGCCAATAACGGGTCCCGGGTTGATGATATCGGGTGAGACTGACGTCTTTGGTATGAATTCATGACCTCACAAATGTGATTCTGGAATCTAGACTGTGGCCGGAGTGGCCGAGAACCTCTGCAGTCTCTCAAAGCCTGGGCCGGTCGTGTCGTCAGAGGTCAGAAGTGCGTTTATATAAAGGCCTCTAGCCTCGAGTCCATTCGGTTCCGAGCCGGTTGATATCTTCTCAGCAGCCTTCTCTCGTGCTCGCGGTCCTTATCCTCGACCCATCGCTCTTCGCACACCCTCCAAGTCCCAAACTTCCTCGCTAACACCTGCTGCCCGTCGTCCATCCATTGAAGGCGAGATGCTCCCACCGGTGCCCCGTGACTATCAGTCTGCCACCGAGTATCGCTTCGGCGAGAACCAGGTGAACGATATCATCCATTTTGCTGGCTGCCGTCGCGAAGGCTTCCCGCCTTGCGTCATCTGGTTCCCCCAAGCCAGCATACCCAGGTCTGCACGTCAATACCCGGGACCTTCAATCGGGATGCTCATGGCGGCATCGCTACCCTTGATCGGTTGCCATTAGAGGTCTTGTGGGACGTGGTTCTGCGCCTGGACATACATTTCGTCTTCAGGCTTCGACAAACCAACACAGGAGCGCGGCGGGTCGTGGACGCCCTCAGCCAGTATCAAGTGGTGGCCTCACACGGACTAATTGGTCTCTGCGCCTTGCTACGCACGAGGCTTGCCGCCACCGTCTCATTGCTCGACTTCCACAGGGTCCTTTGCACCGAGGCCTGCGCTCTCTGTGGCGACTTCAGCGGCGGAATAGTGTCCCTGCCGACGTGGAGCCGATGTTGCTTTCGGTGCCTATGGGCGGCACCAGAAACCCAAATACGGAGCCTGGGCGGAGTCCGGAAGCTATTTGACTTCTCCAAGGTCCAGCTAGCGAGCCTGCATCCGTTCAAAACCTTGGGCGGGATATGTACGAGGGAAGCGCCTCCACAGAGCCCGCGTGCCGTAGTCTCCCTACACCAGGCGACCCTACTCGCTGGGCAGCAAAAGGAGGATTGCTCGGCATATAGCGATAATTGGAAAGGCCAAAAATACAACTTCCTGGGAGCATGCGAACTTCCGTACTACAACAGACGGACCGGCGAGGCGGAACACGGCGGCATCTTTTGTGCTGGCTGCGAACTTGCGTTTGAAGAGAGGGCGGACAAGACCGGCGACGCGGCGGCGTGGGCAGTCCAGGCTTGTGATACAATGTTGTCGAAAGAGGCTTTTCTGGAGCACTTCAAATGGTGCAAAGAGGTACGACGTCTCTGGACGTCGCGTGGGGAAGGGTGATAGACACCAAATTGAGAGTTTGGCTATTTCACACCGAGTGATGGGAATGGGGAATAGATGGGGCAGAGGAGGAAATGTATATAACTTACATAAGTAATAGGTAACTAGTTAGTTAACTAGTTACTCAATTGAGTTAATTAACTAGTTATAGCTGCCGGTTCGATGCAACACACACTCCATGTAAGCGACCGATCCAGCCCCTTTCTGACTCTCACTCAGGAGTCCGGAAGTGGAAGGCGGGGTTACCCTCGTACCACCCTCGAGCCACCCTTCTCGAGCCATTCAATGCAGGGAGTTCAGTTTTTTCCGACGACATTAAACTGACGTCGTCCATTGCCCCAGCTTTGATCGCACAACCCTTGACCACAACCCGCCCCAACCCATACCATCAGTTAACACCAGCACCAACACCAACACCAACCCCCAAAACAAGCTCAACCCAACCCAACCCAACCCACCTCCGCCCCAAAAAATGAACCTCGCCGTCTTCTCCGCCAAGCCCTACGACCGGGACTTCCTGACCCTCGCCAACAGCACCCTCCCCACCCACCACACCCTCACCTTCCACGACTTCCCGCTCACCGCCGACACGGCCCCCCTCGCTTCCGGCGCCGACGCCGTCTGCGTCTTTGTCAACGACGCGCTCTCCGCCCCCGTCCTCCAAACCCTGCACGCAGGCGGCACGCGGGCCATCCTCCTGCGCTGCGCGGGCTACAACCACGTGGACCTGGCGGAAGCGGAGCGGCTGGGGCTGGCGGTGGCGAACGTCCCCGCCTACGCGCCCGAGGCGGTGGCCGAGTTCGCGGCGGCGCTGCTGCAGACGCTGAATCGGCGGACGCATCGGGCGTATAATAGGGTGCGGGAGGGGAATTTTAGTCTAGATTATGGGTTGCTGGGTAGGACGTTGAGGGGGAAGACGGTCGGGGTGGTGGGCACGGGGAGGATTGGGGTGGCGTTTGCGAGGATTGTGGGGGTTGGGATTTGGGTGTCGCGTGTTGGCGTATGATCCGTTTCCGGCGGAGGGGTTTGCGGAGGTGGGGGAGTATGTTGGGTTGGAGAGGTTGTTGGCGGAGAGTGATTTTGTGAGTTTGCATTGTCCGTTGACGGAGGAGACGAGGCATGTTATCAATGGGGAGACGCTAGGGATGATGAAGAAGGGGGCCCATGTTGATCAATACGTCGCGGGGCGGGCTGGTGCGCACCGAGAGTGTGATTGCTGCGCTGAAGAGCAAGCATCTGGGTGGGTTGGCGCTGGACGTCTATGAGGCGGAGGCCGCGCTGTTCTACCAGGACCACAGCGCCGAGATCATCCAGGACGATGAGCTCATGCGGCTGATGACGTTCCCCAACGTCGTGGTGTGTGGGCACCAGGCCTTTTTTACCGAGGAGGCCCTGACCGAGATCGCCGAGTGCACGATGCGGAATCTCGATGACTTCTATAACAGGATACCCTGTAAGAACGCGCTGGTCAAAGAGGGCCATGTGCTGGCCAGGCGGGAGTCATTGCCGGTTCGGATCTGATGGCCCCTAGGTGCCTTAGCTTATGTCAGGGCTTGTTAGTGGGTGGCTAGTTATTTGTTCTTAATGTATTGTCACGATTTAATGAAGGGTGCGGTGATAGTTCAGGGATATGGAACCGTATCTCATTGTGACAACCTCGTACTCTATATGATGGGTATACCCACGACGCTAATACCAAGTGAACGCCCGGTGAGAAACGCCTAAAACAAACAAGCCGTTAATACTGCCTACTCTTCCTCCCCTGCCGCCTCAGGGCCTCGAACTCAGCCGCATCCGCTGGGTACGGGTTGTTGCTCGCGTAGGCATTCGCGTAGTACCCCTCAGGGGCCGTCGCCGAAGGCTGGCTCGCCCGCGACGCCGCACGGGGCGGCGCGGGAGCGTACGCTTGGCTGCTCTGGCCGCCGTTGTCTTCTGTTCGCACCTTGCCGGGCCGGGGTGGGGGCGGAGGCGGCGGGGCTTGTTGTGGCGGGCGCGAAGTGGCGTAGCCCTCGTCCAAGGCGCGGTCCGGGCTGGGAGGGTTCTCTGGCCTTGACTGAGCATAGGCGAGGGTTGGCGTGGGGACTGTGGCTGGCGACTGCTGGGAGTATTGTGGGTTGCTGGCGGTATCGAAGGTTCGGGTCGAGACCTGTGGTGGTGCCTGGGCTTCTTCGTTCGAGAGCGGCCGTGGCTTTCGTGAGATACGGTTTGCCGAGGAGCTCGGGCGGTGCCTGGCCGGGGAGATCTGCTCGTTAAATCTGGGTTCATCCTCGTCCTCGGAAGAAGTATCCTCTGCGTCGCTTGGGGTGTCCTCGGCATACTGTTGGAGGAATGAGTTATGTTCGACAGGGGTGGGAGCTAGGTGACTTACGGCTCTTAATTCTTTCCGCATGGCGAGGCCCGCGCAGATTTCCTTGGCTTCCTCGATCGCCTTCTTCTGCACACGGAGCGTCTGCCTCCTGTCCCTAGTCTCCCTGTTCTCTGCCGCGATAGCTTCAATGACCTCGGTGCTCAAACCCAGCACCTCGACCGAGTTGAAGATGCTGTACATGCCCTGGAGGAGGTGGCGCTCAACGACTTGGGTGATGGTGTTCCTGATGAAGGTCTTGGCAGCCAGCTCGTAGTAGATGAGCATCTTCTCCAGAACCTCCTCAGCCTCGGAAAACGTCGCACCCTCCTTGGTCGAGTTGGCGTGCCAGTTCCTCAAACGTTCCTCATATTCGGGGTCGTAAGGCTGCACCTCGAGACTCATGTCCTGCATGAGGAGATCCAACTCGTGTTGCGCCTTCGCCATCAGCGCCTTCATATGAGGCTCCAGGAAATGGCGGCGGAGCGGTTCCCGCATGCGTTTTGGCCAGGCGTAGTCGATCAGCTCGCCCAGAAACTCGTTACAGACGACACCAAGATTGTCTTTGTGCTCTTGGGCGAGCTTCGGCCAGTTCTCGGAATAGCTTTGGAAGAGCATGTAAACGGCCCTCGGCTTCGGGTCCATGGGGAATTCGGAACCGCGGATCTGGCGCAGCAGCATCTCTACTTCCTGCTTCACAAAATCCCGCTTGGCGCTATCCTCAGGGGCTGGCTCCCCTGGCGCAAGCTGGGCCGACGGCGAGAAGGTGAACTTGCGCCCGTGGGCCCGGATTCTGGTCGAGAAACGGTCATTTTCCTCGGTGGCGCGGGCGCGCAAGTTCTGGGCCGGGGTTCCTCTTGGATCGGCGGTTACGCGGAAGAAGGTCTTCTTGGGCGGGTTCTTGTAGAAGCCGTAAACAGCGGGGATGACCAGCTCCTTGGAGGAGGAGAAGAGCTCGACTAGCTCGGTCCGCATCTCCTCGGGAGTATCCTTAGCATCGCCGAGACTCTTGAGTTCGGCTTCGCAGTCGTCGAGGGCCTTTTGGATCTGTCTGCGGAGGACATGAACATGCTTTCCGATGTGTTGCTGAAGTTGCGTGCTGAGTTTCCGCATCAATGCGCCGGCGCCGCAGATGGACGATGGGACAGAGCTCCATTTTCCGCTGTTGAAGAAGACAGCTTCATCACGTCGGCGGTCTTCAGCTGTCGGCCAGGGCTGGCCGGGTTCGCGGGGGCCTGGGTTCAGCAAGACATACCAGCCAAGCTTGAAGTCATTGCGTTTGTCCTTGTTCTTGACGAGGTCGATGAACTTGTCTTCGAGGCCGATCGACTCGGTGAGGTCTGGCTTCGTGAGGACTCCGATGGTACGGGACCCGTTGGGGTCGAAATGGCGGGCCTTTGTCAAGATCGGGGCTTGGACGTAGTCTGAGTTACCGCCAACCACGGCAAGGATGATGGTCCGCGAACTCTTCATGTAGCGATCCGACAGCGACTCGATGGTCCTGATGTCTTCCAGAGACTGGTCGTTGTTCGCGTTCCGGACTAGCCCTGGCAAGTCGACCAAGGTCAACAGCGGCATATCCGGGCCCCGTTTCTCGACGACCAGGATGTCGCGGGCGGCAAAACGGCCAGGGATGTTCTTGGGTGCGATCAGCTCGACGGCGCTCCTCATCAGCTGCTCAAAGGGCATTCCGGTGTGGACGGTTCCGCCGAACTGGCTCAACCTCTCCTGCTCTGGGAAACTGCGTTTCTTATCTGGGATCACAGAGACGGCGATGCTCGGCGCGGGCGCCCTCCGGAGACGGATCTCGGTCGCGAACCTGGTGCAGGCGCCTGCATCTCGGGGGAAAGGGGTGCCCGTGATGGCCTCCAGCACAGAGCTCTTCCCGGCGCTCTGGTCACCGACGACCACGATTTGTGGTAACTTGACATTGTCAAGCTGAGCAAACTGTAGCTTGTCGATCAAGTCGAGGAGGGCACGTTGCTCGCCGGCGAGCTCCTGAGCATCCACGGCGAGCTCGAGGCGTGTGACCATGGCGGGGAAGGGTTGTTGGTGTTACGACTTGGTGGATGGCACGGTGTGTTGGTGTCAAACAACTGGCCTTAACGAGGAGGGAAGAGTCAAGGTAGCAATTAAGAGCCTAAATAATAATATCTAGCCGGAGACACGAAGCTACGACAGTCGTGGTTTTTATGGAGGAGGACTCCCATCAGAAAGAGTCAAGAATCCCAAAATGAGGCTGTGTGGGTTGCCACAGCTGGGCATGCTCGCCGCGTTCGCCGCGTGGCCCCAAGGAAATGCGCATCTTGCCTTGCACAACATGGCTGAATACCGGGCGTGGGAGAAACAAGATGGCAGCCTTGTTGGTGTGGTCGTGTGGATGCTGAGCGACGCCCGGTGACGACGACAGACGAGGAAGACCACGCGTTCAGTGGATCGCCCAGGCACTGCCAGGGCTTTTAGTGGCAACTCAAAGAACAGAAAGCACTGTGATTGGCGTTGCGAAAAAGCCCCACACCCCTCCTGAGAGTGGGGCGCCCTTTCCCAGGCCTCCGACCTCCAGGGGGCATGGTCTTGAACCTTGACCGCATGCGAGTTTTGACTTCCATCCTTCCGTTTGAGATTCCATGCCATTGGAAGAGAGCATGCCATGCATGCTCAAAAAGAAGTCGCCCCGAGAAAGTTCTTATGGCCCAGCCACATGCAACACTTCAAGGTTATGGACAACCCAAATATAAGCAGAATGATACTGATTCACTTCAAGGAATGGCGCATGGTACTTTCTGTTGGATTTGGAAGGCGGTTAGGAGGGGCAATTCAGGGGTAACTAGTGGCTGGGCATTATTAGTATTTTCAGGATCAGGGCGAGGGCCGCGGCAGTGGGAACAAGACAGACACAGAGAGACAGACATCATCATCAATGGACTGGTTGCCCCTCTTTCATCACCTTTTGGCACCCAATCACCTTGGTACAGTCAATTCGTAGCTGTTGGCTTTCCAACACTTTCCTTCTAACTTCCTATTAACTTCAAAGCCACCCTCCTAAACAAAAGTCATCTCCCTTCTAAGTCCACAAGATCCCCAGGTCGTCCTCATCCTCGCTGTCACTATCACTGCTGCTCTTATCACTGTTACTCTCATTGTCCGCCCTTACCTGCCTCTCAGCCTCCTCCATCTTCCCCTCCTCGGTAAACAACATCACAACCCCACGCAATTCCCTCGCAACAGCCACATCAATCGCCGTCCGTAACGCCTCATCCTCCGCGCGGGGATCAACACCCAGCTCCATCAACCTCTTAAACAAACCCGTAACATCCCACCCCGGTAGATCCCACCCCTCGGCCACGGCATGCAGTAATGTGCGCCGGCGCCCATCCACCGCCTGCAAATCCGCGCCCAGTTCGACGAACACATCCAGCGCCTCGACACTGCAATCAAGGGACTTAATTAACACCGGTGCCACGAAATCCAAATATGGGCGTCTCTCCAGCCGCGTTGCGCGCGTTGATGTCCAACCGCGTGGCCAGCTCGCGGAAGAGGGTGGCCGCCGCCGCGGAGGCCTCTGACTTGCCCAGCAGCCGCGGGGCGATGGAGTGCAGCGCCGAGTTGCCCGTGGTTGGGTCTGGCTCCGCCGGGTCCGCGCCGGCGGCGAGGAGGTGTTGGACCGCGAACAAGGAGTGTTGCGAGACGTTGGCGTGGGTGGCTAGCGCCAGGTGCAGCGGCGTCCGGCCTTGCTTGTCTCGGATTGTGAGGGCGCCTGGGCCGTTGCGTGTGAGGGCGGTGAAGGCGTTGCGGTGCGGCACGTCGAACGGTCCCTGGAATGTGCAGAGCCAGTGGAGAGGGGTGCGGCCTTCGTCGTCGACAATGAGGGGGTCGGCCCCGACGTTGAGGAGGACGTGCGCCATCTCGGCCATCACGGTTCGTGGAGGCGGGGGACGGGGAGGGTAGCACAGCCCGGGGTTGGGGGCTTACGGGGATCATGGGGATGCAAGCTGAGGCTAGGAGAGTCCGTCCCGTGATGGCCTCACGCGGTTGCAGTTCGCTTGGGATACCCCTGTCATAGAAACGTGGGATACCCGGCCGCGGTCCTCTCACGATGCCTTGAAGAGCGAAGCTGCTCGTTCGGGTAAGGCGCATATACATCGGCGCCGTGAGAGAAATCAGGTCTAGCATCGCCTGTTGCCGGGACTGGAATCGAGCGCGGGATAATGGAAGCTGTGGCCGGCAGCTTCGTGAGGGCGTAGCGTGGCTTCTACTCGACTCTGGTCTGCTCTTGCAAGGATGGTAGCTCATCCGGGTCGAGCCCAGCGTCCAACAGCAACTTCGCGATTTCCGGATCCATCCACTCCCGAATGACTCGTGTCAAGATGCCCGGGCAGCTTTTAACGCTTGCCCCATTTTCCAACAAAAGCTTGGTGATGCCGGCATGGTTCGACATCTCAAGTGCCGAAGACCCACCCCACACATCCTCCGTCGTCTCCATGATCGCATTGACATCGGCCCCGTGCCTTAACAACACCCGCACCGTTTCCTCGCGCCAGGGTCCGTATGGCATATCCCCATGGATAGCTGCAAGCAGAGGCGTCAGGCCCATCTTGTTCCTAGCTTCAATATTGGGGCGTTTAGAGAGCAGGTACTCGAGCGCCTCGACATGCCAAAATGCGACGCCACACGCGAGGATGTGTAGCGCAGTCGAGCCCGGCAGCTTTGGCTCGTGGTCCCCAGCGGCGTAGACGGCGTTGGCATCCACATCCATACCGAGTTCGTCCACGAACAGCTGGACCAGGTACAACGACGGCCGATGTAGTTTACAAGCGGTTCCGAGCGGCGTGAGAAAACCTTATGCAACCCTCTTCGACAAGTTGGTCGAGGAGGGTGTGGTCACAAATGTCGGCCTAGTTCGAGGATGTCCCCACCGAGTTCGTCATACAGCTTGATCGCGTCGAATTCGTCGTGCTCCAGTACGAAACGCAACATTTCCGTTTTATTGGCATCGTTGAGATATTTGCCGTCCATGTCGTCGCCACCGTTACCGTGCTGGGACTTGACGCCCCAAGATGTCCTGTTCCCCGATGATGAGGCGGGGCTTCCTTCTGGAACCGCATCCTCGACTGTCTCAGAGCCCATGCATTGATCTGTGCCTTTCGAACCTCCTCGTCCATCTCCTCTTCATCTGTCGCCAAGAACAAAATCTTCGGAATGTTTATGGGCCTATCGCGGGGTTCGACCCTATGCGCGATCAGCCGGCGGACCAGTTCCCAGCATTTCCTCTCCACTGCCATATCCAAGGCCCGTCAGCATTCTCGGCCTTGTTTTCGTTTTCCCCGGTGGACTACGGCCTCGGCGTTGAGATCTGCCCCAGCGAGTTGCAGCATCCCAACGATGTTGCCCGCGCGCTCCAAGGAGACCCTTAATCTTAGCCAGGGTATGTAGCGGAGTCAGCCCTTTCTGATCCTTAGCTCCAGCGTCTGCCCCATTGATCAATAAATACCAGACAGCTTCCGGTCTTCCGGCCTGGCACGCGTGGTGTATCGGCGCCCTACCATCTCCGAGTAAGTTGACGCGCTTTTCGAGCACGTTCAGCTCACGATACTGGGCAAGCAGGAGGACCAGAACACCAGCCCTTCCATCGCGGGCGGCCACATGCAGCGGCGAGAGGCCACCGGCGGTAAGCACGGTCGGGTCAGCTCCGGCCTTGATAAGTTTCCAAACCGCGCTTTCCCCAAGCGCCACGGCATAGTGTAATGGGGTGAGACCGTCGATGTCAGGCTCGTTAACGTCTAGGCCGCCAAATTCCGGAGTGGCGAGCGCGGCCTCGAGCATGTCCACGTCGCCAGCTACGTGCAGCGCTGACTGGCCTCTTGCATTCCTGGCCAGCGGCGGGGCCCCGGCTTGTAGCAGGACTTGGAGCTCCTCGCGGATAAGCTCTCTCGGCTCATTCTCGGAGAGTACCGCGTGAATTATCGTGTTCCCATCCTTGTCTACCGTACCTGCGCTCGCCCCTACCGAGCTCAGATAGCGGAACTCGTCCACTCGGTTCCTCCTCGCGCCCACCATCGCATACAACAGCGTCTTGCCATCGTGGGTGAGCGTCCTCATATTGGCGCCCAGGCGGACAAACTTCTGGATAGTCTCAGGTTGGTGATAGTGGTCTTGACTCAAGAGTTCCCATAAAACGGTGCGCCCCTTCTCATCGCACGCATTTAGGTCCAAGCCTGAATCCACCAACTTTCGAAGCACATCTTCATCTTTGTTGTTGCTGGGGTCGTACTTCCACAGCGGCGGGTTGCCCTTCTTGTTCCTTTTGTTCGGATCCGCGCCCGCAAGGAGCAATGCCTGGATGAAGGGCATGAGCTTCGAAGGTTTGAAAGCCGGCATTTTGCGGAAGATGTGGTGAAATATGGTGTCCCCATTCTTGTCAGCAAGATGCACGTCCGATCCCAGCTTTAAGAGCCCGTGGAGGACCTTGATGTTCGCCAAATGTCCACAGTCCCAAGGAAAAAACCACAGCTGATTAATAATCTCAAGTAGCGGCGTTCTTCCCCATGCGTTCAGCGCGTTTATGTCGGCTCCGTGGTCAACTAGCGTCTGGAGCAACCGGTGGCTTTCTGGCTTGATGAGGTGAAGTGGCGTATTGCCGTCCTTCGTCTTCGCGTGGAGGTTTGCGCCTGCTGAGAGGAATACCTTGCTTAGGGAGTCTTCGGGATGGCCCAAGCTAAACGCCATAAAATCATCATCATTTCTTTGCACAGCCAAGTGCAAAGGCGTCAGGTCTTTGCCACGATATCTCCCTGCGTCCATGGTAGCGTTCACATCCGCGCCGGCTTCCACGAGCAGTCGAATGCATTCGGCCACCAGCTTCTTGTCACTGTCCCGCACTATCCGCATGATACCATCGGCGCCGGCAAGTCCGTGTAGCGGGGTCGGCCCTCGCTCGCGATGCTCGATGTCGTCATCCCCGTATGTGTCAGTTTGGCGTCGCTGGTTTGGATCAGCGCCGTGCTGGAGGAGGAGCTTGACCAAATCCGGATTCTTGGCCTGTGCCGCGCGGTACAGCTTTGTCAACCCGGATATGTAACAGTTAACATCTGCCTGGCTCGTGTCAAGAATTGCGTTGACGTTGTCTACCGTGTCGGCTAGGTGTAAGTATAGGTTAATGTCGCCCGGTGGTATAAAGGGTATAAACGCCTTGATCACCGCAGGATCACCACCGCTAAAAGCGAGGAAAAGTGCTTTTCCCTTTTCCTTCTCCGCTTCTTCCTCGGTGATGCCCATATAGGCAGGATCATCATTCCATGGGCGCGAGCCTGGGCACGTCTTAATGAGAGGATCGACGCCAGCACCCAGCAGGAGATGAACGACTGGTGCCTGCCCGTGTCTAGCAGCCAGGTGCAGAGGCGTCATGCCGTCGTTGGCCCCAGATGTCGGATCAGCACCTTTGGCAAGCAGAATTTCGACAAGGCCAGCGTGGCCAGCCATAGAAGCACAGGCCAGAGGCGTGAGACCGTCCCCGTCACGGCTGTCTAGGAGTGCGGGTTCCTTCTCGACAAAATAGTCCACCACATACGTCGGGATCGACGTGCCATTTCTCGCGGACGTGAGTAAATGGAGGGCATTGAATGAGGATGAGACCGAGCGGCGCCGCCTCAGGTAAGCTAAAGTCTGAAAAGCAGGTCTATCAGGGGCCAAATAACGACCCAGAGCTGCTAACAGCTGGTTTGCCGACGTCCTACATGATACCTTGCTGATGTGGAAGAAGAGGTTGTTGGTAGCATACGACGCGAGAGGTTGGTTGAGTAGCGTATCGGTAAGTATCTTCACCCTGCGTTCGTGTTCTTTATGCAAGTCGGGAGGGCGACAGTCGGCAGCGCTTCTATCGGCTATGGTGGTGTCGAGCGGGGGACACCCATCGAGATATTCTAGCAACAGGACCGCAAGCACGGCATGTGACGCCTCGGCTTCCAGCACGGGGAATGCGTCCCCATCGTCCCTCCGGCTCGTATCGTGCAGAAACTCAGTGAACGAATGGTGGATGACGCTCACGGTCTCGTCTTCCAGCAACTCCAGCAGCCTCCCGCAGCCTGCGCGCACCAGGTCCTTGCCACGTCGGAGATCCACGTGTAGCATGCGAGAGAGCAACGAGCCGAGCTCGATGAGCCGGACCGGTCGGCTCGCGTGTGTGACGCACATGAGAATCTTGGCCTGTTGCTCGGCCGTCACCCCGCTCCGGCGGGCATGCTCCTTCAGCATGTCCTCGTACACCGCGCGGAGGGTACGCGGGAGGCGGTCCAGGTTATCCGGCAGGTCCTCTTCGGTGATGCGCCCATCTCGCAGCCCTTCAGCCAAGTTGTCGGCCAACAAACGCGCCTGCAGAAACAGCCCGTTCGCCCGCTCACAAATCGACTGCCTGACCAGCTCGTTCTTGTCGTCACTCAGCGGGGGATCCAGCGTAGTCATCCTCGAGTCCACATACCGCGCCACATCCGGCGACAGCAACGCCGGATCCAGCCGCAAGCGCACAACTCCCGAATAATGACCTAGCGCCCGCTCAATATGCGGCAGCGGCCGACTCGTCACCATAACCCTAACCGCACCCCCTCCCCCTTCCACGTCCTCCATCCTCCCCAACGCCACCAACCTCTCCACCACCCCCTCCAACTCCGCATCATCCATCTCATCCAACGCATCCACCACACAAAACACCCTCTCTCCCTTCATCCCCCCCAACGCCTCCACCACCGCGGGCCACACCATCCCCATCTCATTCCCCCGCACCGCATGCTCCCGCGACACGGCCGTCAGCGCGTCCACCAGCGCGGGGCTGTGCGGCAGCAGCTGCGCGGCAAAATCGCGGATGAGGTAGCGCGCGGTGTGGTTCTTGTCGACGATTTGGCGGAAGAAGAAGAAGAGGACGATGGGGCCGTCGCTATCACCGTCATCGGGGGTGGGGTTAGCTTGGAGGGTGCGGATGGTGGCGGCGGAGAAGACGGATTTGCCGCTGCCGGCGACGCCGCGGATGTGGAGGATGGGGTTGGGGGTTGGGGTTGGGGTGGTGGTGTTGTCGAGGCCGGCCCAGGCGCGAAACGCGGTCGTCTCGTGGATCCATCTGCCGGTGCCGGGGACGTAGGAGCGTAGGTGCTTCATGAACTCGTTGCCTGGTGAGAGGTAGTCGGTGGGCTGTAGCCATTTGAGGAGTCGGGCGATGCGTTGCTGGGGGGAGTCGCCGGGCTGTGGTGCGGGGGCGGGCACCGTGTCTCGCTCGATGATGTCGTATGTCTGGGCGTTGGCGTCGTCCATGATCTTGGGTGATGCCAGTCGTTGATACTTCTAGGGTTGTTGATTTGAGTGTCTCATGGAATTGAAAGGGCCTGTCCCCTTTTAGGCAACATCAGTTGCTTCCTGACAGCCGCCTGCTCCAACATCCAGCATACCTCATTAGGTAGGTAGGTAGTATCTGCTATGACTCTTTACCGTCAAGATAACAGGAAATCACTAGCAATTCGAAAGGGCTTTTGCTATTCGGGCACTCATACTTTGGCTATTCGGGCACTCACCCCCTAGATCATTGAAAAAGGGTTAGGGTTATATATGGTCCCACCGTATCAATCGAGGGTTTACATGACCCACCATTGCATTCCATTCACCATGGTCCCCAACTCTCCTACTGATGTAATCTTTCGACATCACCAGGGTGCCCCGCCACCAACCACGGTTAGTTGCAGCGATTCTACCCGCGTTCTGAGGCCAAATTAACCATTTTACAGTGTTGCGGGACCGTCGGAATCATTGCAGGCCCTCGCGCCGTCTAAGAAATCGCGCGTTTGTCAAGCGCAGAGATGGCCGGCACAGGCAGCTCCCACAGCGACCCCATCGCCATCCCCTCAAGCCCAGTCACCTCCCAAGACTTCGGCGGCGATGTCGACGATCAAACCTACGTACAAGGCGGCTAGGACGGAGGAAGGAGCGAAATAACTACTCTCTATTGTTTTCGAGCGCTCTAGGTGTGACGGCAGCTGCCGTCGGAGTGCACTGTGGCTCCACTTGGTTGGGCACGTGACCACACGAGCTGGCATTTAACTCCTGTATCGCGAGAGCTCTTCCAGCTTCTCTTCCTTTTCTCCCCATCTTGCAATTAGCAGAAATAGAGTCTCATCGGCAGTGCCCTCGCGCCTCGCCCAAATGTCCCTCGCCTCTCACACTAGGGAAGTAATAGTGTCCATTGTAGGCTTAGATTGTTGCAGAAATGATAGATTTCGTTAGCAATGCAAGAATGGCTCTGGAGTGAGATGTGACCATATATAACCCTAACCCTTTCCCAATGATCTCGGGGGTGAGTGCCCGAATAGCCAAAGTATGAGTGCCCGAATAGCAAAAGCCTTCGAAAGGACTGCGTCTCGCCCCCAAAAGTTAGTGAATGGTAACCAAAATGGGGAAAACTGGATGTAGGTACCTACCTATTTACCTGTTTCGGTTATATTTCAGCTGAAGCCCTGCGTTCTAATTCCTCAATTTTTGCCCCTTATCTTTTGGTTAACTACGTTAATTTTTAATTTCTTATGCTTGACATTTTTTCCTCGATAGGCTTCTTCCATTCTAACCCATCACAGCTTGTCCCAACCTTCCTTTTCTCGTTCTCTTCTCCCTCCTTTTCTTTCGTTTTCATTGTCTGCGTTTCTCTGTCAGCCCCGCCGCCCCCCATGGTGCCCTCATTTTCACTTCCTCGACTGCGTTCACGATATATCGTTTATTTATACAGCTATCTTTGTACCGAGTCCTTGCTGTTCATTAGAGGAGGTACCATTCACGACACTGATGACGCCACAAGATGGGCCTCCGCCCAAATCATCTCATCTTCAGTTATAGCCTACGTCAGATAGGTGCAACGATGACTCGCTGCACTCGCATAATTGCTACTTAAACTCCTCCGTTTTCCATTTTTCATTTTCCAATTCTCTTTCCTCGCTCCCACATCTCTGTGTTGGGACTAAACCCGGGACTCGCGAATCGGCCCTGCCTATAACCCCGGACACTTTGTCCCGTTAAAGCTGCTTCCAATTTGGCACTGCACAAGATGGCTCAGAAGTTCTCAGCGGGTCTTCCGGCTAGCTACGGGGTGGATTTGGTACGTCCACATGATCAATTCCCCGGTCCCAAAGCACGACCATTTGACACACTAGGACCAATGTCGACAGTCGCAGTACGGTTTCCCCCGTTTTCTACTTGATCCGAGTTTCGATTACTCGGAAGCTGGTCTCGATGAGGATACTGGCGACTTTGGGTGGGATACAAATTCCAGCTGTGACACCCCTAGCACTTTTAAGATCGGCGACCATGACTCGGGCTGGAATCCGGGCCCGGGGTCTATGTCGCCACGGCCCGCTGATGGACCCAACAAAGGCAACATAGCTTCGACAGCGAAAACCACCTCGGGAACCATCCAGATCAGAATTATCCCAGCCGCACACACACCAAAGCCCTGGGCGGCCTGTATCAAAATCAAGTGCAAAGACGTAGCTCGTCTGATGCGGGAGGGTTTTTTCTGGTCGGCCGACAACGTGCTGCCGGAAAGGGGTCACATGTCTCCTCATGTTGGACGCGCGTGGGTGGACTTGGGATGCCGTCATCAACGCACGTGGATCATCGCCGACAACCCCGACGACGAGGTTTCCCAATGGGGAGGTTCAATTAAAGTCGTGAGCCCTTGTATGGAAAATCTCGCGAAATTCCGGACCCACCATCTGTCAACAGCGACTGTCACTGTGTATTGTGCGTCTGCCTGGAACGAGATGGGGCGTTCGATATACAAGTACGACTACCGTCGCCCCGACGACAACTATAACTGTATCTACGACGACAAGCCGCTGAGAGGCTGGTGGCCGTGGCCAAATAAGTGCACCCCTGACGTGATTACTCCCCTGGGGGATGAAAGCCAGCTCTTTCCGCGCCGCACATGCACTCTCCCCGGTCCTTCACCCCACCCGGATCCGAATGTGCCCACCCGGGACCCTGGCGAGCTCTACTTGCCCCGTCCACCATTCGAACTGTCCGCCAGAACAACAGATGATTGTTTTGATTATGATGATGATGATAATGGTGAGGGTGAATTGATGGAGAAGTCGGTATCGGGTACGTGTAGCTAGCGGGCGTCTCCCAATGTTACTAGACATTCAAGTACAGACGGGATATTACGGAGTATCAAATTAAAGGTAGTTAGTCTCCAGAATGTGCAAGGAATCTTGGAAGTCTTGGCTTAATTATTACTTTGTATTGTCTTACATCAGGTTAGGGAGTCAAGGGCGTGAATAAGCGCCGTGCCCCCATTAGGGAAGAAAGAGGCCAGAACAGCGCATAGCGTCTGCCCTTATTGAGCCGGTCAATTCATGTTGCTGCTGCCTGATATGCATGTCAGGCTAACCAGTGCAACCAGGGATAGTTGTCCTTGGCTCACGTCCTTGATTAGTTGAATGATGAGAGAAGTGAGACGGGACAGCTTCTGAACATTGAACTCTACGGATGACTTTACGTTTTTGACTTGGCATTCACAGACGATAGGTGCATTTGCTAATTCTCACCAGATATTGGCTGACCGCTAGTCCAGAGTAATGATCAATGCCTGGCGGGAGACGGAGGGCCCTTCGAACAAAGGTCAGAGATGTGAACACCTATATAAAGTGCTCCCTCCTGATGTTGGAGTTTATCTTTTTCATCCATCCGCCGCTCCCAACACCCAAGACACCTTACCCTCAGTCTGGCCTCACTTCCACCTTTACGTTGCCAAAAATGATCGGCTTCAAGCTCATCGCCGCCACGGTTATCCTCGCACAAAGTGCTTTTGGAGAAGGAATCCACTTGCTCAACTGCCGACCCTTTGGTGGCGCTGGTAGCCCTCAGACTTGGTATTCTGTGGTTGCGGTACGTGGACTGGAGTGATCGCGAGTCTTGTTCGTACCCAAGAACTGACCACTCATCTGGTTGTAGTATTGCGCCAACGATGCGGACTGCAGCAAACTGAGCTATGTGATCCCCACTCAAGATACCTGCATTGTGTCGACGTCGAGCACGCCCGAGTCTTTCCACACGTGGGAGGGCGGCCAACAGAGCTGCACTTTCCCAACCGGCGTGACCTTCAACTGGAACATCCCGGCCAATGCTCAAAGCCAAGCCGATTTCTCCTCGGTGGGGTGAGTGTATTTTTTTGTTTTTTTTTCGCCTTTTTTTGGATCCTTGGTTCCTGGAGGTCATACCACTGATATTGTTGAAACAGCGCTGGATGGAACGACTTCAGAAGCTTCTCAGGGTTCAAGGACCAGAAGGTCAACGGTGCCGGCCTCGGCTCGCACAGCTGTACCAAGATATATTACTACATCTAATTGTTGAATCGCCGGTAGTTGGTTGTTCGGACTTTGTTTCTGAGGGATTCGCTCGACGGAACGATCCCGTCCACCCGTTTAGGAAGTCATTGTCCGAAAAGAAACGAGGGAAATTCAATTTCGGCAGATCAATGCTGCCAAGTCTCGGCGTTCCACCCAAAGCTTGTCTTGCGCTAATTGCATTTGTCCGTCACACTCTTTTCCGCATTGTGATGAAAGGGTGCGTTCTCTGCGGTAACGGGACTGCCTGATTCAATAAACAGCTCTAGTATTCGTACATATCGTAACTATTATTACATAGACGGTTGGTTTGCCTGGGCTTGTGACCGAAATAATTCTCTTGGTATCCAAGAGAAGCTGCGTCAGGGGCGGATGCTGTGCCACCTGTGGCTTTAACACCAAGACATTTAACTCATCCCTGGAAGCGTCAGTGGCTTGCATTGCCTGCCGCCTGTTGTTTCGTCACGTCACTGCCAGCTCCAGCTCCACTGCAAGCGCAACTGCTGTTGGCCGCCAAGGTTGCGTGACCAAACCGAGCTCGCCTTTTTAGTGTCTGCCTTTTCCAACACCGCCCACCGCCTCGAGCCTGTACACACCTCACCTACCTTACCTGGGTACAGAGCTCGCAAACGCCAATGTCCAGGCCGCCAGTTCACCTCTTGTTCCGACGCATCTGCCCTCCCAGGTGAAACGTCTCGAGTGGCAGCAATGAACATGTTCGAAGACCCCGACAATCCCGACTGCGGCGGCGATAATGCGGTCAGACCCGGCAAGAAGGACACCCAAGTCCAGCTCGTCATCTCTCTTGCTCTGGGCTTGTCGGCATTCATAGCTTTCTGCGTACGTCTTCCTACCTACCAAGCCCGCCACCCCTCTATTCCTCAATACACCATCCGCTTACACTTCGCTCGCAGATCCTCCGACCACGATGGAAGTCCCTTTACGCCGCCCGAAAACGACACGCCAATCCCCTTCTCGGTCTGCCATCTCTCCCCGACACCTTCTTTGGCTGGATTCCCGTGTTATACCACATCACCGAACAGCAGGTCCTGTCCTCGGCCGGCCTCGACGCATATGTGTTCCTCGCCTTCTTCAAGATGTCCATGCGCCTCTTTGGCACCATGTTCTTCTTCGCCGCTGTCGTGCTCGGGCCGATCAATCATCACTTCCTCGACAACGCCAAGTCGACCGAGATATTTCTGTTTAGGCCATTCGCAACGGGCTACAAGGATGAGCTTGCAAGACGGCTCGTTGATCTGGAGAAGTCAGACCGCAATCAAGACGACAGCTTCAACCGCAACCTGGGCTATTTGTGGTCATATTTGGTGTTTACCTATTTTTTCACTGGTCTTACCCTTTTTTTCATGAGGAGGGAGACGGCCAAAGTGATACGCGTGCGCCAGGACTATCTGGGTACCCAATCCACCATTACCGACCGAACCTTTCGCCTATCCAGCATCCCCGAGGAACTAAGAACCGAGGCCGCCATCAAGGACCTGGTGCAGAAGCTCGAGATTGGCAAGGTTGAAAGTGTCACTCTTTGCTGCAATTGGGCCGAGCTTGACAAGTTGATGGAAGAGAGGAAGACTGTTCTGGCCAAGCTGGAGGAGACCTGGAGTGTCTACCTCGCACATACGCCACTAGCGGCCACCGAATCACGGACAAATGGGAGTGGTGATAATGGCATCGGGGGCCGTGCGAGCGGTGCCCCAGAGGTGGTAGATGAGGAGGCAGGAGAAGGCGATCGTCTCTTGAGCCAGGACGAGGCTCAGCCGTCTGAGAGACGGCGTCCACGGACCCGTTTTTGGTATGGTTTCTTGCGTCTCCAAAGTAGAGAGACCGACGCTATCGACTATTACACCGAAAAGCTACGCCAGCTCGACGACAAGATCACCGCCGCGCGAAAGAAGACATACGAGCCTGCCGACCTTGCCTTCGTCACCATGGACTCCATTGCTGCCTGCCAAATGGCGATTCAGGCACTTGTCGACCCTCACCCAGGCCGTCTCCAGACAAAGCCCGCTCCTGCACCGTCCGACGTCGTATGGAAGAACACATACGCCACGCGCTTTAGCCGCCGCGCTCGGTCTTGGACTGTGACGACCTTCGTCGCTATTCTTTCCGTTGTGTGGTTGGTTCCCGTCGCCTTCCTTGCCTCCGTCCTCAGCATCTGCACCATCAACAAGTTCCTCCCAGCCTTTGGCGATTGGCTCAAGGAACACGAAATCGCCCGAACCCTCGTCCAGACAGGCCTCCCAACGCTCGTCGCCTCCCTGCTCAACGTCGCGGTTCCCTACCTCTACGACTATCTCTCCTGGCACCAAGGCATGCTCTCGCAGGGGGACATCGCCCTCTCGGCCATCAGTAAGAATTTTTTCTTCACCTTCTTCAACATCTTCCTCATCTTCACCATCTTCGGCGCCGTCACCTCCATCTTCGACGTCCTCCGCAACTCTCTCAAAGACACCACCTACATCGCCTACACCCTCGCACGCAAGATCGAAGAGCTCTCCGTCTTCTACACCAACTTCATCATGCTCCAAGGCCTCGGGCTCTTCCCCTTTCGTCTCCTCGAGCTCGGCAGCATCGCCCAATACCTCATCCTGCGCATGGGCGCCAAAACCCCGCGCGACTTCGCCGAACTCGTCCAACCCCCCAAATTCTACTACGGCTTCTACCTGCCCACCGCCCTGCTCGTCTTCATCCTCTGCCTCGTCTATAGCGCCCTGCGCGGCGGCTCCCTCGTCCTCGGCCTCGGCCTCGCCTATTTCTCCCTCGGCTACTTCACTTACAAGTACCAGTTGCTCTACGCCATGGACCAGCCCCAGCACGCCACCGGCGGCGCCTGGCGCATCATCTGCTACCGCATCGTGCTCGGCCTCGTCGTCTTCCAGCTGACCATGTCGGGCTACTTCGCGCTGAAGAAGGCCTTCACCGTCGCGCTGCTGGTCGGCCCGCTGTTTGTCGCCACGCTGTGGTATGGGTGGGACTTCCGCCGGCGCGTGGAGCCGCTGACGCGGTTCATTGCGCTGAGGAGTATTGAGCGTCCCGGTGAGGGCGGCGAGACGGCGATTGTGGATGGGGATTTGGGTGGGGCGGGGGGGGATGCTGATGCTGCTGGGGCCGCGGAGCAGCAGAGGGAGGTGCTGCGGAGGGGGAGTACCGTGGACGAGGACCGCGAGAAGGGCCTGCGGTTTGTGAATCCCAGTTTGGTGGCGCCGTGAGTACCCCCGCCCTTCTTCTTCTTCCCTTTGAGTGGGGTTCCTGACTAACCTTGACAACAGACTCGAACAACCCTGGATCTACGAGGAGGCGCCGCCACCGTTGCTGATCTCAGACACGGGTTCCCTCCCCGGCTCCGATTCGGGCCTGGGCACGCCGCGTCGCAGGACGGGTGGTGTTGGCGGTGGCAGCAGCAACTCGTCTAGCTCCGTGAGTCTGGGCGACACGCACATCTGGAGGGAATGATGGCGCCGCCCACATACAGCGGTGTTGTTGGTGGATGCTGGCCGGTTTTGTTGTATAACGCGGATCGGTTGTGATCGGTTCCATAGCGGTTTCTTTTTCTGTCTTTTCCTTTCTCTTTATGTTTGCATGCGATGTGTGAGATGATGACGGGTACGATGACGAGGGCGCTGGAGTGATACCCGGGGAGTAATGAGATATGTAGTGCTACAAGTATATACCAGGTGGATTCCAGGGGAAGCGAGGCGGGGTGGACATATGATTCGGGGGTAATATGACATGCTTTTCACGGTTTACCATTGTTGGTGGCATTCCACATCATACGCTGGCTGGCCCCCCAAGTTGTGACTGGGATATCATCTTCGGGGCGCTTGAACGTCGCCTCAACAACCCCAACAGTAGAAGCGGAGCGGAGTAACGCATTGAAGTCACGGAGTGGTCCATGTTTAAGGAAACTAGATCTAACTAGAAGATATCGAGTCTTCTGGCACAAGCTTTGCGATAGCTAACCCCCAGAGCGACGTATATAGACCCCAGCTTCAACTCCATATCACTCACTCCTCCCTCCCGCTCATGTCCTCAGCAAATCCACCCCTCTCAATGTCAGCAACCATATCATTGACGAAAAACGCCCTCCAACATCCCTCCCAAAAAATACCAAAAAGAAAAACCCACGCAACCCAGGAGGCCCCCTACAACTCCATCTCCATCTCCTCCCCCTCCACTTGCCCACCCTCCTCCCCATGCTCACGCAGTCCCCGCAAGAACTCCTGCGTCGCCAAACGAGCCCGGTCCAGACCTCCACCACCACCAACCCTCTCCTCACGCGCCGCACCCGAAGAAGAGTCGGCGGCTTGCTCACGAGCATACCAGTCCCTAAGCGGCTGGAACTGCTCCAGCGGCTGCACAAGGCCGGCATAAGCCCCCGCGGCAGGGCGCTGCGCCGAGCCCGGGGGCAGCAGGGCAACATCCGGGCTGTCGGCGTCGGGCATCTCCTCATCGTAGTTGGAGCCGGAGGAGATGGGCACGGCGCGCTGGCGGTTCTCGTTTGGGTTTGGGTTGTAGGCCTGTGTTGTTGGGGTGTGGTCTGCGGTGGGGGCGTCGTGCATGATGGAGTCGACTGGGGGGTCGGAGGAGCCTGTTCGGAGGCTGCTCGGGGTCGCGGCGCGCGTGGTTGGTGTGCATGCGCCCCGTCGGAGGTCGTCGATCATGGAGCTGCGGTTGATCGGTGTCGGCTGGGATGTCGTGCTTGGTGCCGCATGCTCTGTTCTGGCCCTCTTCGAGAGAGATTCGCTGCCTTCGCCCGCGGGGAAGGGTCGCTTCTTGTCATCGGCCTGAGCCATGTTGGAGTGCATTACTCTGTTCTCTGCGGCGTCACACTTCTTCTTCCAGCCCTCGAGCTCTTCTTCGCTTGGTTTGCTCAGAGTCGGTAGGTTGGCGGCTGATTGAACGTCCCTGGTACCCGAACCCTCTGCCGCATCATCATCGGCCGCAATGTTCATCCTGATAGTAAACTCTGTTTGGAGCTTCTTAACATAAGACGCGAGCGCCGGGTCGTCCATGGCTGAGTCATTGGCTTGTTTGAGAAGGCCCGGGAGGGCGAGGATCAGCTTATTCTGCTTCGCGGCACGCGTAGCTGGGCCTACGCCACGGTTCGAGTTCTTTTCGCGAAGGAACTTACAAACTTGCTCCGCGTTATCAACAACTCGTTCGGGGAGGAAGCGGCGAGAGAGATCCAGGCCATAGTCTTCATTCTTTACCGGACCAGGTGCGATGGTATGCGGCAACGAAATTTGTGTGGTATCCCCTGCTTTGCTACTCTCGCCCACAACATGGACGTTGAGAACGCTGACTTGTTTCGTTGTATTCAAGATCCTGGCTGGGAGGGGGATTAATACGGAAGAATCCTTCGCGAGGGTATCGTATTGACTGACCGAGCTCAGTGAAGTGAGTGGCAAAGAACACCCGGCACCCCTTCTTGATCAGCTCCTCTGACATGGCGAGAGCAATGCTGAGCCCTTCCTTGGTTGACGTCCCCCGGCCGAGCTCGTCGATGATGACCAGGCTGTTGTCAGTAACCCTCCTGTGGGCGAAGTTAGCGGACCCTAGAGTGGGAGTGCCATGTTTGTAACTGGGTCGGTACATACCTCAAGATCATGTTCATCTCCGTCATCTCCACCCCAAAGGTGCCCAGGTTGTTCTCCGGCTTGTCTTCGGTGGACAAGCGGGTGAAGAGACGGTCGCAGAGTGGGATGGCAGCATACGTCGCCGGCACAAAACTACCAATCTGGGCCATGATCTGGATCAGGGCCACCGTTCGGATGAACGTGCTCTTGCCGCTCATGTTCCCGCCCGTGACAACTTGGAAGCGGGCGCCCTGGTCTCCGAGGTAAACGTCGTTTGGCACGAAGTTTTCCTTCCTCGCTTCCACGACGGGGTGCCTGGCGCCCTTGAGAACCAGATTGTCGGAAATGGTAGGCCGGACGTAGTTCTGGGTGGTGGCCAGGTGCGCGAAGGAGCACAGCATGTCCAAGACGGTGATGGCCTCGTTAACGGCGAGCAGGGCCTCGGCATGCTGCAGCAGAGACTTCTTGAGGCCGATAATGAGCGTGTCGCATTGCGTCGTGACAATGTCGGCGTGGCGCTGGATCTGGCTGCTCCGTTGGATCAGCTCTAAGGTCTGGCAGTCGTAGTGGTGTTTCCGCCGGATTCCATTAGCGATCGCAACGCCGCCCAGGAGTTGCGGCCTCCGCTGGTGCATGCGGGCCGGCCTTCCATCCTCCGAAGTGGTCCGGCCTCTCGTCAGTTCTCGTTCGACATCCGACCACTGAAACCGCAGGTAGTAGTGGTTGTCGCCGGCCAGCCGAAGCTGCGGCACGGTGCCCAAGTGCTCTGCATGGTATGGTTAATGGCTGCGATGGTGGGAAGGTATGGGCCTCCACGTACCTTGAAACGTCTTGTTGAGCTCCTCCACGTACTGGTGCATCTCGTTTGTACGGTCCCGGTACATCTGACGAGAGCCCTCTAGAACGCTGTTTGGCTCCGCCTACGAGTTTAAGAGTTGTCAGCGAGGATAACAGAATACATGATGTTGATAACCGACCTTGACAGCCCACATTCTGTTATTCCTGATGTCGATGGGCGCCTTGCTATAAATAGCGTCCTGCTCAATGGCTTCTTCAATGAAGCCGGCAATGGGCGCTATGTTCTCTCGCCGACACTTTTCAAGCACCCAGTTGCACAACTTGCTCGTGCAACCTGCGGCCTCGAGAGTCTCTCGAATAGACTGAACGCCTCCGAGGTATGCTTTAACCATGAGAATATGTGTTAAGTCCTTTTCCGCTTCCTGGAGTTCTTCGTGGCTAGGCGTCGACATCTGATGTCGACCTTGAATCAGAGACACCCCCTCTTGTAAAGCGATGCGGAGCTCTGTGGTGTTTAAGGTAACCTGTACCTAGTATTAGTCTACAAAGACCCCGGCCACCCTAATCTGTTTCTGAACATACCCATGGGATGAACCGTTCGACGTCAATATGGAATAGCCGCTTGAGGCTCGCTCGCACCTCTGTGAAGAGGCCCTCGTTGCTCGACAGTTCCTCAACCGCTTCGTGTCGCTCAGTAATCAGGTCACGGTTGGTGCTCGGTTGGAAAAGGGCTGAACGGATCATGCGACGGCCCTGGGGCGTGAGTGTGTTGTTCAACAGCCCAAAGAGAGTGGACGAGGACCCCTTTGAATTCCGGATGTTCTGGAAGAGTTCGAGGGAGGTGATGGTGGATCGGTCCAGGCCCATGGTATCCGCGGGCTGCCTGTACCGAATTCGCAATGAATTATCCCTGAAAACCACGTCGGTCTCCTCCTCAACGTACGCCATAACCTGAACATCATCATTAGCTTGCTAAAGATTAGAGGTTTTAGGGCTACGTACCGCAGAGAATGCACATGAGACGTAGAAATTGCGGTCGAGATCCTGGCGGATGGCCTTAATGTCCGCTCTCCAAGCAAAGCGGTCGACCAATTTCAGGCCTTCGGACTCGTTCCAGTGCTCTCTATCCAGGGGTATAATCTCGGCGTCGGGGAACTCATTTTCCAGGCATTCGGTGACTGTTGACTTACTGTGCTGGTCGACAGCCGTCTTCAACACAACGAAGATTTGCGGCCACGTCGACGCCCTCCACAATGTCTCGGCAAGGCGCTGGTATTTGTCGTCGTTGACAATCCTGAAGAGGTCGACTTCCCCAATCGTTATGTTGATGACGGCCACGCCAATCATGTCTGACGAGCGGCTTTCGGATATAGCACACACCACACGATCTGTTTCGTCCGTAGGGTCGGTGCCTAACTGGGGGTTCTGCTCTTGGTTGCCTTGTTGAGGGGAACCCGTACCTAGATTGTGACTATCGTCAATATTTTCGGCATCGGGCTCAGAATCAGAACTGAAGTCAAAGTCGAGGATGCTCGGGGTTTCGGTTTCTGCCCTGTTCTGGATTGGTCTTGTATGATCATCGTCGACATCCATGGTCGATTGCAATGCGTGCTGAGGGGCAGCTGGGCGTAAAAGAGGGCTGAGAATTGAAGAATCTTGTTGTCTATGCTGAGCTGAAGAATCGAACGAAGGTCGATAGATACCGGCTGGGGGCCGCCACTGCTCCCCGGGCTCGCCCCTAGCACGACCACGGAAAGGAGGACCCGTTGTCTTGCTAGTGCTCTTGTATGCAACTACCCGAGCTGTTTGTCGTAGATATGGGGACGTGTTTGGGGTCAGCGTCTGTGTGACCGGTCCGCTGATCACGGACGGGCCGTAGCCGCACTCTGAGTTGGTATTATCCGGGGCACGCCACAATCCGGGAGACGCTGGCCGCGTCCGGGACAAGGTTGGCTGTCGATCCCACAGAGACCCCGTGTCTGAATTCCGAGATAGGGGCCGGTGGTCCTCTCGGTAGATGCGGCTCTGCGTGTCATCCCTCGATTCATCATGATATTGTTGTTGGTTTGATCCGGTGAATCCTGACTGTGGCGAAGGACTGCTCAATTGAGAGTCAGTGAAAGAACCAGAAGAAGACGCCATACTGTTCCTGGTAGACATTGAGAACGCAGGGTGGAGGGGATTGGCGTTTACAACGTCGTAAAACGGGCTGCTGGTGCTAACCTGCCGCGGCTCGGGGCCCAACTCGCCCCTTCGAGAATAAGGGGAACGAATTGCGGGGGTATTGGGCTCACCCCTTCCCAGAGAGCTTGGTGTGATAGCCCTGAGCTTTCCATTCCCCTGACTAAAGGACCTTGTGGATGAGAGACTGGATAGTTCACAGTCGGCTTCCGTTTCGTCAGTGTCTTCGTAGGAAGTTTCTCCAACAAACGGCAACTCTACTTCATGCCGGAAGGGCCGTGGAAGCAGCCAGCTAGTTGGATCCCCAATGCTCGCCGGGGGAGAGCTGCCAAAGGAGTTGTCGGATGGCGACATGGCTCGTCTAGAGCCCATTGGATCGCCCACTGGCGAGGAATCGTGGGCTGCGCGGATATGGATATCTTGAGAGCTAGAGGAGGCGTAGCCCGTATTTTCTGGATAGATGTAGGGGGAGTTGACTCGATCTTCGGCGTTCGCCGGGTGTCTGTCTGCTTGATCGCTGCTGCGTTCACGGGAAGGTTGAATGCCACCCATGTTGCCAGTGCCGTCGTAGCGGACAAACCTCGATACGTCTCTGGGCATAGAGTTCTGGGCAAATGGATTAGGCAAAATTGGCTCAAACTTCCCGCCCTGGGAAGCCAGGTTGTGACGCGATAGTCGGTCGGATGGGCGGGCTGAGTGTATTTCGGAAGTCGACTCAGCGGTTGTATTTCTCATCGCCCCGGACATTGCCCGTCTCCTGAGGAAATCGGTCTCGGGGCGAGAAAATCTACTCGTACTGCTACCACGATTGTGGGTTGTTTGCGATGCCCGTGCTGTCCGGAGATGATGCTGACGGTCTTCTATTCCAGTTGCTGGGGCTGCCGAGTCGGAAACCGGGGCTCGAAGATGGCCGCCCATCGGCAGACCTTTCTTGTGATCTTCCCCCGCCATGTTTTATTGCTTGAATGTCTTTGTTCCTTTGGAGCGTTGTTGAAGTCGGTTGGAGATGGGTATGTCGAAAAACTGTGGGTGGAATAATGAAACGGGCTGATTTTAGGTAGGCTTTGCTGACTGGGACTCTGCTGATCCGCCAGCATGAATTTGGGGTTGGGGCTGCGACTTTGTGGGTGACCGACGCATAAAACCCGCTCTGCCTAACAGAATTTGAGTCTTCTGGATGAAACTGGGGCCAAATAAGGTAGGCGTGATGCCATGCTCCTTCCCAAACGACAACCCGAAACAGGCCCTCATCACTGTTGCACTATCTGGAAGCACAGAGACACTTGCAGGTCACGGCTAGGGCCCGAGCTGTTATCTGGGTTCAAGGCATTGAGGCCCGTTGTACTAACTTGTGAGTTTGCAGTTTATGTGCGGCCTTGTTCAAAGAATGGCCGTATGTATGCGCATACGCATACGCAGTACACAACACTCGGCACGTATACGCAGCACGCGCATACATACACATACGTGGGACTTGATGGAGTTCCCATTCTCAGCGGTTGCTGTCTTCTCTTGTGCAACAAAACACCCCCGTTGGTGGCCTTTGTTTCGTTCTAGAGACAAGTAACTCTGCGTCAAAGTCTATCATTAACCACACAAGATACCGGTGCGTTGCTTCTTGTGACTGGAGTGGCTGTTGTCTTTGAAGTCTGTTACAGCTGTGTGTTGCTAACTGTTACTAGCTGCTCCCAATCGACAGTTTCTTCCCTTCGAGGTTAAATAAGTAGCATTGGTCTGCACCTATCTGTACTTTGCTTTTATGGCATTTTCCTAGACGCTGACGTTCTGAGAAACAGCAAACAGTCGCTTGACGCGGCCGCCTCCGACACACCTCCAAGGACTATGCATGCGAGAAACTTTGACTAGAGCTACATCTGCTTGCTTGAGGAGGTGGAGGGGAGCAGAGGAAGGTCGGGAGGGTAAATCACTCGAAGACAATGGCCGCCGACAGCGACAATCAGGTGGCGGATCGCCTCCAGTTCGGGCTTCCGGTTATGATACCTCCCTCAGAAAAGCCACCCGGCTAGCAGGACGGCGCTCACGGAGCTGAGCTTCATACACATCGGGACGGCGATAGTGTCATGTAGCTTACAAGCCAGCTTACAACCAGGATAGCAAGCTCCCCACCCAAACATTATTACATTTCACCGAGGTAGCTTTCCCGTCACAAGCCCGACCGACGGCCCGAACGACGGTTTTAACTGAGAGCCCCGACGAACGGTCCTGATAAACGACCTTGGCAGGAGGTCCTAACCAAAGGCGCTGACTGGCGACCATGCTGGATCAGCGGAAACAAAACACTCGGTTTCAGACGGCCACTCGCTTCTAGCTACACGGCCCCGGGGCCCTATCACAAGCAGCCTAACCTTATCTCCCGCACCGATGGCCCTAGTTTCTTCCCAAGATCAATATCCCTACGGAAAGGCCAACTATGAAGATCTCATTCTTGCTGCATGGTGGTGGGTAGTTGGTGCTCTCGAGTATACGGCAAGTGAGCTGGATATGGAGAGAGGTAGTATCTAGGTGCCTAGGTAGGTACATTCGGGCTTCCTATCCCAGACGAGGCGGTGACAACAACGGGATTAACCCACACGACATGTAAGACGCCGCGTTGTAGCGCTATCGGCCAACAATCAGGAGCCAGCAGCCGCCAGCCGTACGACAGCGGACTTTCTTCCTACCGCTCAGCCGTCGCCTTGGCGTATCGCCTGAGCTCATTCCATTTGACAATACATACAACTAACCGCAGATATTGACACTTCGTGGGGTAGCTCATACAACGGTGTGTGTGGCGGATGTTCTTGGATACACGGGGAGCAAGACCAACATAACGGCTCGGGACGGAAGAGCGGGACGACTTGGGGTTTACTAGGTTCCTAGAGGATGCACGTGGATGTTAGGGATTGAGGCAAGGCCTTTTTGGCACCAGAAAGGCGTTAAGGGGTGGGAATCATGGGATGCTCGGGCAAGGTTTGAGTTTATGAAGGAAGACTAGTCGTTGCTAGAGTTGTACTAAGTTGGATGACTGACTTGATACTAGACTGGGCACCGCAGTAGCTAGAAGTTGCTCGGTTCCGGTGGACAGTCCTGTACTAGCAACGCAAAACCAATGTCACTTGAGCGAGGATTACTGTACATACAGAAGTTCATGAGCTCTCCTCGCTGCGGGGTGTCGACTACATGTACACAATTTAGATCTTCACATCTCCCACCGCAGACGCAGTTAAGCCCACAAACAGAACAAGCTACATGTAAGGCGAGCAACGTCTTCAACATCCATGTTCTCTTCCTTTGCAACAAATCACCGGGCCATCTACATGCCACCCCCTAGACCCCCTTTTCCCCATCCCCTGGGCCCCTTACTCCAGGGACATGCGAAACACGCCATCACAATACCCATCCTCCTCCTCCTCCTCCTCAGAATCAGAATCACACTCCACATACTCACACCGGCCCAACCCCACAGCACAGAAACCCCCAGTAGCCACAAACCCCTAGTCGAGCTGATCCACGGTCTGGCCATTCCCATTCCCCTGCTTCTCCTCCTCCACCACCACCCTCCTCGCATCCGCCTCCGTCACCTCCACGCGCCACCCAAATTTGTCCTCGCGCTGCCCCAGCTGGATGCCCTTCAGCTCGCCCAGCAGGCGCAGGCACAGCGGGCCGGGCTCGTCGTAGCCGTCGGGCGTGTAGGTGACTTTTTCTTCGCCGGTGGCGGAGGACGAGGACACGCGGGGGCCGGCGGGGAGAGCAGCGCTGTTGCGCCGCGTGATGGAGCGGATGGGGACGAGGGAGGCCGCGGTGCCGGCCGCCATGACTTCTTGGAAGGCGGGGAGTTCGGTGTATTTGATCTAGGGGGGGTTAGTGTTGGTGTTGTTGTTAAGGTGGGGGGAAGGGGAGGGGGAGGCTTACGGCGCGCTTCTGGACCTTCCAGCCGAAACTGCGGGCGAGGTGCTGGATGCTGTCGCTGGTGACGCTGTCGATGACGGCGGTGCTGTCGGGCACGACGAGGGTGATGTCGTTGCCGTCGACCAGGGCGCCGATGAAGCCGCTGGTGCTGAACTCGTCGACCTCCTCGTGGCGCTTGCTGTCGAGGTGCAGGGTGATGCCGTAGCCCTCGTTGCGGGCGCGCTCGCTCCAGCGCAACACGGGCGCGTAGTTGCCGCCGACCTTGGCGCTGCCAGTGCCGTTGGGGGCCGCGCGGTCAAAGTCGTCCAGGATCAGCGCCTTGACCGGGTGCGTGCCGTGGTAGACGCCCGTGGGCAGCACGAAGACGCAGAAGGTGTACTCCTCGGGCGGGTTCAGGCCCAGCTGGGCTGACGAGCCGTAGACCTGCGGGCGGATATACATGGCGGCGCCGGTCTCGTGCGGGGGGGACGTACTCGGCGTTGAGGGCGACGGCGGCCTTGACGGCCTCGAGGAAGAAGTCAATGGGCACCGGGGGCATGGAGATGAACTCGGCGCTGTGTTGGAGGCGAGCGGCATTACGGTCCGGGCGGAAAATGGCGATGGTATCGTTGCCCGGCAGGCGGAAGGCCTTGAGCCCCTCGTAGGCCTGCTGACCGTAGTTGAGAGCCGGGGCCATGCCGTGAATGCGCATGTAGGGGTCGGCGACGAAACGGAGGGGAGACCATTTTCCGGTCTTGACGGAATAGTGGGATTCGATGTGGCCGTTCACTGGGAGGAGGGAGGGGGGTTAGTTGGGTGGTAGGGTCGTGGACAAGGAGATCTAGGGAATAGTCACCCTCGCGAACACGGAAGCCAACATTGGACCAGTCAATGGTGTTGACCGGAGGCGGGGGGAAGGGCGCCATTGTGATGACGTTTGTTGGTGTTTTAGACTTGGAGAGGGAGGGACTGGAAAGAGAGGGGGGATGTATTTGAGTACGTTGTTAATGGTATACGGATTTATTGGATCTCGATTTTAGGAAAGTCTCAGCAGGCCAAGTGGAGGTTTCTCGGGTATGGATATAAACCCAAGGTCCTCCCAATGGATACGGTAGCAACACTGGGACCTCACAAACCGAATTACGTGGTGAAGGGGCTGACTGTACCAGCACCGGAAATTTCTCCCATGACACTTTGATCCTTGCTCCGATCGGACAATGACGGGATCCCGGGGAAAGCTGGTGCTCCCCGATTTAGCTTTGCTTGGCAAGCTGAAGCTCTTGTGCTCTTCATCTGGTGGGGTTTTGATTGGCCTGACATGGCGGGGTCAACACGGTGAGATGATACTGGGGGGAGAGAAACATGCCCCGCAGTCCGATTCCGGAGATGATGTCACGAGATCCCCTGAAGTTGAGGGAGTAAAGAGGTTTGTTTGGATACCTGACGTAGTTTTACTACGTTTGTACATACACTTCCGGACAAAACAGAACAAATACGGGGCTAAAACGCCAGAGCCATGATAGTATTGATTGGAGCCATGCAACAAGTTCAGAGCAAACCCATGAATACCCGACGCCATCCTCCAAATCCCGTGTCTAATGTGACCCCTGAATCCTTCCATGTCATCCCCTATCCACCATGTTCCATGTTTCCGTTGATGCCATGCTCCATTGCTGGGGCTCATATAGTCTCATTTTTCCCATGTCGACTAACTCGGGTAGTCATTCCCATTTCCATTCTATCTACAGACCACCAAGATCTGCAACCAAGCAATCCATCTCCTACGGCAACCTCTAAATCCGGGCACCCATCCACGATGACAATCCCAGTGGCACCGTACCGTGTGCTATCCTCCCTGCTACCCCCTGGTTCGATCTGGTAAGTTTGCTGGAGTCTTTCAGCGAGCGGGAGACAGAGACGCGCAAGCCAAAAAAAGAATGGCAACGGGCGGACGCTGGACTTGGGCTGCGCTAAAGGGGAGACCTGAACCATACAGAACGCTACATGCAAAGAGAGAGATGGAAAAGAGAAAAAAAGGAAAACCACCGGTGCGCAATGGAGGGGGCATCAAATACCCCAATGCGCTTTTAAAAGGAAATGAGTAGAGTCGTTATGCCACCGCACGAAGCCCCTATGTAGCAAAAGAAGAGCTGAGAGAAACCGAAAAACGAAGGAACTAAGGAAAAAAAAAAAGAGAAAAGCAACAAAAATAGCAGCCGCTGGGTATGAACCAGCCCCAAATTCTTCGACGTGAGATTCATCAAGGAGCCCACCGGTACTGCTGGGCCGGAGCCCGCGTCGAGCCCGAGCTCTTCCGTCGATGGCGCAACGGCACGCCAGCCCTGTGATCATATATCAAGTTGGCATGATTGTCCCCCTAACCCTCCCCCCTGAAAAGCGCCAACGCAAAGCAAAAAAAGGTAACAACAACGGCAGCGATGTCAGGGCTTACGCGATCGACGCCAGCTTCTGCAGTGTTATCAGGACGCCTATGACGGGTGGGTGAACTGTCAGTGACGGCTCAGGAGATGGTTCGGCGGTGGCGGCGGGGTCGGACTCACCGCTAACGCCCTGCGTCAGCGTAGCCGCCGCCTCGGTGTTCCTAGAACCGAGGCTGACTGTGACAACCTCCTTCACGGTGCCCTCCTCGCCCAGGGTGTTGGCCCACTTGAATACCTTCTCATCCTCGCGCCCATCGCCAATAACCATGAGGAAGTCAGCAGGAGAAAAAGGAGACTTGTCGCCCTCGCCTTCACCCTCGGCGGGGGTGGCCATGCTCGCCTGCAGGTCGGCAAATATCTTCTGAGCGGCCGAGGTCTTGGTCCAGTCGATGGGCTCGACGAGGACGCATCCCTCGAGCGGGAGGGCGTGCACGCGCTGCACCTCGCAGGCGTCGTTGATGTGACTAGCGCAATCGCTCGCCTGGCGCTGGGCGGCCTCGTAGTCCTCGGCGGAGTCGTATTCTTCGGCCGACTTGTAGTTGAACTTGATGGAGCACAGCCGGTTCTCGATCCAGGCCCCCGGCGTGCGCTCCAGGTAGTAGGTTAGGATGGGCTGCACCGACTCCTTCCACTCGCGGATCTGGTTCTGGTCAGCCACCTCGGTCCACTCGGTGCTCCCAAAGTTCTTGAGGTAGCACCCGTTCTCCGCGATCAGGCCTAGGTTAGGGACGAGGCGGAAGAGGTGGTCGAGCTCGTCGGGGCTGCGGCCGGACATGACGTAGACGATGTTGCGGTCGTCGAGGAGCAGGTCGCTGAGGACGTCGACGGTTCGCTGATACCATGTTAGATGCTCGACCATGCGCCTGGTGAACGGGGCTTGGTATCCCACCTGCGGGCTAACGGTGATGATTTGGTCAACGGGGCCCCAGTTAACCAGCGTGTTTTCGAAGTCGAGGAAGAAGAGGCGCTTCTCGCTCCGGGTGTACTGCTGCACAACGTTAGGAATCGAGAGACGCGGGACCGATGTCATCTCGCGGCGGTGCTGTTGCTCATGCACCTCGTCCAGGCGCGCCGTGAATTCCGTAAACCAATGCGAGCCGGTGTGGAGATTGACGCGTTCGAACAGCCTGGACCAGCGCTGCTCCTTCTCCTCGTCGCCCATCTCGAGCGCCTTCTTGATGGCGTTCGCGCAGGCCCGGTAGTCCCACGGGTTGACCGACAGCTCATTGCCGCCAAAGAGAGAAGATGTGCCCGTGAACTCGGAGAGGATGAGGGAGCCGTGCTTCTTTTCGCTGTGATTGCCGTCCTGGCAGTAGATGTACTCGTGCGAGGTCAGGTTCATACCCTCGCGCTGGCTGGTGATCATTAGCGCGTCGGCGATGCTTAGCAGCGCCAGATACTGTGCGTAGTCAATATCCTGCTTCAGGTATACCACCGGCTGGTAGGCGAGGTTGGCCCAGGACGAGTTGACGCGAGTGACAATATCAGACACGGCAGCGTCCAGTTCGCTCTTCTCGCTGGTAGACAGCGCGACTTGGATGAGAACCACGTTATCCCGCCACTGGGGGTTCGAGTTGAGGAACAGCTCATACGAAAGAAGCTTCTGCCGGACGCCACGGACGTGGTCGAGCTTGTCCCGGGCGACGATGAGTTTCTTACCGGCGTAGCGTTCGCGCATGATGTCCAGCCACTTCTTAACTTCTGCCTCTTGGCGATGCTGGGTAAGGCTCACCGGGTCGATCCCGATGGGCAGGTTGATGACGTCCACGAATCGGTCCTCGAGCTGCAGACCCTCCGGCGTCGCTTCCGCGTTCAGGAGGCGACTGCAAGTCTGGAGGAAGTGCCTGGTGTACTCGTGAATCTGGAAGCCGATCAGGTTGGCACCCACCATGCCCTCGAGGAGCTGCTTCCGAACGGCCAGGCAGCGGAAAACCTCGGAAGAAGGGAATGCGACATGTAGGAAGAAGCCGATCTTGGCATCGGGAATCTTCTTGCGGACCATGGAGGGGACAAGGAGGAGGTGATAGTCGTGGACCCAGACAACGTCGCCCCGCTTCCAGTTCTTAACAATCTTGTCAGCGAAGGCCTGGTTGACGTTGACGTAGTACTTCCACGAGTGGTCCTCGTACGCCTTGCTCTTCGGGTTGTCGGGGATCTGGTAGTGGAAGACGGGCCACAGAATCTGCTTGCAGAAGTGCGAGTAGTGGCCGTCAAAGTCCTTGTCCGAGCAGAAGACGCTGAGCATGTTGTGCTCGGTGGCCAGCCTGTCCTCGATGTCTTGTAGCTGCTGTGTGCCCTGAAGAGCGTCGGTCGGCATCCCTAGCGTCCCGACCCAAATATAGTCTCCCAACTTGCCCTCTCTAGCGGCGGCCTCGGCCGCGTTACGCAAGCCGCCGTTGCCCTGATCGGCATTGACGACCTTCCAGTCGGCACGGGCAAAAACGCGATCGTGGCTGTCGCTCCTAACCAACGACCGCGGCTGCGTTATACCCTGACGGCCCAGCTCCTTCGCCTTCGCCTGGAGCAGTCGGCTCTTGTCGATCAGAGACGGGGGAGGCGGCGAGTTCGCGCGCGACATGGGCTGGTCGGGACGGCCTCCCCAGGTCGGGGAGCTGCGGTCAGCCGGGGCGCGGAGAGTGTCGGTAACAGGCTCGGCGGTGCCCGGGATTTGCACGCGGAGGCCATCCTCGTTCGTGAAGGGGTCGTCCCGCTTCTTCTCGTCCGTCGGTGTAATCGGAGGAGTGATATTGCTCGGCTGGAACAAGCTCGGCTGTCTCTCAAGCGGCACTGGCTTGGGCTGCTTCTTCTCCGACGCTGAACCACGCGGCGGAGTGCCTGGGAGGGTGAAGTGGATGGTCTTGGGGAGAAAGCTAGAGGAGAAAAGTCATGTTAGCCCTTGATGCCTCGAGCATGCCAAAATGACATTGCGAGGCCGGAATATAGCTTCCAAACGAACTAGTCGCTGGGGATCAGAGGGGTTGAGCTTACAGGGAGGCGATAAACACCGTCATGGTGGGCAGGCTACGGCTAAGGCCGATTTGAAAGGAATTTTGGATCGGTGACCTCGAGGGTTTGGGGGAGGCTGCGGTGGTCGAGTGCCGTATAAGGTGCGGGAAGATGGAGGCTATCGATCTCCGAGTGTCGAGCCCATGAGTAAACGACGGGCGAGGAGTGAAAACCACAAAGACAGTTGAACTTGTGGGAAAATATTATTTCTTTTTCGCAGGCGGAAACACCCAGAATAGGCCGGCACAAGAATAACAGCGGAGACCTGAAAATCGAGGCCTGCCGGTCCGGAGGCTACGGGGGTGGTCTCTCGAGAAGGCGGCGGACCCGGGGGGTGAGGAAGGTGCTGGAACGGGAAAGAGACACGGGCTCGGTCTTCAGTGCCTGGGGTGGTGAGGGGCGGCCTAAAGTATAAAGTCCAAGCCCTCCGCACAGGGCCAAGATGTGAAGTTTGGCACGGATCGGGATTCTTGTCGAAAAATGTTGGAGTTTGTCGATGTATGTTGGGGGAGCCACAAGGACTAAGATCGGGGATGGTTAGGGGATCTGCGTCAGGGCCAACTGTGCATCAAAGAGTCAGTAAACAACTGGGACTTCAAACTTGTTCATATATAGCCAAGTGAATCTGAAGTGAATTTTAAACAGTACGGGGTTGTTGGGCTTATAGACGCCAGGGGTGGTAATGTCTGAACAAGGCCGAGGGGCCATTCACTTAGCGCCGGGCCCACCACAGCAAAGCTGCAGCCGCCACCTCTGACGTAAGGACTTAACAGCAGTGAAGAAGTCCCTTTTCGCACTGGAAGTTGGGCCAAGCACACATTGAAGTTGGTGCAAACGCAAATAATGCACTTGCAGCTTTCATGACATTGGCAAAAGGGGAGGGTAACAAAGAGAGCAGGTACACTTGCCTGGGAATTTGGTTACAGAGCTTGGAATTGCTGTCAAGGAGGGGGATATGCAAGAGAAACGCGGTCCTGAGGGGTATTGGAGAAAGATGGACGCGTTCGGTGGGCTGTGCCTCTTGGCCGTGGCCGTGGCCGAGAGGGGAAGAGAGGGGGAGGACGAGATCTGGTGCGACTGGTGTGACTGGTGTGAGAGTTACCTGGGCCTGCCTCCGTGGGCCGATGGGGATCAGGAAAGGCATGGAAACACAGGGGAATATCAATCATTTTTTTTACCCGGAGCAGGAAACAACGGGACGTGCAGAGTGAGGAGTTCCTTGAGGGAACGGTGGTAGTGGAGCGGCCCGGCTGGGCAGTGGTTTGTCCCGCACTCGCTGCTCGTCATTCCAGCCCAGAAATGGATCAGGCGGGACTGCCAAGGGAGAAAGGAACAAGGGCCGGACGATGGGCAGGGGGCAGGAATGGATGCTCCGCTCCGGATGCCAGGGAAGGCTGTCGTCAAGCCGTTTGGGCCGCTTCGATGCCTGTCTCAAACCTGTTGAACCCGAGACTTCAATTGCTGCCATTATTGGTTGTACCTTGAGTGCTTTGAGCTGCTGGATGCATTGGGCGGTTTGGGTATGTCTGTCTGTCTTGAATCTCTGGTCAAGATCTCTCTTCACCCCTTGAACCATCACGTAATCGAAAGCCTCATTTTTGCAGAATGGGCCACATGGAAACACCAGCTGATGGGCCGCATGGTGAGAGGAAAGCTTGGCCCGGAAGTTGTGGAACGGCAATGTTTGGTGGTTACGATGGTTACGGTGGTTACGGGGGATCGGCAGAGCCTAGACCTCAGACATGCCCCAGCCGAGAAGTACTCCGTTGACGTCGATGACTTCCAGGTTGTCTCCGAGAGTCAGAGGGGCGGGTGGATGCATTGGCATCATGGATTGGAGGGGCAGAGCTTATCAAGTTGGCACACCTCCTGGGCCGGACATGCATACCAATCAGCAGGAGGGCAACCCGCCAAAGGAAACGTTTCTTGCTTCCTGGCTGGAGAGATGGAACACCTGTGCGGCCTCCAACTAGGGCAACAAAGGATCACAAGCTGTGACAGATCGCCAAGTCCACCGGATTGGTCACTGAACGTTTCTGCAACAGGACGAATTGAGAGATTACCTCCCCCCAAAACTCTGAGATTTGGGGGCTCAGTGCACCTGCTGAGAACCACCATGGCAGTAATTCCTGCTTGAGGATAATACAACCTCCGTCCATATCCGGCTTTCTCGAGGGTTCCAGAATCGGGGAGAGCCGAACATGCATCCCCATCTTGCATCGATCAACGGTTCGAGACTCTTGGGTTTTGCTATGCCAAGACATGGTAACAGGCTCTTGGTAGCAATGCTGTCGGCTTCGGCTCCGTCACTCCGGATGAGTGTTGGTGGGTGGTGAGAGGCGGGACGGCGTCTTGATAATGCATATGGAACCGCAGGAACTGAGTCAGGTACATTCCCAGGCAGGTAAATGGAGGCGTCCAAGGTGTACAGACCGATAGATGTATGGGTACACGTTCCCCGCTCTTTTACCCCTCCATCAAAGGGAAGTGTGCGAATTGTACTCTAAAGCCATCTTATGCCGAAGACTCAACGAAGCATGTCAAGACGTAGTTTTGGCCAACGGCATGCACAATGAATGAATGAGTGGGCTGGCTGCCATTGGACCCGGTCCAGTGAAAAGTCTAAGCCGAGCAACGTGTTGGGGTCACTGAAGATGAGCAGCAGACTTGATCCAGTGGCTGCAAGCCCTGCTGCTGCGAGGCACAGGCGGCATCTTCACACACCCTCCGCCTCCGTTCCTGTCGACTGTCAACAATTCGAGCAGTTTGGAGGGCTTGGCAAAAATGAAAGTGAAAGAATTTTCTCGATCTGACCCAACCAGATGGGACTTGTCAGGGAGGGTTGGCAGGGTGGCCGTTTGATGTGCGAGCCGAAAGTGACCCGAAATGTTCCGATGCGATATATGGGGGAATTTGATAGGCTAAAGGTGAATTCTCTGGCGCACCTTCCAGGTTCTGAAAGTGTCAGCCCAGGCGCCGCATGCAGCAGCCAAGCCCCATGTTCCAAGGGGGAAGAGCCCGGGCCATGAACCAAACCCAGGCTCCCAAGGTCCATTTTCCATGACCATGTCTCGGCCAGACTCTCGCGGCTCGAAAAAAAATAGCTCATATTGGACTTGCCGTGATGGATGCCCAACGGACTTATATCTCATAATCTCACATCACATACGACATCAAATTCGGCCATCCAAGCGAGCCAAAAATCACCGAGCATGCGCCGCAGACGGAGTGAGCTGCCGTAATGCCCATCAACGGGAACTTGTTGAACCAACCTCCCTTCGAAACCCTATCTCCATCTCCCCACTCCCGTCCCCAGAGAATGATCAGCCTGATTTCCATCCCGGCATATCCTGCGCAATGCACAATCGAAATCTGTTTCTAGCAAGGATACGCTGCAATGGGACGAAGAAGAGAGGGAAGCGCCAGCCAAACGCAGGCCACAAGCTGTTCCCAGCCATGGGACGGCCCGCATTGATAGTCGGGGAGAGCTCGAGCGTATCACAGCCCTTCGCACCCATCAACAATTTCTCAGTAGGGCAGGTGGGCCAATGCAGGACACATGCAAATCGACTATCGGTTTGTCGAGTTTCGCACACCTGCAGGGTCAGAGCCAGAGCACCGCGTATGTCGTGAGCATCCGAGGCACCCCAATGCCGAACAGCCGCAATCTTCACGTCGATCTTGCCGTGTGTATGTATGAGGAGTCGGAAATCCGGCTGGGGAAACTTGCATCCCCGTCCATCAGGAGCTGGGGGGTTCGTCTTGACTGAAACTCGGATTTCGATATGAACCTTCCAGAAACACAGGAGCTTGTGTCCCGGTCCACTGGCAGGATCTGCCGGGAACAGCCACAATGCTACCGTCCTAACCCCAGCCGAGACCACAAAAAATGCCGCTTTGAGTTCCAGACATCTCTTAGCTTCGTCCCGTACCCGAGTAACCCTCATACAAAACACAAACCGTCAGTAACCTTGAGAAGGGAGGCCGCCCTAGCCGCCCTGGCCCCGCTGGAGCGAGAAGCTCGGCGCACCACAAGCGTCGGGGCCAGCAAACAATATCCTCATGATCGGCATCACCAAAGCAAGGAAGAACAAAAACGAACACAGCATTCGATGGTGTTACACGGCCGCTGCTGCCTCCCAGCTCGTCCCACAGCAGATAGCATCTATCGAACGGTAATAAGTAAACCAGCTCTGTCCCCGAGCGCGCCCAATGCGCCGGCGGCTGGCGGCCGGGGGACGGGAAAGGGGGAAAGGGGGCGGGGAGGAACCATCAAAACATGTCCGCAAAAGCATGTGCCGAGGCCGAGGCTGCCACCTTGATGATACCACCGTGAACAAAGCCGTGCTGCCCTCCACACAAGACGCAGGACCTGACCATCGCGGGACCGCGCTGGCACTGACGCGCACCCAGCACGCACCCAGCAGAGAAAACTTGCGGATGCACGCAACCGAAAACGAGCGGCACGGCAAACCCACTCCCAGCCGACGGCCGAGTTTGAAGAACACCATCCGAAGACGGATGGATGAGTGAATGTGCATATAATTTGTCGTAGCGCGCGCGCCCATCCTCGGCGTTTCCCCTTCGGGGATAGGGGCCGCCGTGGTGAGAGGATCCAGCCACGTCCAACCCCATCGCCAGGCCTCTCGCGATTGTGCCCAGTCCCGCACCACACATGTAATATTTAACGTCCCACAAGCAAAGCAAACCCCGCAAGGGGCCGGCGGCGGCTGCCTCCCGCCGGCTTTCCTGATGGGACGTTAGGAACCGCTGCGATATCGCCCGCTGGCTGATGGCACAGTCAGTACCAGGTACATATCCGTGCTTTCTCCACAGGCCGCCGTGTTGGGTGATGGGCCGTCAGTTCACGATAGTAACTCATGGGTCACTCCCGGCCGGGAGGGACGACCGCCTCGCTCGAATCGGGTCTCTTACGGTGTTATGTACGCAAGCAAATACTGCACTGCACCGCATGGCATGGCATGGCAGGGTATCATCGGCTCCCGTCTATTTTCTTCCCCCCTTCCACTCCCCCCCGCCTCGGCAACAAACCCACCAACCCCCTCGACTCCTCGACGTTCGACTCGTCCGGCTGCCTCAGTTCCTCCACGTCCTCACGGCCTTGTCTTTCCCGCCCGAGCCGACCATCTTCCCGTCGGCCGCCCAGTCGACGGCGTAGACCTGTCAGGAGTTTCCAAGGTTAGCCACCACAAGACACGAGGGATAAGGGGACAAGGAAGGCGCGGGACGGGGCAAACCGGGTGATCCCGGAGATGATGGGAGCCTGCATTACCTCGTCTTCGTGGCCCGGTAGGTCCATGGCGAGATTGCCGTTGCGCGCATTCCACACCTTGAGCGTGCAGTCCTTGCTGCCTGTGACGAGGAGCCTGCTGTCGGCGGACCAGGCACACTGGTAGACCTGCGCGTTTATCTTAGTGGGCTTCTGATGGGGGGCATGGCATGAATGGCTGGGCGGGTCCCTCAGCCGTTGGACCGTAGCTTACTGGTGCGACATGGCCCCTCAGGCTCTTGAGAAACTTGCCATCCCTGGCATTCCAGAGTTTCTGCGTTGAAGGTTAGCATTTGGTTGTAGTGGTGGTGAAACAGCAAGTTCTAGAGGACTGACCGTGCTGTTGTCCCACCCCGCGCTGGCGATAAGCGTCCCGTCAGGGGAAAACTGTACCTGGTTCACCTTATTTTGGTGACCCAGGAGCCTCGCAACTGGCTTGTTGCCGTTGTTGGTCGGATCCCACAAGTACATGGTGAAATCATCGCCTAGTCCTCGAGTTAGCACTCGGCTCTCGTGGCAAGGGGGCAGGGAAACATACTGGCTGACACAATTCGCTCGGCAACTTTGCCCTGGATTTTGGCCGCCTTCTCAAACCTCTCCTTCGCCTTCGCCCGCTTGCCTTCTTCGGTGTCAGGGATCTCCTTAGTATGGTCGAAATAAGCAGTCCGTAGGGCGTGGTCGCTCGACAAGGCAATATGGTTAACCCAGTGTCCGTGGGCAGTGAAACTGTGCACCAATGTGCCCTTCACGGCATCCCAAACTCGGACAGCCTTATCGTGGGATCCTGTGTAGATCATACCAGTGCCCCCCCACCGTACACAACTCACCGACCCCTTGTGGCCGCTCAGGACGTGCTCTGTACGACCCGAGTTCACCACCCATATCCTACATGTACCATCCTTGCTTGCGCTCACGAGGCGGGCGGTTCCATCTCTCCATACTGGAGTTAAGGTTAGCTAGATTAATACCGAAGCCCGAGGCAACACACTCACGGTGATACGGCTCCCATGCCACGCCCAGCACCCACTTAGCGTGCCCCTTGAAATCCTGCCCGACCGGCTTCCCCGTTTCGGGGTCCCATATCCGGACTGTCTTATCCATAGAGCAGGTGGCCAATTGTTTACCATCAGGACTCCAATTGACTCCCAAAACCCAGCCAGTATGCCCTTTCAAGGTGTGTTTCGGTGTGCCGGAATCCGTGTCCCAAATGCGGGCCGTATTGTCGCCGCTGCCGGTGGCTAAACGGCTGGAGTTTATAGGGGAAAATTGGCAGGCAAGGATGGGTTGGCCGTGGCCGGGGATACGATGCGCGAGACGCGAGACGGCGTGGACCTTGAAGACGGCTTGTGGTTCGGCGCTGAGGGTAATGGTAGTCCTAGAAATGGGGTCAGCTCACGGAACCGGTATTGTAAAACATCTCCAGACATACTCAAAGGGGTTGGTAACTCCATGTTTTTGAAGTAGGCCGAGCAAATCGGTGGGATATTGGTCTATGATAACGTCTTTGCCTGGGATGTGGATGCGGAACCGATAGGGGGTGAAGTCTTCTCTGTCCTGGATGTTTTCTGTCAGAATGACTTATGGATACATTCGACAGAATCTGGGCCACACACCCTCCCCAACAATGTGTTCAAGAGCGTCGAGACATTCTTCTCGGTAGCATCGCCAAAATTGATCTCGATCACGTCGGCCATCTGGTTGCCGTCGCTGTCGACGAAGTTGGCCTTGAACGACCCAAGGTCGGTCGCAAGGAGTGGCGCAACATCTTGTTGTGTTGTTGTGCGTTCAATTTCCTCTCTCCTTTGCCTTTTTGATGGTGGTGGTGCAACTGTAGCCATGTTTGCGGTTGTTGTCGTGTCTCTCTGTGATTGTGAGGGGCATCAGCGGCCGGGGGTCTTCTGTCGCAAGAAGCCGGACAGCGGGAAAATTTTGGCGGTGAGCTGCTGCAGAATGAACCCCCCACTTCGCTGCACCCAAATCCCCAAGGCCCAGCTCGGCTTCTCTCCCAAGGCAGGGGGGGCAGCTCATCCCAAACAAAACACCATACACCAGTTCGGGTCAATGGCAACAAATAATTTATCTATTTCGCGCTAAACAAAAGCGCTACGTATAGCGCCTATCCAAAAACTCCAATCCTTTCCTAGGGTCACCGAATCCAACCCAATACCAAAAACTCAAAAATACCCTGTCGTCGACCGATATGCGGCGTCAATCTATTCCTGAGGCCGACTATCGATGCGTACTTCTTCCACGGTAGTGTCTCTTCTCCGAGTAGTTCTCGCCGCTATCACTGCTGTCATAGCTGTCGTACTTCTTCTCGCTTCGGCCTCTGGGTTCATGCCGGCCAGAAGTGCTCCGACTCCGTCCCTTAGACGACACATCCGACGACGAGGCGCGGCTGTATGTGGCGTGTCGGTCAATGTGGACGAATTGATCTGGCCGCGCGCCAACATGTGCCCACCGATCTGGGCGGTAGTCGAGGCTCGCCCGACTCGGTGGGAGATCGACGTACGGCTGAGGAGCCCCGTACGTGACCGATTGCCGCCGCCTGGGCGGCTCAACACCCCTTGACCGGTGGGACGATGTTAAAGGAGCCCCGTTCTCGAGAATCCTCATGTGCGCGCGAATTCTCCGCATGCCGGACACTATCATTAGTTGTTAGCGCCACCGTTCACCACAGGGTTTCTCGTTGAGGAGTAACTCACGGTCCTTCTCCACCTTGGCCACCAGGAACTTCTCATACCACTGCTCATATTCGATGGTGCTCATTAAGCCTTCGATGTAGGCCCTGCGCAGCCTGCGGAAGATGTAAGGCGCCTCTTCCTCGCATTCCTTTGCCTCTTGCTTCCGCTTCACCATACGGCGGAGCTCCCAGCTCGATTTGATAGAGGTGACGATGCTACCACAGGCAGCAACCGTCGCCAGAGCTACGGGAACACCCATCGCTGGAGGATAGTTCGCCCCTAGGCTTGAGAAGTTTTGGGAGTGTCGGTATGCTTGTTGGAAAGGTTTGGCATCTGTCACGACGGATCATGATCCTCTGAGCAATGGAAAACGGGGTGGGAGATTCGGTAGAAAAGGACGTGTCGGCTGATCAACTGATGGGCGTGGGCCGACCAGCGTCGAGACCCATGGTCAGAAACGTCAGTGTCTACCACTATCTTTGACTAATGAAGAAATCCGACGGCGCGACCAATCTCCGCCAGACCGGCCGTTCGCCCGGGCCTCTACAAGCTGTTTGCTGTTTCCATTCACGCCTTGAAACGCGGCCCCGCCCCGGCCTCGCCCCGGCCGGGCCCACCCAGCCACGACCGGAGCCGGCTTGGCGTTCCGCAACCCGAGATGCATCTCGTCTCCCTCGTCTTGACAGGGCAAAGGCCTACGGAGCATTCATGCTATGGCTGGATCATGAAGACGTCACCACAGCCATCACTGCTAGGACTTGTTTCGGAATAACCTCATCAGATGTCTCAACGAGCAATGGAGCCCACCGCTGTCCTCGCCTCTCCAAACGTTGGCAAAATCCGCGCCAAAAGTCGCCCAGCTTGCCCCAGAGGTGTCCTTGATCCGGATGTCTTCTCCCTCCCTATCGTTTTCCCTTGCAAGAATACGAATGTTCTCTTCATCATGGCATGGCGCATGCCAGGAAAATTGAGAGTTTTCGTTTTGGCCCCCGCCTGTGCCCCCGAAATACGTCAAACGCACTGCCGTGCCAGGGCGATGGTATGCGGGCAAACCGGCGCGGATCTGAAGTGCTGACAGGAGCCGCGCTCCAGTTGGACAACTCCCGCTTGAGCCTCCACCAACAGAACCTGGCTGATGAGGTGCTGTGCCGCCCCCGCCACAGCGGTCTGGTCTCGAGCACAAAAAGATTCGAAAACGGGCCTGCTCTAGTTCGACCCATTGTGATCCTCAATTGAAACGAAACGATTGATAAACGAGCGCCAGTCCTGATTCTCGACCTCTGGGTCGAAACGTGTTCCACGGGACTCACCTTCCTCGCCAGGTGGATCTGCTCCCAGCAACGAAGGGACACTGCGGACCACCGTCAGCCAGCCAGCCCCCGTCCTTTGACTCCCCCAGTCCACTTGCGTGCGGCTGGCCTTTCAATCGGCCAACTGCTTCGCATTGCGCTGTGGCCTGCTGAGTGCAATTGGCCTCGTTGCGAGCCGCTGCACCCAATCCCGTTGGTCGATTGCAACCTTCCAAAGCTGGGACCTTGACGAAACAGGCGGCGGGTGGTGCTTTTGGCGGTGGTGACAAACGCCAACCACACCTTGTTTCCGGTTCATTGGTTTCATTTGGCGTGTCCCCCTGCGCCGAAGAAGCAATGGGTTACTATTATGAGCCGGAACCGCAGCCGCAATATTAGTATGTCTAGTTTGTCAACTCACCACCCTTTCCTCTCGGCCCCATCTACCGTCCCCAATGATTTGCACAGCGAGGGAAACGAGCAAAGTGCGCTGAGCTAAAGTTTCCTTGATTCTCGACTCTAGCGGACGCATACTAACATGAATTGGGAAATCAGTACACGACCGCCTCCTAGGGCATACTATCCTCCCTCGCCCAGTGACCATGGGGTCATATACCAGGTTGAGGGTCCACGGCCCATTTCGCCGTCACCAACACGTGTCGTGGTAGTCGAGAAAAGGAGACGGGAAGAGCCTGTGGGGTTCTTGCCCTGGCTTTGCGGTAGCCTATGTTGCTGCTTCGTTTGCTTTGAGTGTGCCGATGATTGTTGGTGTTGTTGCCCAGGGGATGATTATGACTGATTGAGTTCGCCAGACGGTCAAGAGGGACGGGACTGGAGCTTACGATGCGATGATAACGAATCTATGAGGATACCCTTCTATGATATATTATTATTCATACTCCGCTATGCCCTAGGGCGTGCCGGACCCTCTGCTATTTAGTGTACAGGAAAACCGTGCCTTCCCGGGCCGGGTGAAAAAACCCATACCAACAATCAAGGAACGATGCGTTCTGGTGAGTCTGCGTATACAAAGAGAGGAGGCCTCCTGGCCTCCGGACGGGGGCATTTCAGGCCGCCGCTTCCAGCTCGAGCCTCCTGGCTAAGCTGTACATCGGCAGCTTCCCCGAGTCCATCAGCCAGTCGAGGATCCTCCTCGCGAGCCGTGCAGTCGTGGGATTGATGCCGTGTAGAACAGAGTAAAAGTCCCGTCGTGTCCGAATCCCAGTTCTCTCCCATCTTCGAGTCAACGGTGGGGGCCAAACACCACACTACCAGGTGTTCGGCAGTCTCCCGTCCCTCCCCGCACTCGCAGGCGGGCGTTAGGACCTCTGGGACCCCTCGCAAAAACAGATAGTCCCGTAGGCCTATTGCTCCCGTTCGGATCTGGGTCAGCAGAGAACTCTTTGCCTTGCTGAGACCGTCGTGCCGTCTTAGGGTTTCATCTAGGAATACAACACCGGTCAGGTCATGCGAGTCAAGACCATTACCATTAGGTATCTACCTACCTAGGTACCTTAAATGTAAATACTAAGGTAGGGAAATGTGAACGAAGCACAGCGTGTTCAAGAGATTGTTGATTACTGGTTGTCAGGGTCAGAAGAGGACTTCAACATACACCCCCTTCATTGGGAACGGTAAGGTAGGTAATGTGAATGCCGTGGATCTATGTGTTAAACCAAACGAGGGGCTGTTGTTACGGCGAAGTCGGGAGCTCCGCAGATGTCGGCCCCGTTGTCTTCGTGCAGTTGATTCAGTAGATCGATCAGTGCAGGAGGAGTAACCTTTTCTATCATGCGTAACACTGACTACCGGTGATCACATCAAAACGTACGAGTTTCATTGAAGGGCCAATTATTTTGTGCCTGAAAGGGTACCCCTTACTCCAGTGAGAAGGGGTAAGTTGTATCCAAGAATTAGTTAGGTATTTTTCTCTATCAAGGCTGGAACAAAACATGGCTACTGAGTACGGCCGAAATATGAACGAAAAGGTGTCAAAGTATAATAACAGGTACCCTATAACACTGCCGCAAATACAACCGGAAAATGCATCTACCTCATCCTTGTAAGGGGCCTGGGGGAGGGGTTGCGCACCACGATTTTGGCCCCCAAGGGCAGAGGCTGACATGCAGCCACAGCAACAATGGAGCGTTGCAGTTCGTGCTGCACAGCCATTCACTAAGTTAAGTAATGGCAATTGTTGGCAGTGTTGGCCGTTGGGCTCGTGCAGATCCAAAAATGAATTGCCGTTCTCGCATTGGTGATGCATCACGACTGCCTAAGTTGAGGCTGGAGCACCTGTGCAGTTCCATTCAGGGTTGCATGGCATCATGGATCCAAGTCCAGCAAGCCCAACCAGAGTTGTTTACATGGTCGGACTTATGGGGCGGCTAAGGGGCGCAGCGCTGACCGCAGCGGCACGATCCCACAGGATTCATCGGGCGCCAAGGCAGTGAAACCACGCCGTTGAACCTCTTGATATAGAAAGCAGACATAAACATTCGTCTGATGAGCATCATATTCGACATCGTTACCGGCCTGGTATTGTCTGGGCACACCGTCAAACACCCCATCCAGCCCAACCACCGGCCTTAGCAAAATTGGAAATCATGTTTCTCAAGGCTTCTTATACAACCACGGTTCTAGCCGCTCTTGGCTTGATACTGGCTTTACAAATCCAGTTGGTTCATGCCTTGCCTCTCCAGACATCTGCCGCCATCAAACCCACAACACAAATAAACCACGATGCAAAGCCATGGCTGGCCACAAGGGCGCGGCAATCACCCCAGACCACAAATCTCCTCCGTAACCACGAAGAGGACAACACATCGTCGACGGTACCGCTCCTCGTTGTCCCAAACGACACGTTTCGAATTATTAGAGATCTTCCACAGCAACTTCTTCGGCGGGCGTCTGGCGTAGCAACCAACCAGACATTCCTCACAGCCATGTTCGTGGTTCTGATCGTCGTATCGGTGCTTATTGGAGTGGCAATTGGCTCCATCGCCATCTGTGGCTTGGATTGGAAGCGGTACCTGTCCAGATCAAAGCCGAGAGAGTATATGGAGGAAAAGGGCTTGGCGAAGGGGCTAGAGAATAGTAAGGAGAAGGGTATGGGAGGTGCAAACTAGCAGGTGGTCTTTTGTTTTTGGGAGCTCGTTCATATCCTGGCATTTTGAGAGAAGCTGGAAAAGGGACGGCGTTGTCGGTTTGCTTTTACATTGGTGGATACCCAGAGATACCCTTTTCTTACCCACTTCGATGATTACCTATCCTAAGAAGGACACACAGGTCAATTCCATACAGTTTTGAGTCGGTTAAGGCCCAGTATAAAGGCAGTTAAACCGAAGCTCAACGTGTGCAACCTACAACAACACAGCCTTGCTCGTTGAAACGTTTGAGGAAGAAGATGGCCCAGAAACAGTAAATGTCCGCCGCGAATCCTACGATCGCGGTCTCGTAATGCCTATGCGTTTGGCCCTCTGGTCACAGGGCCGCGGTTCGGAGAACCGTGTCAAAAGGGTCACTTCTGCAACCGTGGAAAAGAAAAGGAAAGATTATCTGCCTCCTTAACTCAAGGGGGGTCCGGCCCCCTGACTACTTATACAAATTTGTGAGCGATGCAAGTACGAAGTAGTCCTACAGTCTTTGACTCCTTGGGTAGAGTGTTATCAGAGGCTGATCGCGTGTGGATGGCTTGAACAAACTACGTTGGTTTGGATTGACTACGGACCCTGGCACGCTACTTTCATTGAGAAAGGTAATACATGAGAGCGTATAACTAACCCCTTTCCTCGGAGCCCAAGTACCTAATAATGATTTCTTTAGTACGTTCAGCAGTTGTCATTCTTCTGACCTCAACCCCAACTCCTGCCAAGACTCCCGATGGAGTTGATTCCCTACCTACTCCCTCTGCGCCGCCTTCTCGGCTCTCAAGGCCGAAATCAATCCCAGCCAGCGCGCGTGCTTCTTGGGTAGATAGCTCGGCAGGCCCAGGAAGGGCGGATGCCTATGCCCTTGCCCGGCGTCCCTTGGCCAGGGCGTGGTGCCGTCGATTAGCCAGACGGCCTCCCTGGCGCCGGGGATGTCCATGCGGCTGTAGAGCCACGCGTACAGGCCGGCGACGGCGCTCTCAATGGCGCCGACGACCCACGCGTGGTGCGGGCTCGACGCCTCGCCGATCAGCACCAGGTTGCCGGCTGGCTGCACGACCTTGGGCCACAGCGTGCTGAACTGCTGGGCGCGGAAGAAGGCGAAGGCGCCGGCGGTCGTGGCGTCGTCTGACCAGTCGTGGGCGTAGTGGTCGAGGTAGGACGCCGAGATGGTGGCGAACAGCTGCGCCTCGTCGTCGCGCGTCGTCGTGTGCAGCCGCGCCAGCTCGCGCAGCAGCAGCGCCTTGAGCTCGTCCTCGCCGGCGGGTGAGGCCCGCGAGATCAGGGCGCCGATGCGCTCCGCGTCCTGCTGCCACGTGTACGAGACGAGCAGCACGGACGGCTCCGAGGGGTCGTCGAGCACGTTATACGAGGGGTACACGAGCGTGCGGATGTGCAGGTCCGAGTGGCCCAGCCCGCCCTTCTCGATCCGCTGGCCGCCGGGCATCCTCTGGCGCCACCAGGCGCTCGAGAACTTGATGCCCACCTTGCACGACTCGCCGTAAGCGAGCATGCGGAGGGCCATCTTGGTGCTATTGGGCACGAGGCATCGCGTCGTGTCGATGCGCCGGAGGCAGCCGAGCGTCGTGGTGTTGAAGACGCCGTCGTAGACGCGGCGCTTGGAAGGCGGGTCACCCTGGAGCGAGACTTCCATCGCAAACTTGAGCTTGCTGGACTGCTCCAACATGAGGGTAGTGCGAAGGGCGGAGACGGGCGAGGAGTAGATGGGTTTGGTCTTGAGCCGCTTCTCCATCAGCATCGGGAGCTGCTGTGCCCCGCCCATGATGCACCACCACTTGGTGGACTTGTCATAGTCAAAGTCGAGCGACTCGAGCACCGTCTCACTGAACGCTTGGTCGTACCAGTCGGTGCCGCTGTGCATCTTTGTTAGCGAGGTGGTTGCTAGCTAGTGGTAAGGGTCAAGGTTGTAGTGGGGACGGTTAGGGACGATGGAATGCCTACCCATTCATGGTCTCGAGAAAGTTGATGGTGCTAGTGTTGAAGGGTGGCCGTGTGGGGTCGGGTGTCGTGGTGTCCGGTGGCTGCTGCTGGTTCGTAGTCATCCAGGCACGCGTGGTGTATTGGTCAAACTTCATCAGCAGTTCCCAACCCCGCTGGCCCCCGTTTTCCGCATCTTCCCTCAGAGCCTGGCGCAGGTCTTCAATAGCATCGTCAACAACCTTGCTGGGACTCATGGCGAGGACGCTGGACACCCTAGCGCATTAGCCTTGATTTTCCTGGTGCGTACGTACATGTACATATCGAAACGTACAAGAGGGGAAGGGTGAACGTACGCTGATGGGATCGGGGGGTCTCTGTGATCCTGATTGAAACCAAAAGCATCATTGCCCACGGCGCTAGCAGCGATATTGACATAAGATCCCCACTTTGTTTGGTCGTTATAGCGGAAGGGCTCGTTTTGATCCTCTCCCGTAGGGTTAGTCATGCTGTACGGGACAAGCGATCCATTCTTCGTATCTCTCGTTAGTGGGCCCATGGGCATCTCCAGCCAATCAAACAGTTCAAACACGCGCTTCATGACAGGATTCTGGGGGAACCGCATGGCGCCCACGTCGTAGTAGTCGTGCGGGCCCTGCGGGTTCTGGGGCGGATCTGGCTTGAAGTTGTAGGTAAACATCCGTCCGCCCACCCGAGAGGGGTCGTTGGCTTCGAAGATTTCGTAGCCGATGTTGAACTCGGGGATGTGGTCGTTCAGATAGTCGAGCATCATGCCGAGGAACAGCCCAGCGACACCGGCGCCGACAATAGCCACCTTCGGCGGAGTAGATGGAAGTTGGATGCGTTCAAGACTCAGCTTCTCTAGGGCCTCTTGAATGTCGTTGGAGGGGGCTATATCAGGCAATTCGTGGAGCCCGCCACCCAACCCGGGGGGCAAATTGTCGAGGGGAAGTCTCTCGTTGTCAATAACTCGCGCGATCTCTTGCTCGGCAGCGGCAAGCGCGTACTGCTGCCTGATGGTCAGAGAATGACCCCAGCGAAGTTGAGTCGACATGAGAGGTGGTGTTGTCTGGATGCAGTAGAAATCTCCAAGAGTGGTAGTGTGAGTAGAAGACTTTGGGGGGTAAGGAGCTGGATATCGATGAGACCCTGCGTCTTTCTGGGGTCGTCGACCGGCAACTTTGTACCTAGATATCCGGCTTTCTCAGCTCTAGGCCCCACTGCCTCCAGTCCTCAGAATGAATCCTCGAAGGACAAACGAGAGACGAACCCCGCTTTGCAGGATGTAGCCGCAGGAAGCCCAGGCGGTATCAACCCCGCCCCAGTTCTAGACAACCTAAGGGAGTTTCTTTTCGCCGAAGGGTCAGTGGGGGTTGTACACTTCCGCATTTACCGCGTGCAGAGGGTTTTCCTCTCTTAATTGGTCTATTTCCCATGCCGCACTGCTGTCGACAAATCGACGTACAGTGAGATGCTTGGGGCTATTTTATTCATTGGGACGGGGGGGGGGGGGGGGGCGGGGAAGAGATGTCATTGGTAAAGGTGGCTAGACCGGTCGAGATGTGAAAGTTGTGATTCTACCTGAACCGTGGCTAGTCTTCTGATGTTGACTCCTCACTTGCGCTTGACGCGCGAGTCTTAAAAGCCATGTCAGAAAGTTCCTGAGCTTAGACCCGGTACGACGTGACTCGCATGACGACTGCAGAGAGCTGAACTTCAAGCACCTCGCCTATCAAAAATGTCATGCTCAAGAGTTGCTGGCACACCAAGTGCGTACCTACCTACCTAAATCTTCCCACCCTTACTGCTATGTAACGTTCCATTTCCTGATGTTATTTGATATCACGCTCCGTGATGCAGGATTTAACCAATTGTCCTTATCCCATGCCACACGCGGTTAGTTGTACCGCAATCCGTTGGAGAGTATGGGTATGGAACATGATGCATCAGTTGACAGTTCTGCAGGAAAGTCAAGAGCGGGGGAGGCCTACTCGGTACCGAGATACCTACCTATATTTATCGGCTGTAGTGGCGTTACCTGTGAGGCAGTATTTTACGCAACAGGAAAGCCAGAAAGGTTGGCCGTTCTGAGGTTGTACATGTAGAATTTAAACGTCTACTTAAAGTGTCTGGAGAAACTCGTACAATTAACGGTGCTTCTTGTAAAGTATTCCCTAGTAAAATTACCTAGCTTTGCTACCAGGGAGCGGGAAACACAATTTTGACGAGTACATACCTATTTACCTTTCGTTAAGAGATCCTAATCGCGTGAGATTGTCCCTTGCGATGGAGAGATTCCCGCTGCCCCTCGTTCCGCCTCACCGTTGGGCGCGCGACTATCTTTTCGATGTCTGCCGCGAATTGGGAATCACGCGAATCTTCGGCGTTCCCGGGGTCAATGAAATCCCTTGGATCGACGGCACCTCTTATCCCGAGAACGGCGTCGAATATGTCGAATGCCTTCACGAGAACATCGCCATGGGCGCCGCCATGGGCTCGGCCCGCATGACAGGCAAGCCGGCCATCCTGATCGTCCACGTCACCCCTGGCATCGCCCACGCCATCACCAACCTGTACAACGCGTCGCGCTCGCAGTTTCCGCTGATCATCCTGTGCGCGCAGCAGCAGAACGCTCTGGTGGTGCAGGAGCCTTTGCTGTCGTCCGACACCGTCCCTCTCGCCCGCAACTACTGCAAATGGGCGCATGAGATGAAGTCCGAGGACGATATGAAGCTGGTGCTGCAGCGCGCCTTCAAGGAGGCGATGGCGCCGCCGAACGGTGCGGTGTTCCTCTCCGTGCCGTGGGAATTCACCATGCGCCGAATTCCCGAAGGCGATCGCCTTCAGGGCATTACCCGGATTTCGCCCCGTTTCGGACCCGATCCGGAAAGCGTGCGCGACCTCGCCGACCGATTGGCGGCGGCGAAGAATCCCCTGATCGTCGCCGGCGACGCGGTCGGACTGGCCGGTGCCTGGGCGGAACTTCGCGATCTCGCTCACGCCACTGGCGCGCCGGTCCTGCAGCAGACCTTGAGCGCCGTCGCCAATTATCCCAATGACGATTGCCATTGGCAGGGCGAACTGCCCAACAATCAGGCCGGCATGCAGTCGGCATTCGAAGGGCACGATGTCGCTTTTCTGTGCGGCTTCTCCAACCAGGCGCAGGTGCTGATCTACACACCGTCCGACGGCCCGCTGATCCCCGACTCGGTCAGCAAGCTCTATCTTAGCAACTGCATCTGGGACATCGGCAAGAACTATTACGGTGACGCCGCTCTATTTGCCGACATCAAGGTCGCCCTGCCGCAGATCACCGCCCGGGTGAACGAGGTGATCGCCCCGGCGTTTGTCACACAGCGCAACGATACACTGGCCAGCCGGGCGGTTGAACGGAGGGCGCAGTGGGACCAGTATCTGGCCCAGGCCATGACTCAGGACAATGTGTGGGCCGTGGTGATCGCCGACGCACTGCGCCGGCAGATCGAGCAACATGAGCTTCAGCGTGATTTCGTTTATGTCCACGAGGCCATTTCTGATCCCTCTCCCTTCCAGTATCTGCTGCCGTACGCCGAACCGACGAGCTACTATTGCGTCGGCGGCGGCTCGCTCGGCTGGTCGTTCGGCGCCACCATCGGCATCAAGGAGGAAAACCGTGGGGTGCAGGGAATCGGCACCAAACTGGTGGTGGCCGTCACCGGCGACGGCTCCTCGCTGTTCTATCCGCAGGCCTGGTGGACGGCGGCGCACCGAAATCTGGGTATCCTGTATATCATTACCAACAACTCCGAATATCACACCCTGCAGGTGGGACTCGGTACTATCGTCCAGGTCTATGGTGAGGCGCTGGGCTACGACTGGAAGCCGCGCACTATGGACCCCGGCTATCTCACCATCCGTGGCCCTCAGCCCGACTTCGTCGGAATCGCCAAGGCCATGGCCGGCATCGAGGGCAAACACATCGCGCACCCGGACGAGGTCGAGCCGGCCGTGGGCGATGCCGTCCGCTATGTACTGGAGACCGGCAAATCCTTCGTACTGGAAATCAAGACGGTGGGGCTGAGCAGCCAGCAGCAGCCGCCCGACACTGACGATGACCGCGCCGTCACCCCGTCGCTCAGGACCCAGCCGCACTTGGACTGGGTCCATTCCGGCCCGAACTCTGCCCGCCGGCCGGGCGATACGGCGCTGATCTGCTAGTGGTGACCAAGCGGGCCGGATGTCACAACCCGACCAGGAGAGAGCCTGGTGCGGGGACAATCGTTGGCTGAAGGGGTCAGCCCCACCGCTGGAGCCGAGTCCATATTGAAGCCAGAAGGGATTGGGTCCGGGTGGAATCAATAACGAAGGACCCGTGTGCCGAGCAGGATCGCTCGGGTCCCGGGTCCTCGTTGAAGGTACGGAGGTACTTCACGGTCATTACTAGCATGTAGGGACCTCATGCCCGGCGAGATTTGATGATTTTGGCTTTTCAAGTAAAGCACTAGTCTTCATATATTGAATAAGCTTTCTATTGTGTTGTAAAGTGCAACCAGATAGCAATTCTAGAAGTGATTCCATCCCCGAATCTCTCACTCGTCACTCAGTCGCCAGGGCTGACGCTCCTAAGGGTTCTCGTAGATTTCCGATTTTTCGTGCGTTTGATGGTCGAATCGATTCGCCTCCACTGGGGAAAACCGACGGCGGACAACGCTGCGGTGGAGTGGTTGTAAGATAATGAGGGAGCTCCTCTTTTCAAGAAGCCAACAGATACGGTAGATGATCAACCATCCTATGCCCGTCGGCACAAATTCAACCTGATTTAGATCTAGTAACCTCACAATGGGGTTTTGTTTAAAAGCAGCCCAAGCCCTCTCAACTCTTCATCGTCAAGAACCAACATGCTCACGGGCTGGTGATTGAGTTTTGCGAGCTTCTCCCTACCGACCTACGTACCTACATGTATTCGTAGTAGTTCCAAGTTCTCCAGAGCGCCGAGGTTCGAGTGACGATCAGGGCCTGCCAAGCGGCAGCCTTCCTCCCATGCAACACAATCGGCTACCAAGGGCTGGATGGATGGATGGAATTTATTTCGCCCGGAGGCACTGGGCCTATAGGGCCTTAGCACGCTAACTACATCCGGATCAAATCGGTTTGCCTTTAACTCGTACAAGCCCCCTACTTCTTCCCTCTTTCTCGCTGCACCATTTACCTCTTGCCTTGGTTGTTGTTAGCAGATCAACTTGGAGGCTACTTTCTCCAAGTGTTCAGCGTCCTATCTTCAGCAGCTAAAGCGGGACCTGCTGGTTAAGGCTCGTGGTTGAGGCTCGTGGTGTTGAGTGTCGGCTTCTTCTACTGTGACTGGTCTAGACTCTCCTCCTCATTCAGCTCCAGCCTTCCTGTTGCCATTGCGTATTTGATCGTCGCCCGGACTGCCTTCATATCTGGTGACCAATGCCTTGTATCTGATGGCGCTTTCCCTCACCAGATAGAACGAGAGGCTTCCTCGTCTTGCCACTGTGCATTGCAGCATGTCTTCCCTCAGAGCTGTCCATCTCACGCATCGGAAAAGAAAGTGTTCCACTGATTCCCTCGCTTGTCCACAGGCACAAAGGTCTGACTCGACCGCCCCAATCCTGCTCAAAAAACCGTTCAGTCTCGCCATTCCGGTTCGGAGCTGCGCCAATACGCAGGCCTCTCTTCGCTTCAGCTTGTCATAGAGATGGCGCGTGTGCTTGCTCTGGTAGTGCTGCGTCCATGGCCTTTGAGAACTTGCTCACGCTTACAGGTAGAACTCTTGTCGCTCGTTGTCTTTCCATTGCCAGCCTCATCGCGGTAGACTTGGCCTGGGGTATTTGGGAGTCGGGTGTGCGTCCTTGCTTCGACGCTCTCTGGGCTGCTGCCTTGGCATCTGACCCCAGCGCGAAGTCAATCTCCGCTGGTATCCACAGAAAGTTGACCGAGTTCCCTCTTTGTCGGTGCAGCCTGGCCAAGTCGTAGATTTGCCGTATGATGCTTTGGCCGGATTGCTGCCGCGGCTGTCCAACTGCTGCCAGCGCTGACTGGTTCCTAGTGATCACGGTGATGTGCCTGTGGCAGATGCTAGCCGGTAACTTCTCCAGGGCCATTGCGATGGCTGCTAGCTCTGCTGTATATGGGTTCTGCTCTTCCCTTGTCCCAAGAACAACAGCATAGTTTGTCACAGTCTCGCTAGTTCTGTTGAAGAGAGTATCCCGTGCAAGGCCGCCCATGCCAACAATGCCCTTCTTTACGGATGAGCTGGTTGCGATCACGGATTCCCGAAATTTTGTTGACCAATCTCGGCCGCCTTCCCTCGATCGGCTTCGAGCGTCGGTCGTAGGCGAGGTACCCAGGGCGGGACGGCGTATTCCTGGATTGTCTCCATCCGGTCAACTCGTACTCCTTCGGCCACACGGGCAATTTTCTGCAGCGGAGATACGAATCGTACGGTGTTCCGGACTTTCTTCATGGCAAGGGGATGCGTTTCCGGGCAGCGTGTGGATGTTGATCCACAGACTGGCTGCCCGCCTGGGCGTGTCGTTCTCGTACGGGGTAGATGCTCGCTTCAGCTTTCCACCACGGCTGTTGCCGCGGTTCGAAAGGCTCCCGTGATGGCCAGGGCCCCGATTTTCTGCGCCCTGTTCAGCCAGCTCAGTGCCTTTTCCCCGCACGCATGCATCCAGACATTGGCAAGCGTAGTCCATGACCGGGGCTACTGTCGCAACAAATAGCTGTCTCGCTGTCCGCGGGGAAAGCATCTTCATTGCTTCTTCAGGGCCAGAGCGGCTGCGAGGCCCTTAGCCTGCCGGTCCTAGCAATGTGCTGCTTGTAGCGGAGTTCGCGATCCATCACGACACCTAGGATTTTCGCACTTTCCTTCGGTTTGACCACTTCGCCTTTGACCGAGAACGTTTGTTCTGAAAATCGCTCCATGTTCCTCGTGAAGTGTATGATGGCTGTCTTTTCGCCTTCAAACTGCGCACCGCTCCGTTTCTCCCAGTCAAGGGCTTTGTCGATGATAGCTTGGATTCCAGTGCGGTTCGACTCCGCTGACGGGCCCGTTACCCAGGCAGTGTAGTCGTCCACGAAGGCAATTGCGCCTCCGTTCGCGTC